GCTCAAATGGAAGAGCGCCCGCTTCGCATGCGGGAAGTACTGGGATCGATACCCAGATTCTCCAACTGAGGAATTTTTTTCCTTTTTTTTTTTCGTTAGTGACTTTACGTAGTGCTGTAAGGTTTCAGTATAAAGCTTGTTGAAGACGATCCTCTGTATTATTTTACTAACAGATGGTACAATTACAGGCATAAGCCTGTAATTGTTTGGATCAAACTTCAGTTTTCCTTAAACTTAATTGGTGATACGCAGCTGAGGAATGTACCTTGAACACGCACCTTAATCCCGAAACCAACCCTATTGATGTAATGACAGGCTACTAAAATGTACTCAATCTACGACCCTGTTGGTCTGGGGTGCGTTGTATATATATTTTAGAAAACACAAGGCGTTTAAAAAAGGTTTTAATCATGTTCATTTACTTTGTTACGCTGGAAAGTACAACAGTACTTACTAGTAGTTATCTTCAAATGGTATCATTTCTAACAATAACTCATCTTTGGAGAATTTTACAGGAATGAAAGTGAATAATAAAAAGTATCTTTTCAAAAAACGTTTTGTCAAAACTTAGAACAAGAAAAAATAGCATTTTGATTTCAACAAAGACCAAAACTTTCTGAAGCATAGCATCACGATGGTAGTGGTATTAGCTTATAAGATGAATGAAATTATCAGTGTTGCTTGAGTAAATTACAGTTACAGTAGTTAGCGTAAGTAGTTGTTTCCAAGTCTTTCTTTTCTTTTTTTTTGTAACGTAGATGTACGATCTGTAGATGTATTATAGTAAGTGAAAGTACTGTAAGTTTTTATGTATTGTATTGTAATATGCGACAGTATTGTAAACAAAGAATAATTATGAAAAAAAAAAAATGTGTTGCTCGAGTTCCTACCTGATTGGGTTATTTTATGATGAAGTGATTTAAGGACACGTTTCAGAATTCATTTCTAGTTTTTTTATTCAAGAAGTTATCTAAATGAGGTTTTTACTGACGAATCTTTGTTTTCCTCATTAGCATAAGAATTCTTATTCCCTTGTCACTTCACGAAACTATTACTGATTTTTAAATATCGAGAAGAAGTGGAACCATTACTTTTCACTGAAAACTTTGTTGACCGATATATCAGATATTCCTTGTGCAACACCGTCCAAAGCCGCTCAAAATGACTACAAAGAAGGATGTCACACACAATATTTCTGATGAGGGCTTCGCCTATCAAGCAATGGCTTATCATACGTCAAGGATACAGAGTTATACATTAACACTTGCACGACAAAGATTCCGCTGCAATTGTTTACCACAGAGGATGTTTGGTAAACATCCCCTTCCACTGTCTTGATTCTGCCTCCTGTATAAAGGAAGAACAACAAAGAAAAGATGATGATGCACTACAAGCTTCATTACTTTATCAGTTATGAGCTGGTCAAACACGTCACACACCTGAAGCTTGGAATTCAGGAAGCTCAATCTCTGCTCTAAGTGTTTCATCTCCTGTTTGTTGAAAACGAAAAACAACAATTTATTGATTAGAGGAACTGAATAATAAATTACTGCATTAATAACAAAAAAAAGGATAAAACAAAAGTAATGATTTGAAACTAGAGCAGTTTGCAAAAATTCGCGATTCAGTTTGGCAACCGAAAAAGCATATGTAGTTTACTGTATGATTATTGACCGAACTTCAGAACTGTATCTCATTTAGCTTCATACCATGGGACTAACTTGCACACTTATGAACAACGTGTTCATTTCTCGCAGTAGACTGAATGTTTCGATTTATTTCTCACTATGATTATTATTTTTCACCTTAGTTGATTACAAAGGCATAATGTTATGAGGATAAAGTTAAATTGTTTGAGTCTGTGCTCTCATGGCGAGTGCAGACAAATGAAGAACTGTTAACAAGACTTACACTCGTATCTTAAAGTTCTCAAATTTCGATTTCAGTTGTTAGTTTTGCTTTCACAATTTTAACACTGTAAAGTATTAAAGTTGTGAAAGGGCAGTAAAAACTGTTAATACTCACAGAACTGAGTTTTGCATCTCGCAAGTGAGAAAGTTTTGGAATCGTCTCTTCTAGTTTGCTTATCTGAAAATACATGTCACAGAATTAAAGTAGTAAATAGATGCGTCATTAGCCACCTGTAACGACTGCTAAAGAAAATACCCGTAGAATCTCCATTATTGAATGCTTTGGATTTTTTTTTACTTAAGCTCTATTTCTCTTGGATTTATGAAATAAAAGCTATGTAACTTGGCGAGCCCTCCATTTATTGAAATTCCCAGTATTTTGAATAAATTAATTTAAAGCTGGCCCTGGGATTCGCCTGTGAATGCAGTCAATTCTCACATACCGAACCCGACTCAGTATCTAAAAATGCGGGGGTGAGCTCCCTAGGTTAAGCTAAATCTCCCCTTAAGTGTAGTTCTGCCACTGAATGACCTAGTTCCAAGGTGCAGTGGTACTCAATATCATAAAAAGTATTTGCGTAACTTTTTCATTCGTTACCATCAGCAAAATGTTAATTTGGTAAACGATTCTACAAGTAGCTATGCATAATACGTTTGTTTTTACTTTTACCTTAACAATGGTACATCATGATGATCCCGGAAAAATCACTTCTTCTTATTGGTTTTAGCTTACACATTTGATTATTACAACATATAAATTTATAGAAATGACATAAACAATCTGTATCACACCCTTTTGCCAAACAACTGTAACTTCCTCTTGTAAGTCTCATTGTAACTTGGAACATCAGCTCTTCTGGGAGAGGGTTTTACTGAAAACATGACACACAGTTGAGAGAACTGTTTACGCTTAAGCAACCATGACTGCCACGCCAGCATAAACGTCACTTATAACCATTTAACTGGCAAATTTTTTTGAGGACATTGCATCACTGATAATATGCTTAAAATGGAGGTACTAAAGTGTTGGGACCTCACTTGGTTAGCTCCCTGTCCAACCCCAAACGATGTTGAATTTTACAAACAATGGGTGGATGGATGAAAATAGGTTCTTTTTTTGAACACAACATTGCTTGAAGAAGGGGGGCGGGGGTAGGTGGAGGATGAAGTATCATTGTCAATATTTTGCCCAAGTCTTTCAAATTCAGTCAACTCTAAGAGAAAATTCTGCTTCTAGAATTTCACTTCTACCATGTGGTATGAAAATTTTGCGGATTGGCGATTTTTTGTGGTTTGCGGGAACAAATTTTTGAGGTTCGAGATGACTGAAATTTCTGGTGGGAACTAATTTTTGCGACTCTCTGTTCAAGTAGCAGAATATTTAAGTGGAAGAAACCTTAATATGGTATTTTCAACTTTTATTTTACGGTATGTTGAGTCAAAGTTCACTCTACTTACATATTTAATGGAGAATAATACCAGGGTCGTAACATGGTATATGGGCTCAGGGCTCAAAGCCCAAAATAGGACTGGGATCAGGGCTCAGAGGAAAGGGCTCAGGGCTCAGAAGAATGGGATCAGGGATCACAAGGCTTTTGAGCCCAAATCAGGGATCAGATTTATTACACGGTCTAAAACCCTCTTATCACAATATTTTTCCGCATAATAAGGTTTGTGTCCATAGAATTTCCTGGCCAAGTTACATTACCCATTCTTGCTTCCAGCTGACGGCAGTTCCTGTCATACGAAGTCCTGGTTGTTTGACCAAAACATGGTATCATATTCTTAATTTATTAATTGTTGAGGGCACCGGAATATGAATCTCAAGTCACTTTTCTCGCTTTGTAACGCAACTCCTCAACGCTCTGTCAATGCCAGAAGGCAGAGAAAGGGATTTTACATATCTTTTTTGGCGAGAAATGGGGAAGAAGAAAAAGGACAAAAAGAAATCCTGTGACAGAGAAAGGTACGTAAGTACTTCCTTGACTGATTTACTCCTGGTAAGGGTCCAAGCATAGAGTTTTTCGGCCGATCAAACATAACAATATACCGCCAGGACAATAGACAAACCGATTCGTTAAAAGCGGAATTTACTGCATAGGTCCCGATTGTCTCATCGCCTCAAGCAAGTCGCAAGGCGACTATAAATCGAGGTTCGTATTTTTTGACCAGTAACTTAACTCTTAAAAGTGCTTAAATAATTAGTCAGAATAGACGTCAAAAGTAGAATACAAAAGTGCAATAAAAATTATATGAATTCGCGCGCTTTGTTGCAAAATAAATGCTTCCTCGCAATTTAATAAATCTGCTCTAATTGCAGGGTTAGGGTTATCTCGAACTCTGATGAGAAACCGAGATCGGTTCACCTACCAGTACTAGTTTTGGACCGGGAAAGTAAAGGACACATTCCATTTCTGTATAACTGATAAATGCTTGTTTACAGTGTAGAATTAGTGAAAATAAGTGGAACACCAACGACTTACCTCGGTGAAATAAAAGTAACAAAACCTTCATATTTTATTTCTTTAGTTTTTTTTATAAAATATAAAATAAACGGTTGAATTGGTGAAAGGAATTTTGCATACTAGGTACAAGTAGCAGAGTCTGCAGGAAGTAAATATATTATAGCACTCAGCATGAAGGGCCACCAGTAAGGGGCCCACTATTTGATTTTTGAGCCGGGGATGGGTTATTTTTTTTCGTGCAAGATTTTTTCAGACCTCATTCGTGCAGTGGCTATTTTGTTTTGCACAAAATTTACAGATCTTAGTGATAATATTGATCTGCAAGAATTTTTTCGGCCCTTTGGGCTATTCGGCCTCGGCTTATGTAACGGTTGGCCACGAAAGATATCACCACCTTAGATTTGGAGCCTGAATTTTTTAGTGGAGAGAGAACACCCGCTCTGAACGACTACGCATCACGGCGGCCCAGCTGCCTTTTAGAATCAATAGAGAGGCTCTACCAATCCTCATTTATCTTTTATACTGGTCCTCGAAGCCATTACACACAGAGAAAGCTGGGTCCAAAGGCACCGGAATGGCTTCGAAAGTTGCACGGCAAGAGTAAACGTTAAGGAGGATATGGACGAGGAAACGAGCGTGGAGGGAAAGGAGCGATACGACGGGGTGTACGACAGCAACGAACGAGAGGGAAGACCAAAGGAAGAGCTGGTACACTTCCACTTGCTCTGAGTATGTTCAGAAGGAATGCGTCGGCACATGGAGATTAAGGACAAACTACACTTCATATGAGATTATCTATTCAAAAGGCGACATAGTTGCTCTCAAGCACAATTACAAGAGGTATATCATTCCTTTGTTTTGAAAGATCTCCACCGTAACGGTGACGCATTCCTGGAAGATCACATGGGTTTGAGATGGCTGGAACAGTCAGAAGAAGATCCCCTTGTATACCAGACTGGTCACCGTGACGATAGAAAGTCACCTAAGTGTATCATCAGGAAAGTTCGAATAATAAAAGATGGAAACAACTTCTGTTTGAGCTGCCTTGAAGAGCAACGCCTAGTTGCATTGCTCCAGGGGCCAGTTGAATCAGATGATTCCCCTGCGTCAGGTGGTGACGAAGAGGAAGGGGAGCAAGCTTAGGCGGACAACTTTTCAGAGCCAATTAGATTTGAAGCTGGAAGGAGTAGGTCAGGAAGACCTATAGCTACAACCAGGTATGTCCACTGTCAATCAACAATGGTTTTTAAGCCAGGAAAAAGAAAAACTGTTAAACTGTAGAACCTGTGGCTTGCATCTTTTAATTTTTCTACTTCATGTAAAGCAGGTATTTTGCTATTGTTAATTGATCGTGATCCTCACTGTAACACACACAGAATGAAAGAGAAAATTCACATAAGGCTACACTCTAACAACATCAACAGGGATAGCAGAATAGAAAGTCCAGAAGCTCGGTTGCCCTTAATCAAGAAACACAGCAATAGGAGATCCGTACGACAGTGGACCAGTGAGGAAAAAGCTCATACAAACAATGGAGTAAGAAATACACCAATCTCAGCGGCTAATAATCGACCAACCAGAACCAGATCTTGGAGTCATACAAGTTCACGTGTGACCAGTCGACGAGGACTAGCAAGGCAAGGTCTTTAAGTGTTGCTTTTTCTCATGAACACTTGATATACGAAGTTGAAACGTCGCGATCTGCTACATCATTCAGTGACTGAATCGTGAGACAAACAATTACACTTTATTAACATCAATATTGTAGACCAGTAACACGGCCGACGTGAAATTTTTGGTTGCAAGAGTCTCTTTGGAAATAAAACATCTGTGACCCACACAGCTCGGACAATGATTAACTGGACAAGTTATCCGGGCAAGCAGATGTTCGTATGGGACAGGAATTGGAAAGCTAGAGGAAGACCTTAGTTCAGAAGTACGTTACAGTGACGTTAACTCAACCGGGGACCAACCAGCGCTAGCTGTGTTTACTCTTTGACTAAATTGTATTTATTCGAATTTTGAATCCAATGCTGTCTTGTGATTGGCTTATAAACCTCCGGGTAGCCTTGCTCGTATGAGCAACACTGAAAATAAACCTTGTAAATACTCCTGATGAACGTTACATCTGAAAAATCAAGATTCCGCCGCAAGATCTTTCAAGATGTACGATACTTAAAGGGAAGTGGACTACTTTTAATGTATAAATTAACAATAACTTACATTTGGTATCTTACTAAAGCTCCCGTTCAAGAAAATGAGGTTTTAACATTTGTCTAGTATCGCCAAACATTATATTTAAAGTGTTTTAAATAGAATAATGCACAAAAAGAGGTTGACTTATATTGTCTTTAATGCTCTGATAGAACCTACAACTTGCACTAAAAATTAAAGTTAATGTTTTTCTCATCAGCCCATTTGAGCATGTTCTATATTCTATATTTGGAGATAAACAAAGTTGTCTAAGTTAAAATTTTGTGTAAAAACATGGATGGGATCATTTTCTTTATCAGGGCTCAGGGATCAAAATGTTGGGGAAAATGGGGCTCAGGGATCAAAATAACGGCAAGAGAATAGGGATCAATGGGTCCTGGATATACCATGTTACGACCCTGATAATACGGTAATTACTGTAATATCTTACTGCACAAAGGGACTGAACAACAGCAAAACAAAACAAAAGCCTATCCCTACCATACACAACAAGTCCATTTAAAGCAGAGTTTTTACTTTGACTGAAGGGAGTTAATTTTTGCGGTGTTTTATTTTGTGGGTTTTTTTTCTGCGGGAACTAATTTTTGCGGATCAAGGTCAATCCACAAAATTCGCAAAAATTAGAACCTGCAAAATTTTCATGCTACATGGTATCAGTATTTCACCTCATTCAATACATCAAATGTTGGCACACGTCAAAGTCATGTACTAACCATGGCATTGAGGTTAATAATAAAGTACAATGCACTCGCATTATTAAAAGTCATTGCTTTTTTGTCGTTCTTGCTGCTGTTGCTGTTGCCATCACTTAAACTCCCTTTTCTTTATTGTATGTAGGCAAACCCAAGCAACAGCAGATTGATACAAGACATGTTGTGTTTCTTTTCTGTATCATTATTCTTTGAAAAACAATGCAATGACAAAGCAAATAATTATTGACACTTATGTGAAAACTGCACTTTGAAATTTAGGCCTGTAAGTTTTGAAAAAAAAATTGTTTAAGACAACTTGGCATTTTGATTTGTTAAAAAGGTTTTATTTTTTACCTGAAGAGTGCCTCTTGCAAACTTCAAGAACATAAGGGCTGTTCGAACAAAGACAAAAATAATGTTAACTTTTGATAGCATCCTAAATGTAATGCAAAATTAATGTACACAAAATTCTGTAAAGAATACTCTATAAGCTGTTTGGCAGATGGGCTTAACCACTCAGAAGATAGTTTCATCTGCAATGCAGACTAGTTTAAATGGTATCTTGGAAATTTTTTTTCACACATGAGTCCGCAACTTAACAGTTTTAATCCAAATTAACTACCAAGGTACTTTTACTGAAGATAAGTTTGAAGTTGCCCTATACAACAAGGAACCTCAGCTGGAAAAATGGCAGTTCATGGTTTGGGCAAATGTTAATGGTAAGCAAAATTCAGGAGTGGTAAATCTTAACTTGGAATCACCTTTAGCATTTCCACAAATCAATTCCATTTACTACAAAAATGATTAGTGGGCTTAGCTAGTATTCTAGCCTTTGAGTGACCATGAAGCTGAGGTAGAGCTTGTTTTGATAAAAACATTTTTCCCTTTCTTATGCAAATTATGCTTAAAAAATACTATTAATTAGCACAAAAACAACATGGTTTACAGAAGAAAGCAGGAGGGTTGTATCAAAACAAGGTCAACTCCAGCCTGATTTCCCACTGTAACTGTAAAATGGGCTATTTAAAAGCTGAAATAGTTTGGAAGAAAACTTGTTTATGTGTCAAGTTACGCTGTAATAAAAAGTCCTTCCAATTTAATAGATGTCTTCAGGGAAAAAAGGACATCTAAAATATTAGCAGGACTAACCTTGTTACAGTATTTTCTGGAGTTCGCCTGCTTAAAGGTATCAGTGATCCTCTTCCATTTCTCAACTGTTACAATAACAAACAAAACAAAAAAGAAAAAAAGAAAACAGCTGAAGGTTGTTTGAGTCAGTTTCAGTGGAACCCTGCTATAACGAAGTGCCACAGCACCGAAAAAATTGTTCATTGTAGCGGGGTCTTCGTTATCATAAAGACCCCATTAACAGCAAAAATATTTGTTATAGCAGGGTAATTTAATAAATAATAATTACCAAAATTCAATACTGGATGTAGAAAACACATGATACTGTAAGTGTATAGTGCTGAAAATCAAGACATCAGATTCAAAAACACTTTCAATTGAAGCAAGCAGTGATTTCAACTCAAATTTGTCGTTTTTACTGACTGCTGCTAACAACCAGACAAAATATTTGTTACAGTGGGGTAAATTGTGTGTTGGGACCGTCAAATCTATTCATTATAGTGAGATTTTGTTATTACTTATAGCGGGGTTCATCATAGCAGGGATCGTTTCCGCATCTGTTACTGTAATTGACTGCTGGGCTTTCAGACATTTTTTGTCTTAACGGAGTCTTTGTTATGGTCGGCTTCGTTATAGCGGGGTTTCACTGCACCGAAAGTTCCCCAAGGATTTCACATGTACAATCTAAACAAAAACACACACTCACTAAAAATATTTATTTATATTAATAACGAAAACACAAACAGGTAAACAAACCAAACAACAAGTAAGAATCAAAAATGAAATGTGACAAGTCAACATATAATTTCAAACCTTGATTACAACCACTGACGATGTGCTGGATTGCTAGCTGACAGATGTGAACCATACCTATTTGCATATTTTGACACTGAGACTTAAGGTTTCAAAAGGGAGTCAATGATCATGATTGAAAAATAAATTACAATGCATACCCTCTTACTTAAAGAACTAGATCAGTACATTGTTACCTTGAGAACATTTCCTTTCTCTTTAACAGATATGTCAAGCTGTTCAACAAGAGCCTGAAAAAACAATAAATAAATTGAACGCGTCTATTTGCCGGTGCACATTGTACAGAGATACCAACCTGGGAGATCTAAAATCTGGAGACTCTCTCTTTTTTCACTAACCCCCGCCCCCCCCTCCCCCCTGCAGAGGCCCTCCCCCTGGGCGGGCCCTGAAAAAATCAGTAATCTTATCACCTCCAAGAACTCAGCTTTGGCGTATGTTTCATCTTCCTCTTCCGTGGCTTCAGTGAACTGGAATTGTTTTAAATCAGACACTTCTATTCACAAACACAAAAAAGGCGATGAGTAAGAGTAAGCTTAAAATAGATTAACGTTGATGAGGCGACTTTTAAGCTTAATTAAAAGCTTAAATAAGGAAACATTTCTTGAATCTGACAAGGAACCAATTTGTTCAAACAATGCGAGTTGCGTGGGGAGTTATTCCTCACCATCACCAATCCTAACGATAATCCAAAGTGTTCTTTTTTCATTACTCATCCTCATATTAAAGAAATGAACTGCCAACCTCAGGCTTTCACCGATCAACATTGACAACACTGACAGCAGAAACTCGGCAGAAAATAAACAAACAAGGTTATTTTTGGCCAGCGGTTTTCTGAAATGAAGAACTGTGGGTGTCACTTTGGGTAGGTTTATATGACATAGTTATTGGCAATTCAACATGGCGGGCACACGTCAAGAAGTCCTCAACTTTGTCGAAGTAAACAAAAAAATCAAACTGGTTTTCTGAACATTTTTGTGTCTCTATAGGGAGCAGGAGCTGATGAATACTTTTCTTTTTTTTCTCTTTTTTAGCTTACGGATGAAGAGAAGGCTGTTCTTCAAGAATGCAGAATAAATAGCGTTTATTTCAGAGGTAAGCGTGAGCTTATATTATTATTAAATCAACTGTACGACTTTGCTCTTTTATCTTCTATTGAAACCTTCTTTAAATGTAGGGTTAGAAATCACAGTAAGGTTGTTAGTTGTAAACAACGTCAGTAGTCCATGGGGGAGTTAAAATCAAAAACAAAATGTTTTGTCATCAGCTGAGTCGACAAGTAGATTGGTCACTGTAGCTGAGGGGGATTGGAGCTGAGGTTATAACTTCAGCTTCTCACCCGCTTTCCCCATATCAGACTACCTTATAGCCCTATAGCTGAGTTGATTAGACCAACTCTGGTTTGATGATCCGCACTCTGTGGGCCTTTCTCGTTCAAAAGCTTAAGGATCTTCTGTTATTAAGCCCTCTGTAATAAGCCCAAATGTCCCGCCAGAAAATCTCTTGCATATAGGGCTAAAGGTGCATGCATTAATTGGACTGGCTCCACAAAGCATCAAAAAAGTAGAGAAATTAAGCTAACAAGACATTGATGTAAGACACAAGTTTCATCATGTCTGTGACTACAGTCGTTAATGTCCATTAATAACATTTAATTATGATATCACGTGTGATGTTTGAGTGACAACACAGATCAGGTGTAAAAATGGCTAAATCGTACTTCAAGCACCTCTCAGATGTGGTTGGGCATCTAAATTAGGCTCCTGGAACACAGGGTTTTCACTAAAAATTTCACTAGCAAGAGAGAGGTTTAACATCACAGGACTGAGAATGTTTTGAAAGAGGCTCCATGTGTAAATATAGGCTACTGAATATGAGCCAGAGAATTCTGTATAAGGTCTCCAATGCCTAACCAATGCTCTGCGGATGTCACATACTTTACTTGATGTACTCAAAAACAGATCTGTGTATGGCTGATCAGAATGAGTTTCTTGCTATAATGCATGCTGCCAAGATAATATGCAGATACTAAACCAGAGAACCTGTCTGCTACATGGATCGTTAAGTTATATAATCACTCTATTAATTTTTATCAATAAAAGAAAACTCTCACAGCTCTCACATTTCCCCCCAAATATCACATTAATTTTTTCCTGAACTGATATTTGCCATAGGACTTCCACTTGGAGTTTGTTCTGTTCTTTTACTAAGGCAGGCAGTAAATGGTGGTAAGACAGTTTAGTAAATTTTTTGTTGTTGTTATTGTTTCATAATGCACTCTGAGAATTTTGGGTGAAAACTGTTGACCTTTGCCAGAGCCAGAAGTTTAAAAAGTTTTATTTTTTGTAGGTTTTGCTTGTATCCTTTAACTGCAGAGGTGGCTGTTAATGAAAGAAGTATGGGTTTAATATAAAACCAATTTAGAAGGAAAGGGTGAAACATTTCTATTTAAAGTAAAAATGCCTCAGTGTTCTAGCTTGTTAATACAATCAGTCAAAATAATTGCATACTAGTAAACAGGAAACAAACCATTTGGTTTGGTGAAGTCGTTTGATTTCCAATATTTACAAACATGACTTTCAATGTTTGAAAAACATGGGCATAGTATATATATTGTAATCTTGATTAAATAATAATTTATTTCAACTTTGGTTAAAACTTCACTTTATTCTTTCTTATTTTATTTTCAAGGTTATTTTCCCCATATTAAAAGATTTTCAGCCTTATACTATACAGGTAAAAGGATTTTGTTCAACACAGCAGTCATGTAAATTTCAAATTTTTCAAACTGTCATGAAATACAATGTATTTCAAATCCTTAAGCATTATGGGGCTCAAATAATTATGGGGCATTATGTTTAGCATTATGGGGTTCATTTTAGTTCATAACAGGCACTTAAAGCCCTTAAATGTGTAAGGGAAAGATTTAACAACTGTTTAAAAAATATTATTTCATTGACAAAGAGTTTTAGAGAAAACCACTCAAGCATGACTGGGTGGCAAGAGTTGTTTTTCTCATACAAATCCTTCTAATTTTTGGTGGCCATTGCAATCAGTACTTTTGAGATATACAGCTGAAAATTTGCAGGTTACCTAATTTTAAAATGCTTTTTCAGCTCATACAAACAAAATTTTTCAAAAAAGAACTGTTTTTGTGTTTACTGAAAGTTTGTCACTTGATCAATTTCCTACTCTCTAATAAACACCCCATATTCAAAAATTATTAATTCCCCTTGAAATTTCAATTTCTTGTCATCCAAATAGACAAAGGTAAGTTTGCAGGAACTACTGGGATCTGCTTAATGCTAAACAGGTATGATATTGTTAATCAAAGATGTGCCTGATGTTTCCGTAGGGCTATTTGGATTTGGGTTTTTGGCAGGTGTAAGCTCTTATAAGAATACTTGTGTGGAGAAGATAATGAAGTTAGAAAATTCCAGACTTGCTGATCAAGTCAGGGCAACACAGATGTACGTATAGCATTAAACTGGCCTTTTATAAGTAATTTTGTTGCATTAATAGGAATTGAAATTGTTTCAGTTCATGTCAAATAACTGCAATGATGTTTTCACGTTTAATAGGGCTGGAAATCGCAGATCTCTCTGGGAAACAGAAAGGGTGCCATATGAACGCCAAGATGTTGAATTACAAGGTTAGTTGTACAGATTGTAAAGATTTGTGTTGTTAAAAAAGTTTTATTCATTTTTCATTTTGATTTGTTTTTTTGGGTGTGTTGATTTGTTTTTTTTTGTCATCCAAATGTGTGTGTGTTTGCAGGAACTACTGGGATCTGCTTAATTAAATAGGTAAATTGAAAAAGATCAAAATTGAAATCAAGAATTTGGAACTTAAAAACAGGACCATGAGTTCTCAAATTAAACACAATATTTATAAGCCAGGACAAAGTGAAATTAGGGTTTGAAAATGGCATAGATAATTACACTGGAATTAGATTAGCATTCGGAGAATCAAGCAGTAGCTCTTTAGCAACTATTCTGAGGGCTGCTCACCATCCACCCCCCTTAGTTGCTTGTCATACTGTAATGTGATGCACTACTTTTATTAACACAACCTTTTGATAACAGGAATGGGTGATAAGCCCAGTAATCGGTTCAGTAGTGTTCCCATGACTCAAAGACCACCAGCAGAAGCGAACATTCCTTATCGCAGTGACACGGCTGTCAATCCTGTACCAGAGTCTACTGCAGGGGAGGCTCCTGCTGCGCCTCCAAGCCTTTATTTTGATGTGGAAAAAGAAAAGGAGAACAAGTATACATCTTTTTCAGAATTGAGAAAGAAACATCGTGAACGGTGGACGCCTCCGTCAATGTCTTCTTCGGGTACCAGTCGGTCAGACCAGGTGCGTATGTGTTTCAGGACTTAGTTAACAGTCATCATTCGGTGGCCTGCTTCAGGCTCTGAGCGGAGAGCTGGGAAAGCAGCAGAAAATTACAGAAATCATTCAATTTGTGTTATCTTTGTCTCCGGTAATGGTTCCGTACTGTAATAATAATAATAATAATAATAAAGGTTTTTAATTATTTATCATTCATTGCGCAAGCAGACGTGTAACAATTTACATGGCAAGAAAATTAAGGAAAACGACTAAATAAATATTAGTTAAAAATACTATTAAAAAGGCATCTGTTTATAAAAACTGATCTGATCATGCTTAGCGTGCGTATTATCGAGTTATGGATGCGCGCGGGAAGTTTAGAGAGCAATAAAGATGCGTAAGAGTTGCTCGAGGCGCAGCTGAGAGCAACTCTAGCTTCTTGAGTGCTCTCCAAACTTCTCAAGTGCATCCATAACTCGATATACGCACAGCTAAAAGCATGAGCAAATTCTTTTATAACAAAGCTGACAAAAATGCTTGCTTTTCGATTAACTGCAAAATTCTCGTAACGCGCGACACAATAAGAAACGCTTCTATCGGCTGATTACAAACACACCACAATCGTCTGGTTTGAATGAAAATTCTTTCCGTAAACTGAGAAACCAAATTTCCCTATTTATTCGTTAACGAATGGAAACTAAGCAGAAACAATTAAGGTAAAAAGAGTCTTTAAGTCCACCTAAAGTTATAATACTCACATGTTCGTAAGAAGTCGTGGAGTATGGTTTGAATTTGCTGAAAAGATGTTTTTGTTTTGCTCGACAAAATCCAGAAAACTTGTTTTCTAGCGAAGACGACTGTCATCCTACCTTAAACTCATACTCGTTTACGAAGAATGGCTGGCTTTACGGCTTCTTTAGAAGACCTGACAGCAGTTGTTTTTGTGAGCAATAAATTTATGTCTTCTCGTGTAATTTGTCTTGTTATTTCAAGAGAAATTTTCCTGCTGCAGTCGGATTGTTCGGCGATAACAAAAATGCATAATTTTTGGCTATTTAGCTTACTTTATAATTAACTTGTTTTGTAAAGGATAAACAAACGTTAAAAACGGAGGACACTTTATACAAATTGGATATTTCCGACAGACCAATTTGTGGTCTTTTTCCACTTAAATGTCAGTCTTTACGGCAGACTTTTCAACGAATCAGTCAGGCTCTATTATTTGTGAAACATCTTCACCGCTTTTGCTGTTGGTTTGAGTGGTTAGGAAGAAGCTAAGTTCCGCAAAATCTAGAAAGTTTTTCATCGTTGCCGTCGATTTTTGGGTTCTTAGGAAAAGAGACGAAAAACACAGCTGAACACGTCATCACGAAAAAATCCTTATTTACGCACGGGCGTGCGTAAAGAAAGAGTTTGTTCATAGCGGCTCAATAGGACTTAAATAGGGCAAGCACGCGCGCTATGTTTTCTTAATTTAAAACGACTCGTCCGAACATTAGGTAGAATATAATAATGCGACCTAGTTCTCATCTGCCGTGTTCTCTGGGGCGGTAAAAAAACGCTCAACGCAGTGTTGGTGGAAGAGATGCTTGGCCATAGATTCATATTTCTATTACGAGGAATGTCCAAGATACTGTACCGCTTTAAGCAGTAACCTAACCCATAACACCTAGCAAAGAGCTTATCAATTCTACTTAAATATTTAGTATAAATAGCGCACCCTCAGACCTCAATAGCATATGTGAAGACTGAAAGGATCAAACTTTGAAAAAGTAAGTCCAAATTTTCAATAGAGTACCCATAATATTTACATATTCTTATAATATACAACCTACTGCTAGCCTTACTAAGTAAATAATCAATATGAGTGTCCCTGTAGCTTGCAATGTTCCCTCTGGCTATTAACATCGACATGCATGAACAATAATCCAGCTCCAGTGTGTACGCTTGCATTTCTTGGTTTGTTTTCATGGATGAAGATTTTCATTACCACTAACAAAAACGTTGCAGCAAATGTGGTCATCCAAATGGGTGAAAAAAAAAAAAAACTAGCCTTGAAAAAACTGAAAAATGTAGCTATCAACCAATGACACACCAGGCCTTGGTTGTTCAAAAGGTTGATAACGCTATCCACGGGAGTAAATCTCTATCCAGTGAATAGCGCGATTGGTTTTCCTAATACTTTCCCGTTGGATGGTGATTTATCCAGTGAATAGCGCGATTGGTTTCCCTAATACTTTCCCGTCGGATGGTGATTAATCCAGTGAATAGCGCGATTGGTTTTCCTAATACTTTCCCGTTGGATGGTGATTTATCCAGTGAATAGCGCGATTGGTTTTCCTAATACTTTCCCGTTGGATGGTGATTAATCCAGTGAATAGCGCGATTGGTTTTCCTAATACTTTCCCGTTGGATGGTGATTTATCCAGTGAATAGCGCGATTAGTTTATCCCGCGATAATACTTTCCCGTTGGATGGTGATTTATCCAGTGAATAGCGCGATTGGTTTTCCCCGTTGGAATCCACTTTTTTCCCCCGTTGGATGGTGATTTATCCAGTGAATAGCGCGATTGGTTTTCCTAATACTTTCCCGTTGGATGGTGATTTATCCAGTGAATAGCGCGATTGGTTTTCCCCGTTGGATGGTGATTTATCAATAACAAAAATGGTCTCTTTTATTATACCTTAATTTATCCCATATTGTACCATTTAACAGTTTGGATGGTGATTTATCCAGTGAATAGCGCGAACCATTATTTTTCCGTTTAAAGATTTTGGACATATACAACATTAATTCATTCTATATTGAATTTATGTTTTCATTTATCATCAATTACTGCCACCGCTTTTTTCGAACCTTTTTGAATAGCAATATTCATAATTATAATACTAGGTTCCTTTTCCGTTCTCATGCCTGCCGAACTAACACCAAACAATTTTCCCAAGGCCCTGGAATTTGAATTTTTATCTCAGTCAATTCGATTTTTACATTGCAATCGCGATTTTTGATTTTCTACTATATCGATAATGCGTCTTGTACCCGTTGGATGGTTATAGTTCTATTGCTTATTTATCCAAGCCTGAATAGGTCCCCTCGCGATTGTAATGTTTTCTTTATTGTGGGAAAATAATAAATAAATAAATAAATAAAAAAATACTTTCCCGTTGGATGGTGATTTATCCAGTGAATAGCGCGATTTTCCCGTTGGATTTTTATCCAGTGAATAGCGCGATTGGTTTTCCTAATACTTTCCCGTTGGATGGTGATTTATCCAGTGAATAGCGCGATTGGTTTTCCTAATACTTTCCCGTTGGATGGTGATTTATCCAGTGAATAGCGCGATTGGTTTTCCTAATACTTTCCCGTTGGATGGTGATTTATCCAGTGAATAGCGCGATTGGTTTTCCTAATACTTTCCCGTTGGATGGTGATTTATCCAGTGAATAGCGCGATTGGTTTTCCTAATACTTTCCCGTTGGATGGTGATTTATCCAGTGAATAGCGCGATTGGTTTTCCTAATACTTTCCCGTTGGATGGTGATTTATCCAGTGAATAGCGCGATTGGTTTTCCTAATACTTTCCCGTTGGATGGTGATTTATCCAGTGAATAGCGCGATTGGTTTTCCTAATACTTTCCCGTTGGATGGTGATTTATCCAGTGAATAGCGCGATTGGTTTTCCTAATACTTTCCCGTTGGATGGTGATTTATCCAGTGAATAGCGCGATTAGTTTTCCTAATACTTTCCCGTTGGATGGTGATTTATCCAGTGAATAGCGCGATTGGTTTTCCTAATACTTTCCCGTTGGATGGTGATTTATCCAGTGAATAGCGCTATCCAATTTTTGAACAACTAGAGCCAGCCAGAACAATATGAAAACGTCTCTAAAAAGAGCGTGACGGTTAAGGTGAGTCTTGACCTTTTATGCGTAGAGGTTTTGGACGTTGACGTAAACCTTTTGATCTCCGTGTTGGTTTATAGGTGAGACAAAAGCATGATGGAGAATCGCATTCTAAAGCTGCAGCAGGATCTAGTGATACGCCGTTGTCGTGGACGTTTGACATGAGCAACAGCAGCGCCGAAGGGAGCAACCAAGAGGGTCAGCGGGGTAATAATCAGCAGGAGAGGCCTTCATATAGACAAGGTATTTTGACAAGTGTTTAAAAATGAGATTTGTTTACCCAGTGAAAGATGTAACCTTTCGCCTTGCCAATAAAACGTGCTTACCTTACTCAATTAAATTAACACAACGGATAGAAGCAAAATTTCCTGTTATTAGATGACTGGCTATGCGATCCTTTCAAGATGAAACGAATCTTGTGCGGTATCTCATTCACTGCCCTAGTGAGCAAGATGGGCCTCTTTTGCCCACTCACCGGCATTGCTCACTTTGTCCTGAAAAATAAGTTTGTTTTAGTCATATGATCACTGGAATCTTTCATTGACCAAATTTGTACGAACAAGATTGGTCCATGAAATCAGGATATCCAGCCTATTTGGACCTCATACTTGGTCGGCGGCAATAACGCTTGTTACTGACATTGTTGCATTGACATTGTTTAATTGACTGAATGTTACGTCACTCACTTCACCACAGGTCCACCACCCAGGAGAAACAAATATGGCGATGTTATAGAAGGGTAGTGAATGAAGTGGATTTCTAGCTCCAATTTCGTGCATTTGCTGATCACGAGATGTCCTTCTCTTTATGGCGAAAAAAAAAATTAAAAAGTTTTACTATTAACTTGTTAAGTATAGAGGACTAAACTAATGTACATCTTATAGCTAAGTAGTAACTGAATGAATACGCTGTCCTCCGTTTTAAATGTTGGTTGTAAGGTAACCGGGCTTTAAACTATATACCATTATGCATTTTCTCCATACTGGTCTCCGTACATTTTCTGTAGTAACGATTAAGAGAATTTCTTCAACAGTCAATGCCACTATTTGTTGATCATTTCCTTTATTTTTATGACCTTTTTGTTTGATCAAGCAGTGTTATGTTAAGGAGAAATTAAATGCTGATCACTTTTAAAAGCTTATCGTACAAGTAAAACAGGTGAAAAAGAAGTCCGGCGATTTAATCGTCGATCTTCACTTTGTCTGATCACACAGTAATTTTCAGGGAGTTATAATAACTCCTCTAGTGGGGTTAAATTAACTCCTTACAGTGGAGTTATTTTTGGGGGGAGTTATTTTAACTCCCAAAAGGAGTTTAAAGAACTCTTTTTCAGGAGCAAAAATCACCCCAGATATTGAGGAGTTAAAATAACTGCCAAAAAAGGAGTTATCCTGTACCTAAAATTTTTACTCCACTTTCAGAGTTAAAGTAACTCCAAAAAGAGTAAAAACAACCCATGTAAGGAGTAAAATTAGCCCCATTTTTAACTCCAGACTGGGAGTTAAAAGAACTCTTTTTCAGGAGTAAAAATGACCCCAAATTTAGAGTTAAATGAGGAGTTAAAGTAACCCCATAAAAAGGGTTATCCTGTACCTAAAATTTTTACTCCATTTTTGGAGTTATAATAACTCCCTAAAAATTACTGTGCAGTTTCAAAAAATAACTTGTATGTACCATCAAACTTGTTGTTTGAGCAGAGGGCAATTTAATAAAACTATTGCAAGTTAGTGTATTAATTTTCAAGCGTAGCTTTTATTTTTGCAAATTGCACTTGTGAAAGTTTTACTGAATTGACCCCAGTATCGGGCAATTGGCTGCGTTTTGATGAAAAGGCGATTTGAAAGTGACGTCGTAAAAAATTAAATTTGTGAAATTACGGGATTTGTCGGGATATTCTGAAAGAACAATATCTGAATGGCCTACTTATCAAACACTAGCATTTCGAGGAAATTGTCTCTGATATGTTAGCCCAGTTATGCTCTGATGACCCCATACAAATCACTATAAATTTGCCTTTGTTCTTAACGTTATGAACCGAGTCAATTTTTTTGTTGTGGAGGGATTTTTGATTGGACTCATGCGAGCATAACGATCATGAAGTGAAGAGAACCCCAGCCTGACCAAAGTACCTTTGTAATAGCACAATCCTGTCCCTTTATTGCAATACCGCTTTTCACTGTTTTTGAAAGGAACATCAGTTCCAAATAATTTTGTGTAGTGACTCACTCACTCATAGGGGTACACTATGGGTAGAGAATAAAGTGTAGGTATTAGTGCGGACTGAAACTCGTGTTTTGCCGGCTTTCATCCGGAATCCGTTTCCATCGAGGACCTTAAGTCTTGCGCGTAGAAATTACACTCCGTTTTCTTTAAATATCGAGGCTGTACAGATTTTACTGTTTGATCAACCCTTAAATATTCGCCTCAAAATATCTCGATAGATTTTGTTTAACTTTAAGAACATTGAGGCAACTGTTGGATAGATACCAGAAACTGAACTATTTGGAAAAAACTCCCAATGCAGAAAAATACGCAAGTATGTCAATTTAACGGTGATCGTAACAAATATCCTTTTTTTAATACACTGATTGTGCACGTTTTCGCAAATCTCCATTAATGGGGATTAAGTTAATAGTCAAACTTGGGAGGTATTGCCCCTAAAAAATCCAGTAGAGCTACCTGAACTATTGATGGTTGCGTGAATTTGGCCCTACATTGCTTTAGATGTGGGAGATTCAGGGAACTAGATAGTCGTAAGTTACCGCTACGAATGATGTGAAGCCGCGAGCTAGCCGAGTGTAGGAGAACAATGAGAGTACTTTTTGTCCTTATAAGTTATTTTGTTATTTATTTTTATTATTTCGACACTTGTTCGGTTTTTCTTTTTCTAATTTGCTAGACATTGAAATTACTACTGTTATTCAAACAACCTTTAAAAGCATAAATTCATAATTCACTGCAGCTAAAGATTTTGGAAACTGATGAGGTGTATGTTGATATAACCGGCAATACTTGTTCCACCTTAACTTCTTATTAAGAAGTTACCTTATCTCCTTGAATAACAGACGGGGGCGATTATTATTATTATTTTTTTCGCTCTTAAAGGGGGCGATTATTCGAGGGAGGGCGATTATTTGAGGGAGGCGATTATTTCGAATATTGCTCATTGTTTCAGTCCCATTAAAAAAAAATTAAAAATCACATCAAATATACTGAACATTCACTTTTTAAGTGTTCCAAATTTGGTTCCTTGATTAATTCAATATTTCAATAATTTAAGTCAACATCCTCGGCGTCAGAGCTTGAATCGTCGTCACTGATCAATTTTGCCAGATTAGACTCCATTTCACTGACAGGGAGCGGATAAAAGAAAGAGAAGATGGCAAGAGAAGTTGGGGGGGGGGCTTATTCGAGGGAGGCGATTATTTTAAATATTTCCGACAAAGGGGGGCGATTATTCGAAGGAGGCGATTAATCGAGGGACGGTTATTATTCGAGGAAATAAGGTAAAGCGGTTTTCTCTTTCTTTAGACCTATAGTTTTCTTTCACCATCTTATGTGTTATAGCACAACCTTTCTACTAATATTTTTGCTGTTGCTTCCTTGATTTGCGTTTTTGTTTATTCATTTTGTTTCCCGGCTTTGAAACTTTATATTATTATTGACTATGATTGTATTGTTACCCACCGAGAATAAAATTTTGGAAATTGTGGTTAACTGTGAACCATTTACAAGGCTAAAAATGTTTTGTGAAAACCTTTGGATTTTTTTGAATATATATATTTTTTAGCCTTTTAAATAGTTTACTTTTTAAACCTAAGCGAATTTTTATGGACATAACTGTAGACTATTTTCAAATTGATGAAAATTTTTGCTGTTTTTGTTGTTGTCAAGTAATCAACCTGCCCAGTTGATACCTTGAATTTGCGAGAATAATTCCAAGTTTACAGGGATGATTTTTTAAATAGCCTAAGGAGCTTCCTAAAGACTTAAAACATAACAGGTCAAAGAGCGGATAAAGCAGTGGTGTTATGGCGATTTGCAGGTGAAATTTTTCAGTTGCCTAAAGAAGAAACTGAAATACTTTACGGCACAGGTGGAAGGAAGACACGCATTGTTTGGAACAAAACCGACCCAGTTTTATTTCACACCTATTTTTCTCATAAAATCATCTTCTTTCCCTTTAGAAGACATTCTTTGTAAGATTTTTTGATTGGCAGAAAATAATTTTTAGTTCGTTTACTCGTTTTCCCATGGCCCGAGCTAGCGACTTATCATTTTCTACAGAGAGTCCAAGATCTGATTCTCATTATCGTGTTGTGCTGTGGAGCCGTAGTTTCAGGTAAAATTCAAAGCTCCTTTGTCGAAGACTTCTGAATTTCTTACAAAAAGGTCGCTTATCGAGGTTGTTCTGTTATTTATTGTAAAACTTAAACTTCTTCTTCGAACAGACTGTATGTCAATGTTTTCATAGCACAACATACCACGATCCTAGGTCGATACTCTTTTTCTACTCTTCTTTTTTTCCTGGGCAAGACGTGAACTATTTAAGAAAATGTTCAAAGATATACAGTCAGGCGAACCTCCACTAACTGCCGCTTCTCTACAACGACCACTTTTTTCTGTCCCCAATGGTGGCCGTTGTCCCGGAGAGGTTCAACTGTACTTTCCTTTTACTAAGAACTCAATATGGAAAAAGGTCGGCTCTTGCTTGTGTAATCCGATCTCTTTATACAAAAGACATTTGAAATAGCCTGACACCCTCCAGGTCTGATGCGCGCATATATGCTGGCCTTGATCAAGATTTTTAAGAAAGGAAATTTAAAAAGAAATTGTATATAGTTTCAAGTTGCAGGAATTATAGAATGTGGAGAAGGTTTAAGTAAGTGTTACAGTTTCCACTTTCAAAGCCGAAATCTCCATTGGTTGGCTGTTGGCCGGCTAATGGCCACTTTGAGGTTGTGCGTGAGACTAGGTCGGTGTTGTGTTGATCGGATTGCATTGTGGGACTGTATTGAGGCCGAATTTTTAATCCAAGGAGCAAGGAAAAGGAGATATTTTTGTCGTTATGTAGTATTTATTTACTGCTGCTCGCTACGCCAGCATAAGACCTAATTCACTCAGATACCATTTCAAAACTCGCTATATGTTAGTAGGACATTAATTTGGCGTAGGTTTACTGCGGTTCGGCTACACAGCTGACCTGATTGCAACACTGGACCAACCGTCTGTTTACTCCCTTTATTTATTTGTCGAGTATTTCGATGAACAAGTATGTTATTTCGTATTTTAGTCGCTGCTACAAAGTCACTAACAGGAGTTGCAGGGCTTTTTTTTTCGCAGCACCTGGGGCATTAACAAACTTCTTTGAATCGGAAAACACTGTAGTTGCGAGACGCAGCGACCTACATGAGACGATGCTCATGTAAACATAACCTGATATCGGAATATAAAAACAATATAATAAGCCAGTTTTGGCTCAAATCGAACCAAACTGAGCAAACACTTGAAGTTATGAACAAGTCGATACAAGAATGCGCTTAATTGACTTAGTTATTATTCTTTGCGATCGGTTTCATGTTGACTTAAACTAAAGATTGAAACATGACGTTTATCCTGGCGCTTCTCGAGACTTTCTGCTGGACCGATTAGAATTGCCAAATATTATCTATTTTTACCTGTCAATCATTTTACTGCTTTTTCGACGCTACAAGGAATCGTAGACCTTTTTCTCTTGATTCAGTGCACGCAGATGTAAAAAGTACAGAATCTGGGAAATGAAAGGAGGTAAATATGCAAAGACTCTCGCCAAGATTTAGGTCAGAGAAATACTTCGTATACAAGATATCGGAAGACTTTCGGACGATTGTCGGAAGAAATGTTTTACCGAAATTTATCGATATTTGCACGGAGACGCCGTACTGGTGCCCATCTGGATGGCCACCAACATGACGGACGGAAACCAGCAGAAACATCTTTCACCGAGTTGTGCTACAAAAGCGTGAAATATTCCTCGAGGAACTCACAAACATTATAAAGTAATACTTTTTCTAGTACATAAACTTTTTAAAAAGTAAAATTCCCCGAAATAAATCCATTTTTTAACCTATATGACAGCTGTCTCTCTCGGCCGTCATGTGTATGCCCTGTCACACACGCCAAAGCTTAGAAATTCAAGCGTACTCTATCACAAAACCAATAACCCCGCTCTAATACAACGTGAACGTAAAATCTCAGTAGGATCAATAGTCAAGTAGTTTAAATTTTAGTGACGTCATGTGAAAGGCAACAATAGGTCAGTTGGTGTTCAAGATTTTATGTGCTTTAAAGATCACCTAAAGCCATATGTAAGGGCACAATCGCATTTCAAACTTTTCATGTAGACATCATGCGAAATTGATGAATCCCCTAGTGTTTCCATCATTTTTAGTGATATAACGAAATATGAGGCTTGTTACATATATCTACTAGTTTCATTCTAATATACCGTCAAGAGACTACTTTCAAACCAAGGCCAAGCTCCGCTCGGAAAATGAAAGAAGAGAGACCCTGGGAACGAGTTTGGTTCTAAGCCTCTTGTGTTTTCATTCACGTAGTCATCATCTATGCATATTTATTGGAACAAAAGAAGGTGTTTACCAAAAGAAAGGAGTTATACACCTACAGGATGTGTTTGAAATACCATGGCCGCTCTTCCATTGTTTTGGAACATGATTGTGACCTCCATGACGTCATGAAAACGCTCTTCAATATAACTAGGGATAACTTTGCCTGTCGTCAGCTGCTAGTACTGCTTTTTGTCTTCCGTAACGTTTATCACGTAAGTTTTTTTCATAATTTTGCATTACTTTTTATACTTTACTTCTCTTATTTGTGTTTATTATTATTATTATTATTATTATTATCCCTTTTTAAGTAAATGCAGTATAAGTTGGTGTTATTTTTTATCGTGTTGAATGTCCTAAGTTCGAAAGCCCAAGCTAATGTAAAAGAGTAAAAATAGATGCATGAAACAGTTATTGCATACCATTTCCTAAAAGGGTCCAGAAAGCATAAAGGAATTAGTACTGAAGAAGTATTCAGCTGACAAACAATGCTTATTTATGGATTTTTCAGTTTTTAATCGGGGCGTCAAAAATGTTACCATATAAGACATGGGTGCGATGGATGCCTATATCTTTTCCCTCGAAAAAAGACCTGTAAACTGCTACGAAACAAAAGAGAGAAATACAGCAAATGTAGCTAGCCCTAGTGCGCAAGTTGGTATTGTTTTGTTCTCTCCAAGCTTCATTAAAAGATAAATCGATATATAAACATTTTCCTTGGTCTCCAACTGCTATTAGACGCAAACTCGTGAGTTGATGTAATTTTCTGTTAAAAATTCCTTTGTATACTGTGCACAGGGGAAATCAAATTTTAATTAGAGTGGACTGATTTGCAGCATATGCTTCTCTTCTCTTAGGATTTGCTTGAGCGTGTCTGAAGTTTTCAACGCTGTTAACCTTAAAAACAATAACGGGCAAAATGAAGCTGTTGGCTTATGCTACAAATCATTATTTGTTTAATATTTTATTTTCATATTATATGTTTACTTGTAGAGATATTGTGTGTTTGGTATTACTTTAATCCCCAAGAGTACGCAACACTTAAGACTATTCACATAACCTAGAATAAGAAGTTCGGTATCGCACCCGTCGTCGATTTGACTGACTGGGCTCACTTCGAATTATCACCTTCAACAAAGCACTCCTACTACACTCTGCTATTAAGCCTTCAAATATTCATTTATTAATTTTTTAAGCGTTTTCGTGTTTAAACAGCATTATTTATACCAGTACACGAAGCGCCGGGAAATGTCTACTCAAACAGGTTGTCTGCGCCTCTGTTATGTCTTTCTGCAAGTACTCCTATCTGTGTTGCGTGCATTAAGGTCATTTTTTGCCCTATGGCGCCATTTTATTAATTACGATTTCATTTCGGTGCACTTTTCTCATTCAAATTTAGTAATCCTTGTAAATTTTACTGTCCCTAATTTGCACACGCACACACACAGAACAAAAAAACAAAGAAATATCAGGCTCTGAAGCAATCTGCTGGTTGTAGTGGTAAAAATGACCATGACATCACACCTTTTCGTCCTTTTGCGTGTTTTTGTCTTTAATACACAGTTTGCGGTCCCCAAGGTCCGGTAAAACGGGCAACAAGAAAAAAGCAAATTTTCTCCCATCATTGCTGCAAAACCAGTTGAATAGCGATGTTGCGCGTTTTACCACCCACATCAAACCTGTCTTGCAACAAATCAGGGTGTTCACAGGTTTGAACGCGGCTAGTAAAACGCGCAAAAACACTATTCAACTCGTTTAGCAGCAATGTTGCAAAACAAGTTTCACGTTTCTGTTGCCCGTTTTATCGAACCTTAGTCTCCTTGTTGAGTTGGTGCTTTATACTTGAGCCAACTCAACAGAACTTTTAAGAGGTTGATTTTGCGTATCTAACATTTACAGGGGCACCCAACGACAATTTTCGGAAAATTATCTGTTCGGAAGACGATTTGAGGTCTAGAATTTTCGGATCATTTTGTGACAAATTTCTTGCTTGCCTGCCTCTCCTAGGATTTTCGAACTTCAAAAAAATCGTATAATTGCCCATTTTTTAACAGATTTTTACCCTAAAAAGGTCACATAGAATTTTCGGGAGCCTTTTTTCTGGCTGAAATTTTCGAAAAGGTAAATTTTAATCCCTATAATTTTCTGATCACTATACTTTCAGCTAGGAAATCCGAACAGATGAAAAAATTTTAGGGGATAAAAATAAGCCTTTATCTACCGTTTAAATACTAAAGTACGTTCAACAATGCTATGTTTATGTGGTTTTGAACTATACTCTCGTTGGGTGCCCCTGCATTTAGTATGTTTTTGTTTTCTACCGCCTCTCGTCGTCTTTCCTTACATTATTTTTTTTGTATAACGTCGTTTTATTTTATGCAAACTGGCTAGTCCTTTTAGGAACAATGAAACCTGCCAAAAATGTATATTACAATCATCGAACTTATAGTCTAAGTAAATTAAGGCGTTATAATTAAGCCATAAAAACGAAATACTTATGACCATTAGCTAACTTATGCTTTTGTGTAACGTCAACTATTTATGTGCCATTTCAGTCTGGTCTTTATTTTGAATTCACTGTGTTATTGGTAATGGTGATCCAGGTGGTGGTGATCTAGGAAGAGAACTCGATGGAAATTGCGAAGTTACGCTCAACAACTGATCTGAGTTATGCTGATATAAATAAAAGTTCAGACTTTATTGTGAAACAGTTGTGTTTCGGTACTGGTCCATCACGTTTGTTAGTGCTGGGTTTAGGTTTGGATTGTTCTCACAAATGATGCTTTATGAGTCATCAGCGCATTAGCGAACACCGAAAAGCTCAAATTCTTCGAGCGGGAAGCACATGAAGGAACATGGGGTAGAGAAACCAACACTTACGGACAATTTCTCGTTCCTCACAAATGAAGAAATAAATTCGAATGCCTTGTCTACGAGATGCTGTTATACAAGAACGCAAGCCATCACTGAACGTGCAATCAAAGTCGATTCACGCTAAGCTTTTCTATTAAGAGATCTACATAACAATGAATGCACGAATTCAATCTACTTTATTCAAAGTTCAATCTGAATTTCATGGTCATTGAAAAACTGTGACATTATCTTCTATAAGCTCAAACTTGAGTAAACATTGAAGATTTTAGCGTTTTGGCTGAGTTTGTGCTTTGGGAGTTGTCTATTGTTTCTAGTCTGTCATTATACAGCATTCTTGTTCAGCACGCGTGCAATGACCACGCTTGGCTGACTTCCGAATGCTCACCGAGATATTCCCGTCACGAGTTGGTTTAATTATTGGCTTGCATTAAACCTATGAAAAAATGATATTTTTGTAATAGTAAGTAGACTTAGTGTGTAGCACTTCTTGATTTTTTTGCAAAGACACAAGAAGCACGAGAATTGATTAAAAATTGTTAGTTAAACCTGTATGTATCACGCGATGGCCTGTCTCACTGTACCAAATTTATAATATCTCGGTGAGCATTCGGAAGTCAGCCAAGCGCGGTCATTGCACGCGTGCTGAACAAGAATGCTGTATAATGACAGACTAGAAACAATAGACAACTCCCAAAGCACAAACTCAGCCAAAACGCTAAAAATCTTCAATGTTTACTCAAGTTTGGGCTTATAGAAGATAATGTTACAGTTTTTCAATGACCATGAAATTCAGAGTCCGGGTAGTTAGTTAATCAATTGTGGCCCTGAAAAAATTTGAAGGAAAAAAAACTACGAATTTTTAAGAAAATGCTTTTTTCGTGAGATTGACTCTTAAACGCTGACAAACGTCAACAAATAGCGAAAACTATAATTTCTATATGTTTGCTTTGCTCGAAATCGCGCGCATTTACAAGGCCCTAAAGCGTTTTGCTGACTTGCAAGGACCCATCTGTTATAACGATGCCCAAAATAAAGGGATAAATCTCTTGGTTTATTAGATATAATCCGTGTAAAGTTTGCTTATCATTTTCGCATAAATTATGACCTAAATTTGGAAACCGCTGAATTTCTCGAATTGGGTCTTTGCGATTTTGGTGAAACTCTGTTCAGCGCAAGGCACTAATGCACACTATGTGTAGCCGAGAGATTTTCACAAAAAAATGCCGGCAACAGCCGATTTTCGACTCAAACCTCAAAGGGGCGTGGCATTATAACCACGTGACATTTACTCCGATCGCCAAAAATTTTATGTTATATTGCAGATTGATCTATATGTTATCCATTCTATGTGTTACACTTACGATAAAAGTAAAGGTGGGGATACCAGAGAGCTTCAAAGTAGGATGGTACCCCCTAAAAAAAACTGGGTCGAGTCACCTTAAAACAACTTTGAAAATTAAAATTTGTCACTCTTGAGAATGATGTATGAAACATCGAAACGTCGAGTAACGTTTTTAAGTTTCATTTTTCTTGAAAAATCCCTTGTAATTATTGATTTTTTTGTCGTGAACAACGATCTAGTCATTGCTGATATTTTCCAGTCAAACGATCCCATAAGGGATGAAGGGGCAAATTAAAGTTTGGCGAATATGGCACGAAATCGATCGCTGCTTATGCGATACATGACGTCTCACGAAGGTAGGTCAACGCGGGATTTTCACAGTTTTCTTAGCCCTAAACAATGTATAGATGGTTTTCACAGTGACGTCATCAAATAGTAAAGTCAAGATAGCGAGGTTTTACGAATTCTTTTTTACACTAGGTTGAAGAAAAGCAAAAAATAAATTTTTGAACAAGTTTCATTCCCATGGCATATTTCATTTCCAAAATACAGTAATTTGAACTTCCGAGTTTTCACAGTGCTTGACACCAAAATAGGTATGCTGTCTGGTTGAAAAAAAGTCTCTTCTCTTGATTTCAGCAGTATAACTATTTCAAGTATTAGAAAATATGTTTATGCGCACGTATCCTGGTTCTCGAGTGAAAAAAAGAGCTTTTATAGAAAAAGTGAACTCCCGGATGTTTTTGTTGATTTCCGGCGGCCATATTGGTGCACCAATATTAATCTTTTGATTAATATTAATTAATATTAATTAATATTAATCGTTTACTGTAGATTTTTGTCATCCTGACAGTCTATACAGAACAAATTTGTGTACGATTTGATAATGTCTGACAAATACGTTTTACTGATTGTTTTTGTAGGCTCAGACAATCCAGCTCTCTCGAAGCATGCTCAGAGATATGTTTCTCGAAATTTTATTCAGTTGTGTTGCCGTTTCAGGTAATTGCAACAATGCTATCATTTTATAATTAAGCACCTTTACTGAAAAACTCCCACTTGTTCCCCCTAAAAGGTTTCCTGTGACCTATACAGTTAATGCCAAGTTCGGTCATTTATTGCAATAGACTTTGCCCGTGTTATCCCATACAGTAGCTATCGTCATCGTCTAAGTCAAATAAAGTGTTTGGGGAACATGTCAAGGTAATTCAATGATAACAGACAGCTCTCCAGGGCGTATCGTCCTCCTAGACAATTATGTACAACTTCCCAAAAACCTTAAGCTCAAACACGACAAAGTCGTTTAAATGCAAATATGTTGTATGATTTGAAGTTGCAGGGGCAACAGAATGCGGAGAAGGATTAGGTAAGTGTAATATTATTCTTTAAAAAAGATATGAAGCATCTTTCTTTAAACACTGCTGAGCATGTTGATTAACGAGGGATCTCAGTTCTCAGTAGCCTGAGAAAACAGCCGACATTTGGCGACGTTACCACTGGTTTTCCCGCCCTGAATGACATCTGAGAAACGAGGACAGAATTTCCATACTGATCGCGTCACTACCCAGATCTGGGTAGTGCTTCTGATTGGTCGAATCAAATTTCCCACGCGGCACGACCAATCAAAAGCGTCATCAGTATGGAATTTCTGCGCTCGTTTCTCAGACGTCATTTGGTGGGGAAACCAGTGGTAGCGTCGCCAAATGTCGGCTCTTTTCTCAGGCTAAGATCTAAGGTAATCAATAAAGTTGCAAATTTCGTCACTGTTTAGATTAAAACAAAACAATTTGTTAAAAAGATCGTTGCATATCTACTTTCTGTAACTGCAATTCAACAGAATGTGGACCAGAATGCCAAAATAAGTGCCTCGAAATGCATAATTATTACCGGAGTCTACACAGTTCTCCACCACTGGTATGCGACCATGAGCTCGCTAAATCTGCACAAAAGTCCACTAACCAACGAGTCGCAGGCAAAAAGTCGGAATGGACGGACAAATATACTGAAAGTATTATGTCCTGGAAAGGACGGGAATGGGAGGGAGTGGGTGAAATGAATGGAGCAATAACGGGAGCCGTTAGAAGCTGGTATTCAGAGATCAAGAACGACTACAATTACCAAACGGGCAAGGGAAATGGCAAAGCAATAGGACACTTTCAAGCGGTCGTTTGGAAAGGAGAAACAAGGCTGGGATGTGGACTCAATATTAAACCTACAGATGGAACTTATGTCACAGCTCACTACGCACCAGCATCTCACGCGAGCATGGACAAGGAAAAGCAGGCACCAGATAATGTCAAGCCAAGAAAACAACCAGGTGAATGACTATAGCCTATTTAAAATTTCAGTTTTTGTGAAGAATTCACCAGGACCTCAGCACCACCCTCAAAAAAATATGTAATAAAATAAACAAAGCAAAAAAAGCAAAAAAAGCCATCAATTTTCATTGCGCCAAATGTTCCATTCTTTATAATAAAGAAGAGAGAATAATTATTGTTGGATTGATTAATTCTAAACCAAGACTGAAGGACACAGGCTTTTACAGTGGCCAAGCCTGAGATCTCTCGTCATATACTCACAGTTCATAAGTGACAGGGATACTGCCTTCGCACTTGTAGGAAGAAATGAATAACATTTTTAGCGGAGCTCCACAAGCGGTACCCCATTTGGTAATCTATCGATCCGAGAAATGTTGGTAATCACGTGACCATTCGTCCGTCCATCCGTCCGTCCGTCCCCATCACAGGAAAACCAATGTAAAGTGTTAAAATTTGTAGCTAGTGTGGGAGCCTGTAACAGAACCCTTGAGAAGGCAAAACCACAACGACAAACCAGTGAGGGTCAGCCAGATCGTTAGTAGACCTGTATCAGTAATATCTTGTGAAAAAATTGAAAATTAAAATTATGCGATAACAAATAAAGAAATAAAGTATGTATTACATTTCATCTTTCTTTGTTACCATTTATTTGTATACTATTTTTACATTTTAAATTGTCTTTCAAATCACCACTTCAACGGTTTCTGTTTTCGCATACTTTTAACGTTCACTTTTTCGCATTTAAATTTTCGCATGTTATTATAGTATCATATTGCACGCTATTCTTTATTTCAAATTGTAACGTCTTAGCCTAAACCTCTTCATTAGATGTAAGACCCTGAAGAAGAAAGGCCGTGCCTTCCGAAATATTGGTAACCAGTATATATATTCACGACTGTAAATCGGTCTTGCTTCTTTTGTTTTATATTTTCACTTATTGCTGATGAGATCCTTTATTAAGGTCCAGTCCTTCTTTTTGTAAGCCAGTCCTTGCTTGAAAAATTGAATATGATCCAGCTACTTGAACTGCTTGTAAAGTTGTTATCTTTCCAATCAACAGAGCCCGGTTGTAACGTCACCTCTGGACAAAGAGTTCTTTGCAAGCCTGATCTCAGGGCGCCCTTTGTGAATCCAGGAAATTGCACTCAAGATGCCTGTTGTTATGACGACATGTTCATGAGCGAGTCATCGGTAAATTTCTACGATGCCAATGGAAGAGTTTGGTGCTTCAAGAAACAGTGACAATATAATTGGTTTTTGTACTTCTTTGTATATTGTTTATTCATAGCATAGTAAGCATACACTAGACAGGGTATATTAACCATCTTAAGTGAAACCGTTCGTGAGTCAGGAAAATTAAGGTTACTGGCGTTACCAAAAACATATCCCCTTATATGTCTTCAATTATTTTGCGCCATAAATACAACTACCAGCCTCCATCTCCATCAGCCAAATATACGGTGGAGGATTGATAAATCAGTGTAAAATAAATTGTTTAAGGTGGCTGAACACAGTTTTGCGGGCGGTCAGCGGTAACTCGCGTGACGGCGAGTGTTAAAAACATAGCGGCGAAAAAACAATGGTATACAGAAGACGATTTCTCAAAATCTACTCATTGAAATTTTGTGATATTTGGCAGAATTTTTTTTTATCGTATTTAAAATAATGAGAACTTTAAAATGGAATTTGAACAGACGAATTTTATATTGGTCAGCGGTTGTCGTGCGAGCATGGCGTGCTTTTCTCAGCTCTGTTAATTTTACTTTTATCGTTAACTTTTTTCGTGCTTTTTCGTTGTCTCTTATTTACCTACTGTACCAGAATGGTAAACTGCTAAGATGGAGCGAGAAAAAACTAAAATAGAGGCGATGTTGAGATCCATTATGGATGAAATCAAACTGACGGCCATCTTGTAAAAGTTTGGAATAACCTTGATGAAAGCATTTAACACCTCCCCCTTAAATCCTTTAAAAACAAAGTCATGTTAAAGATCTTACAGTCTTACTGTTCGTGAGTCTTTAATTGGTATTTATATATATATTTTTCTTTTCTTTTTCATTTTTTTCCTTTTATCTATTTACTAATTCCTTGTTTGTTCTAGCTTTAGTGCCAACCTACCTCCTATGCCTGAACATTATTTAGCTTTACTCAGCTCGATTAGCTTTTCAGTTATTCTGAGTAAATGTTACCTTTTTTTGTATTAATATATTATATTGTAAATTAAGTTAACTTTTGTTTGATAATAAAGCTTATGTTGTTGTGACAAATTTAATAATTACTGTTTAATTATATTGTTTGTGCAAGTTTATAGCAAAAACTAATGAACAAATTTTATGTAAACTGAGCAAAAGTGAAATTTTAAGGTTGTATTCAATCGTTCATGGTGCCATGGAAATTACGAAAACGTAAAATTTTGCTTGGCAATCAAAATATTCCATCAGTATATTTTTCAGCATGTGAGCAGCAACCCTTCTCTTGCCATGATTTGGCGAATGACATATACTCACAAACTGCCAAAACTGTGTTCATGCAGCTACCTTAAAAGATATGAAAGATGTTTCTCTGACCACCCTTTGCATTTTAATGAAAGGGAAACCTCAGATTGTATGTAACAGTTGTAAATATTGTTACTGAAGCCAGCATTCCCAAATACAATTGGTAGAATGTGTTTTCATTTTTCTTCCTCTCTTCTAATTAAGTTTACCCTCAAGTTTGGTAGATAGGTCTGTGAAAAAAGGTAATTGTGATTGAGGACACTGCCTTAATTAAAAAAAAAAAAAACAGTGTTGGAACAAATGGTTGTATAAATCTAACTTCCATTAACTTGCATTGCTTTGCAGCATGTGGATCAGAATCTTAAATTATAATATTAATACTAATGGATAGTTATTACCGGAGTCTGTACAACTTTCCACCACTGATATGTGAGCACGAGCTCGCTAAAACTCCACAATACTGGACCGACCAAGAAGTTAAAAAAAGGAAATTAAGTAACCAGCCTGGTTTGTCGAGCTCAGAAATCGAGATCTTGGCTAACATGGATAACATTTACTTTATCTTTCTTAGCCAACGAACTGAGGCAAGATCTCGGTCAAAAGACCTGCGACCTGCGTGATCGTGGCCATTTCACGAGGGATTAAAATATATTCCCTTGGAAAAAGCTAGTATATCATACCGTACTGTTTGTAAAGTAAAGAGCTATTTGTTTATTCGACATGAAAGAAAGTAGTATATTTGAACACTTGTATTTAACGAACCATGAACCCATTTCCTACTAAGTATGATAATGGCACCAGTAAATGAGTGAAACTATGTCTTTAAATGTAGCACCTGTACAAGCAATAGCAAACACTGTAAAAGAGTGCTCTGAAAAGGTTATTTAACAGTAAATCATAATTTTTCCACTTAGAATATATCAAAAGCCATAAAATTGACAAGCTTTCGTTTTTCAGTATACTCTCTTTTACCCTGGGGAATATGGAACAAGTGGAGCAGGTACACCCGCGTTGTAACTTGCTACGTTTCGTTGTTAAAACAGGTAGTTCTGTCTTAGCCTATGACATTTTCGTGAAGTGACGTGAGTAAGAGGTTCAAGTAGGTGATAATTGTTTTGTCTCACAGAACTGCTTTTTTTTAACAATTTTACAACCAATGCAAGAAGATTACGCAAAATTGAATGTGAAAAGACTAAGGTAACATATCTTCTTGCTCTTACTTATCTTTTGATAGATTTTTAATATGTAGCTGGGAGTGGTCGTCGTCGACGGTATGTCTTAAAAGTTTGATTTAACTCTAGTCTTTTGCCAAAGATGCTGTGATTTCACGGTGATTTTAAGCCTGTTAAATGTCTCACGAAAGATGAAGTTTAAAATAGTAGAGAGTATTTTCTTATACGAAGCAAGCTGGTCCGTTCCTTTAAGTTCATTTTCTATTTAGCGTGTGCTCAAATTGGCAGTAGTTATTACTGTTGTTGTTATCATTATTATTATTATTTTAATTATTATTCGGTGATTCTTAAACGAAATTATTGTTCGAGCCTGATAAAACCGAAAATAACACATGTTTTTCTAGGCGGGGCACCACCTGCAAATTTCAGTAACCTCTGCTTTTCATGGGCAAAAATTGAAAAACATGGTAATTTTTGTCGGCCGGCTTATCGTCTTATTTACTTTCTCCTGTTTATAGATTGCCTCTAAATGACACAGGAGTAGTCTGTAGGATTAGGTTATAATTATAATTGACAAGCGACTTTCTCCTGTTTATAAATTGCCTCTAAATGACACAGGAGTAGTCTGTAGGATCAGGTTATAATTATAACTGACAAGCGAACATAACACTTCAACGCTTCCAAAGATCATAACAACAATTTACTTAGCATTTCTCTTATCCTATTTTTGTTTGATAAATGACTATTTTTTCATACACTATATTTCTGTTGTTGTATTTTAATAAATTTACAAAGAAGATAGAAAAATAAAAGGATAAAAAGAGTCGCGAGTTTCTCTAAACCCGGCTATTAGGCTAAAGGGACTAGTATTCTAGAAAACGTTTTACTTACTTTTGTTTTCAAAAAGAAACGTGATGAAAAATAAGAGACGGTTAATTGAGTTGCCGATTTACCATAGCCGCTTAGCCCAGGCCATGAACTTTGGAGCCGGACCTTGGGATGGGAGAGCCTATCCAAGGGAAGAATATTCTGTGCAGGCAAATGTTCATTACACCAATAAAGAGCCTCCTTACTGTTACCGAACAAGACCTAGCAGTTTGCCTGTTTTATATTATCTTTGTATTTTTCAGGCCAATTTAGATAGCTTCCGTATACGTTTATACTATGTAGCCATCGATCATCTGGCGAGAGATTTAGAGATTGTTCGCGAATTTCAAGAGAGGGGAGATTACAAAATTGTACGGCTATAATTGCAAGTCACGAGTAACCGAGGCCGTTAACCGCCTTCTTTATCCTACGTACAATTCAAGCTGGTTTCTTTTCTTTTTGCGTAGTCGCTTGATACTTAAGCTCTCTGCTATCTATTTACCTTAACCTTCATTTTACGACCGGCTCAGTTATGAAAAACCGGCGCATCAGAACTTTAATTATCACCTTTTTTAGAAACAGAAAACTCTCGAGTCAAGTCATTTGAAATGGCCACCATCTCAGTCACTTTTATGGAATGGACTAACAAAAGGTTGTTCGAAGAAAGATCAGCGCAATTGTGGAGCAAGTTACCATGGTTACTCAGCGGATTGGTCTGATTACAGCGCAGCATTAGCACTTACCGGGCTTTAAATTACTGTCCCCAGGCAACCGTTTCTCTAACGTCCCGGCCAGTAATTACTATGCCCTCAAAACTTCCCGTTTTGCATTCAAGGTCAACGTATTCAGTGGTTATGAAAGTAACGCACTTGGCAAAAAAGGAACGGACCTGGTGGTTTCAAAAAGCGCTACTATTCTTTAGATTTTCATCTTAAAGGGTACTGTACAGCTCCCGAAATGATCCCGACCCCGAATTGATCCCCAACCCTGAAATGATCCCTAAATCGACCCCGAAACGATCCCCATTTCTCTTCACGTCGACCCAGAAATGATCCCCAGTTATTGGAATGGAATGGTATTCTGTCATGGAATTATTACAACTGTGTTGCAGCGTTTACCTTCTTGAATCACATTTAACATTTTATTACAGTTTATGTGATTTTTTTAGCTCTTTGTCATCTATCGCCTTTATGTGTACTTTTGCATCTTCAACATCAAGTGTCAAAACGCCATTTTTAAAATTAAGTATCCAAGGCATGCAGTTTTAACATCATTTTTAGAATTTAACATCTATGCAGTTTTCTCTATAACCCGGGCGATAATCACAAGTAATAATTTTAAAAAAATGTTGTGTTTCCTGATGTTTATTATCAGTTGCAGTTCATGGTGTTACTAAAAATATACTCGACTTTGTGTATTAAATAATATTTTCGTTTAATCCATTTCAAAGTGTAATCCCAAATCAATGTCATTAAAGAATGTGGGCAAGAGAAGATTATTAGCGAATAGTTATGATGTTGTGCATTTTGCACGATCCATAGTTCTAGGATATCATTCCATTCCTAAAATTAATTTGGGATCATTTCGGGGTCGATTTGTCGATCATTTCACGGTTGGGGATCATTTCGGGGTCGGGACCATTTCGGGGGGTGTACTGTACTTTCGAAACAGTATACACACTTTCATGTATGAGGTACAGAAAAAAAAATGTTGCTTTTGTGGTATTGTTTTAGTGCCTTTTTGGCTGTAAATGTCCCTTAGCCATAACGACCGACAATCACAATTTGTAGTTTAGGAAAATCGTTCAAAGATCATTTTGTGCATTAGCAAATGTTTATAATTCTGGTGCATCTACTTCACCCCGGGTCAAAAATTGATCTCTTTCAAACTACTTTTTAATTTTTATCCGTTTGGGCTGAGACTTTTTCACGACATCGTATGGTTTTGAATTTTTGATCTTAAGGTTTTTGGCGAGAGAATGACGTCGTAAGATTAATAGCAAAAAATAGTTTCGAGTTATAGCATAACAAACTAAACCTTTAAGAGAGCTCACAGAGATGAGCTCAAATGTGAAAAAACTTATTTGTAAAGCTTAATTGGTTGAGAAGTTATTGAGCTATGAAATTCGAATTTTACGCCATTTTGTTACTGTTTTTAGAAATTTAGTGATCTTTAGAATATTTCACATTTAAGTTCTTGAATGAGTATTCTTTCAAAATCGCTAACCTGTCAGGGCATAAGTTGAAAGTTATTTTTTGCTGTCAATCTTATGACGTCATTTTCGGGCCAAAAACCGTTAATTTCAAAAATCCATAAACATACGATTGTTGGGAATACAAAGTTCTATTATCGTGCAAAGTCTCAGCTCAAACAGTTAAAAATTGAAAAACTACTTTGAGAGAGAGCACTTTTTGATGACAGCTGACCCGCCGTGCTTCTTGGGAAAAAATTTTTGTTACTGTTTCTTTGACAAAGGTTGTAGCCACATGTACGTGCGCATCGGTGACTGGTACCATGACGCGACCGATGTCCATTTAAACGCTGACTTTAAACCTCCATTTCTTCTTGCTGTATCATAGCATTACCAAGGAAGTGCGTTAAAGAATGGAAAAATCACTCACAAGCATTTTGATGATTTTATTTTCTGGAGTTATTTCAGGTACAAAAACGTTCTTGAGTTCTTTCTTGCCGAAAAAATTTGTACAGCAAAATGGTCTTGGTTTTTTGTTGTTGTTTTGAATGTAGCCATTAATTTTTACCACTAACTTGATTTTCTTATATACAACGCAGAACAACTTACAATCACATTCGAAAAATAAAATTAATAATTAAAAAAATTCCAAGGAGACGATAGCTCTTCTAAGAGAGAGATTAAGTTCAGCTCTTACAACTTTTACCTTTATACCGTTATGTTAACTGCGTTCAAAGAAGCAATGGATGAAATTCCTTGTAAATGAATAAGGTTCTATAGGTTTACAAACTTAAAAAAGACTCTTGCTGTCATAGGCTTAGTTAACATTTTCGGGTTATCAGCCATCATCATTAATAATAATAATAATAAAAATAATGATAATAACAATAATAATAAATATAATAATAGTAACTTTTTTTTAAGTCTGAAGTCTCAAGTGCTGAAACTAATCAGGAAGACAATCCCCAAAACAAATAAAATGAAAATAAATATCAATAGATAGAGTCTAATGAATTAAAATAACTAGAAATAAAACGTAATATTAGTGATGAGACCTAAAATGTAACACAGTTCTTACATTTTTTTTAGTATATCCTCTACATTTGTGTTACATATGGCTCTGATAAAGCTGCCAACCGATGGTTGAGATCTAAACTTATTATCCAACTTTGGCCACAAATACGGCCCGAAATATCTAAGACTGCTCTTCCATGATGTATTGTATTAAATCTGTGAGTACGAAAGTTCCTTAAATTGTAGCTACGGATCAATTGTCCTTGACGAAAAATGCTTTGGACTATTTGTGGAGCCAGGTCATTCTTTATCTTATACATCAAAGTGTCAGTGGACTGTAATCTCTTGTTAAGCAGTGTTGTAAGTTTAGTTCTCCTCAGGAGATCCGCATAGGGAGCATTCTAGTCACAATAAACAAGTCTTAATCCCCTTTCATTCATCATAACACGCCGTCCAATCACGTACGAGAAAAGAGAAATGAACCTCTCCATAGGCTTATGGAGCTATAAATATTTAGCCACTATATGAATATTGTTTACATTTTCCTTTGTTAACAGATGCTTAAGATAATAGTTTCCCTTTTTTACTCTTAGCTCAAGATTGGAAAAATGTTGGGAGCTGTGGAGCTGGTTTGAGTAAGGAATGCGGTTAACATAGTTTTTTGAATATCTTTTTAAGGTTATTTAGCAAATGAGGCTCAGTATGATCTAAAGAATTATGCAACTCGGCCTCAGCAGACCTCCTGAGACCAGCATAATTCGTAAGATGATACGAAAGCCGAATTCGATAACTGCCTTACTATTCATTCAAAATAATTCAAACTTAAGAAACATAATATATGGATTTAGCCAAGGCCACAAGCGATGCTCTCGTGGGATCTGTTTAGAAAATTCTTCTGACCAATCACCGATAAGTTAAAAAAGAATTTGTTAAAACCAAATTTTCTTAGGAATTTTATTACCCATGGTGCTTCGCTGCACGGACTTTGTAACCGCGAGAGCTCCGCTACTAGAACATGCTTACCTCGATCCGTGTTAAGTTTCCGTCCTTATTTGCATGTTCCATGGCAAATTCAGGATTTAAAGGGATGTACAGTCTAGCCGATATTTTTGTATATAACAGTTGTCCTCCGCTGAGTTGTCAGTTTTTGCTGCTCTTGTTATTTTTAGGCACTAGTTCGGCTGTTTCTTCTCCGCAACACAAGTTAAATTTTCCGTCATTTTCTCTGCCACTCAACCAACGAGCTGAAAGCTCAAATAAATCACCTATAGAAGCCTGAAGATCGACACTGAAATGGAAAGAAACTTCTTTAAACTTTTTAAATACGTAGGACGTAGATAACACCTCCTTGACTCCATTTAAGTGTCAAGGTACACTAAACAGTCCTAAAATTGCGCAATTCTAATAAAATATAATTCAAGGATAGAATTTAATCTGTTCACTCATTGAAGGTGAAGATGTTAAGTGATTGATTTTGGATGTCCATTTTAATCAAAATCAGTTTAGTTACATACAGCATGATAAACACTCCATCGCCTGTCTATCAAACAAAATATTGGCTAATCGAGTAACCAGGACATAACGATCAATGTTTTCTTACACCATCCAGAGTGTGGTCCGCAATGTCAAAGGCTATGCCTCAGTCAACACAATTACTACCGTTCTCTACACAATTCGCCTCCACTCAAGTGTGATCCAGATTTAGCATTATCTGCGCAGGCATGGGCTGACGCTAACGCCCATAATCACACTGTTCAGAGTTCCACGCCATCAAGTGACAACATTGAGAGCATTTCATGGAAGAAATGGGGATGGAAAGGAATGGAATCAAAACTGGGTGCGATTCCCGGCGCTGTGAGGAGTTGGTACAGTGAAATTAAACGAGGCTACAACTATGATATAGGTAAGTATCGCTGGAAATTGTTTGACTGAGACTGGGCATTTTAAGAAGGTCTCAATGGGGTGGTGGCTTTTACGGTTATCGGCTAAAGTTTTGGCTCTTTTCCGCCTATTGGGTAATTTTTTTCAGTTACGGTTAACAAAAAAGTTAAAAAATAATTTCTATTGTTTCAAAAAATTTAATACTAATAAGCCCATATTTTTTGTATCTTTAAAGTATAATAAAGTCTTAGCCATAAGCGACCGCCTATCCAAAACACCAGAACTTTCCCTGCCAAAGACTTATAGTTGGAACCTAGGCCTCTAGTAAACGACCACCTCCTGCAAGCGAACGCGACCACTTTTTGAGCCTGAAAGTTTAAAATGATGTTCCATTGTTCTTATCCTCTTGTCAGCGACCATTTGACGCATTCTCTGATCTCTATATGTTAGCTGTGTGCGCTATGCTACTTAGATTACACGAAGAACTTTAGTAACAACATGGAACTACACATGGCGAAATTGCATGCAATTGATTATCTCCCATAAAGTGATGGGCCCGGACTTCTTCTTGGAAGAGTCCCCCTGTTGTTCGATTCTTGTGAGCGACCACCTCCCGTAATCGACCACTTAGTCTTTGCATTTTGGGTGGTTGCTTACGAGAGGTTCGACTGTATTCCACTTCTATTATTTTTAGGCAGAGAAATACGAAAAAGAAGGCTAAGCTGCTTTTCTTCTTTTGCATCTTAGCGTGATTTCCTTTCATTTGGTGCCACTGATTCGTTGTTCGCGTTGCTTTTTTGGCCATGCACCCTCTTCTCTTTATACCACGATAGGGTCTTTATGATATTGAAGAACAGACTGTGCAACACGAGCTGAAAAAGGGCGGACAAGCAAATATATTGAGAACTCGAACATTTCTGTGACTCTCACATTTACAAGCATCGGAGCCAAGCTGTGAGTTACGGCTTTGAAGATCTTTAAATGATGAAAGTTTTCTCATTCTCTTAAAATGATATTCTCTTAAAATGATATATAGTTTAAGCTATACGCTCTTCTCACGTATGGTAATATGCCCGTCTAACCTCGTTTTTGAGTAAAAAGTCCTTTGAAATGCTAATCAGACGACGTTTTCGTATTTGAATTTCAAAAGAATTTTTACCCGTAAACGAGGTTAGACGGGCATATTACCATAAGTGAGAAGAGCGTATTGCCAGTCAACTAACATTTTTTTGTAAAGCATGAAAAAGATCATTCCTGATAACAGACATAACAGTTCATTTAAAAAGAACCTTCGCAAAAAAGCAAAAGGAGAGACACGCGAACGAACGGCCAAAGTTAAAGGAGCTGCGAAATAAGAAACGCAACCGGTCACAAGTGAGTTTAGCACTTTCCTTAAAATTAAAATATCTAGGGACCCTAATCACGGCTACTGGTTAAAATTTTTCCATTTTTACGGCTATCGACTAAATTTTCGGCCGTTTTTCGTCTATCGGTTAACCCTATTGAGAACCTCTTTAAGTCTTTCGTGGTACAACGAAATCAGGAGTAAAATTGAGAAGGGTGAGGAAAAGAAAAAGAAGAGGTTTGAGCGAAGGAAGCATATATATTTCTGCAAGTGCTGAATGAGGATGGTTTTGTATGTTGATAAAGTTGGGATTTCTATTGTCTACCTCCTACAGACAATAGCGTCAAATAAGTTTAGTCCAAGATTTGACTCACTTGATGGTAATCTGTTTTCAAAGTAAGATTCACTACTTAAGAAAAGATAATTATGATCAAGTTAACAGTTGATTAATTTTTAAAGCCAATTATAAATAGACGTAGGCAGTTGGTCAGCGGTGGTGAAACAAGATGGCCGCGATTTTTATTTCGTGAGAAAATTCTAACGTAATTTTCAATATTTTACTTATTTTTCTGTCGTGTAAGTCTGTCTAATTGTCATTTCTGTTTAATATGTCTGCAAATCATATAACTGTGGAAGAACTAATACGAGCGACTTTCGACGAAAAGCTCGCCCCTTTGGAAGTTGAGATTGCCGAGCTTCGATCTTTTATTGAAAATGCAAGCCAAAAATACGATCAAGTTCTGAAGAAACTCACTGAACAAGAAAAGGAATGTGAAGAAATAAAAAAGGAACTCAACTGATGATAAGATTAAAGCTGTTTCTGATTCTCAGTTTAAATCAAAATCAAAACAACCTTAAATTTCGCTGTACTAATTTTGGCAGTTATATTGTACTTCATTCCTTCCATCTTACTTTTTGGCTCTTCTTACAGTAATACGTGCCAGTGTACATGTGTATATCTGTGTGTTTGTGTGTATCCAGTCTGATATGCTGCCATATTGTACCCCGCGCCATAAACGTATCTAAATTATCTTACTGAGTCTGGCTTCTTGGCATTTCTAACTTATAAGTTATTTAGGAAGTCAGTACCCCTTTTAGTTAACTGATTAATTTAACAACTTGTTAAATAACTATAATATTCTGCTTTGGGTACAATAAATAAAATTTGTTGTTGTTGTTTGTTGTTGTTGTTGTTAAGCCAAAGCTGCAATGAACAAACCTCTATTAAGCAGTCACCCCGATTTTAACTCTTAGGTTTGTCAAACCTCTATTACTAAACAGTAAACCTATAGTGAGTGGCCAGTTTGCCTTTCCCTAAGGGTGACCGCTTAATACTGCAGGTTTGACTGTATGTCTCTGGACCAACTGCAATAATTGAAGTAATCCCTGCACAATGGCGTCAGTTGATAAACCAAGTTACTTTTCAGTTTGATAAACAATATTTTGCATTTGCAACTTGATAGAGCTTTCTTATTGCTGTTATTGTTTGTTTATGACCTTCATTGCTTGTTATTGATCACGACTGTTTGTCCGCATACTGTTTGTCTTCATAGACGATGGTGTCCATCTGCTACAAAATTCCCCTTTTCCTTACAGCAGTTAACCAATGGTTTAGTCATGAGCCAACAGCCAGGCCGTGGCTAATCATGTTTAAATTCCATATCACACAGGTACAGGCAATGGAGTGGTGACTCATTTTAAGTCCGTGGTAGACGCTCGGGAGACTGGACTCGGTTGTGGTGTCAGAATCGTGCCAGGTGACGGCACGTATGTTGTGGCACAATATTCACTGGGGCCTGGGAAGCAATTCAGGTTAAATGACAACAGTCCTATGGCAGTAGTGAGGCCAAGAAAGGAGCCTGGTGAGTTCTGATGAAAATTTGGTTCTGATCGGAGAAAAGTTTAATTAAATCTAAAACTTTTGGAAGTTTCTACCAGTTTTATAGTATTTTTAAACTGCATATCTTTTGATTTTTTCTTTCATGCTGCATAGCTAAGAACAGTATTTTAATTTAAGTTTAATATTGCAACGCTGAGTTGCGCTAAAAAAATCGTCCTTGCGAATCGTCTCCCGTAACATCGTGTAACATGTTACACGAAACGATTCGCAACGACGATTTTTAGCACAACACAGCGTTGCATCATCGTTGCGACATTGTTTCGAATGGCTGCAACATTGTTCCAATATTGCAACGTCGTGTTGCGCCAAAAATCGTCGTTGTGAATCCTTCCGTGCAACATCACCTTAACCGGCGAAGGCAACGAGAACAGTGAAAAAACAACAATAGGTCTAATTATCAGAAAAGCAACTTTGCAAGTGCAGAAAACTTTTTTGTACATTTCTTTGCGACTACAACGTAAAGGTGGTACTGTTAAACTAGACGATTCTCCATGGCGATTTTCAGCGCAACACAGCGTTGCAACATTGTTGCGACATTGTTTCGAATGGTTACAACATTGTTCCAAAATTGCATCTCTGTGTTGCGCGAAAAATCGTCGTTGAGAATCGTCCCGTGTAAGATCGCCTTAAAACTCCCAGAAACTTCCAAGTTACACGTTTTATGGAGGAAATGTCGTAGTCGTGTTCCTGTTACCTTTTTTTCACTGCCGCTCATTTTCACCTTGGTGGCCGCTAGCATTTCTCATTTTCTCACCGCCGCTACAAAATTTTTATGTCGTTCTTCCACCAAAAAAAATGCCTACTTTGCTTTTTTCGCTTTTTCTAGCTCTCTATCGCTCTTTTTCTCGTTGAGCTTCGCTGGCTTGTCGCCTATTTTCCCTTTTTCTCCGTGTTTCTCTTTCTCTATATTATACACTTAATGTCAGATCCCAAGGGAAACAGTTAGTTTTGTTTTCGCGAGAGTCCTGATGTTTCCCGAGACGAAGTCGAGAGAAACATCAGGACTCGAGGGAAAACAAAACTAACTGGTTTCCCGAGGGATCTGACATTAAGTGTTTTGTTATATTTCTAGAACTTTCACTTCAACAGCAACAAAAGAATAACCGGAGCGAACGAAAACGAACCAAAACAGTCGACTTGGTACTTATAACAACGCAAATTTAATTCTCAAAACCACTGAATGAATGATTTACAAACAAAAGTACTTTCCTTATACCATCTGCATCTTTTTCCGCCACTAGCTGCTGTTTTTCTTCTGGGAACTTCTGGGATAACTTTAAAAATCGTTGCTTTTTAGCTTGAGGCTTCGTGACTGTGTTGTTGTGTTCATTCACGAAAAAGAAAACTGGCAACCTGGCAGTGTTTTTCCAGCCTTCTGTCACGCCACTTTCCACCATGCTTTGATCACGTGCTGCAATGTATCCCGAGCAGGATACATTGTTTAATGTATCACGATCGGGATACATTTGATTTTAGTCAAGGTCACGTGACCAAGAATCAACCAATGGCAGTCCCTGTTTAGTTGAGTGAAATTCTAGGAATATAACAATTCATATTAATTGTGGACATGACAATTAATGTAAGCTTAATACTTTAGACAACACGGATACAGAAACAATTTCTGCTTTCTGTTTTCGTCTTCATTGACTCTTCAGTTGTCTCTGCTTCACAAGACGCGGCAGGCTATGCGATTTCCCGCCAAAATAACCTCGAGTTGCATTTGGGTTGCTATACCTGTTGACTGAGTTATTTTACATTGGTATACCTGTGGTGCAGACGGACGGCGGGAGGGCGGACGGGCGTACGGTGACGTGATTAAAAACTTTTTTCGGATGAGTAGATTACCACATTTTCTTAGGTATGACGCTTTGCTCGCGCGCGCTTGGCGCGCGCGGGGTACTCCGCTATTAATTGTGATTCTTATTTAAAAATACGTTTTTCAGAAAAAATAGAAAGGGAAATGGAAAGATCGGTGGTATAAAGCAAGTCACTGGTTGAAATAGGGCGAGTACAATTCACAGGTCACCCAAGAAACATAATCATTATTATGGTAGAGCAAACGGACAAAGAGTGTAAAGCAAATTGAATTTCCACATTTTTCAGAACCTTATTGCCGCCTCAAGTCATTTGAAAAAGAGCAATGTGGAGGTCTTCAAGGCCCATTTGTGACACCTGACAAGTGCCTCAAAGCCGGTTGTTGTTACGAAGACATATCTATGGACGAGCCTGAAATGCAATGGTACAGCCCGAAAGCCTCGATATGGTGCTTTAAGAAAAAGAGCGACATAGCTAATGGCAAGTTACAAACGTTAATTTACAATTAGTTGATATTTAATCGAACGCTAAGCGAGCTAATTAGTTTGTGTGCACAAGTTCACGTTGCAATTGCTGTCAACCAATATCACCTCCAGAGCCTGCGTTACCCTTATCCAGCGGAACAGGAAACGATTGTTTTAAAAGAATTCAAAACCGGAAGTAATCCTGAATCCGTTTAACTGCACCTGCGTGAAGTCGTTTACCAATTTGACCAAGAGACTTACCCGTGGTTAGCCTTGATAGCACATTGGTACATACATACTCCTTCCATTGCCGATGAACTTTACGTTACGGTACGCTTTGTTTGATGGATGCTTTTGATGAAGAAAGTAACTTGAAATTACTGTACAAGGAGACCGAATTTTTTTTTTTTTTTAAAAATGCCGGGACCATTCGTTTGTGCTTAGAATGGGCACAAAAAAATCTGTGTTCTTCATCATCATCTTCATCGAGTTAAATCTGGCCATTGGGGTTTCTCTCTTTTAGTGCCACCACCTTTTGAATTGGCCGCTCAATTTCTGGACAGTGCCTACACTGGGGATACATCATGGATGAATGTAGGAAACTGTGGGCAAGGACTTAGTGAGTATAACTCAAATGGGCAAACAACCGCATGGTATAGCATAGTATATTAAAATACACCAATAGCTTCGTGTAGTCCATTTTTCTGAATCGCTTGGTTTGAATAATTACGTTCCTTTCTCTCTAGTTTCACAGAATACGATAAACAATGGATTACCATACTTGATCGGGTAACTGATTAACGATGTACAAAGACACTTGACATTTTGTCTCTGTGATACAAGTTTAGTCTGAATTCCCTTCCCCCTTATTCGCCCAAGCCGGTAAAAACTTCGCGCACTTATCTAAGGGATGTGTCCGATAACAGCCTTGTGAAAAACTTTAAAAACTTGCTAATTGGCTGTCTGAAACAGCAGAGATGCTGACTCGTCCCCAGTCGTCTCTCGTCATTATTATTTGGCGTGGAAGACTAGAGCGGGCTCTTTAACGAAGGGGATGACGGGAAGGAAGAAAGGAGCCCATACCATCTTCCCCGCGCGCATAACCCAAGCGCTTCTCTAGTAAATAATTAATGAGTAGAGACAACTTGAGACGACTGGGGACGAGTCAGGCATAGATGGAGCACTGCTGACTAACAGCGCCTATTAGTTATTAGTGTGACTCGGTCGAATGGAATGTCGAGGTTGAGTCTGTTGTTGTTTTAAAATGTAATGTTCCGCTGAAGTAGATCCCATGAATCACTTGCAACAGGTCAATATCAGTGTCATATAATAGAATTAAGGTGACTCGTTTGGATTTTTCAGGGCCAATACCTCACAAATTGGCGCATACATTGCTTTGCCATTAACAAAAAATCACCATAGCTTTATCAGAAAAAGAAGAAAATTTGTTATGAGCATTTTTTGTTGACATCAAAGTCGTCATAGCAACGGCATTTATTATTTTACTTAGAGCCGTATTTCTCGGCGCCCTAAGTTTTTTTTCGACAATCACTCACAGGGGACTGTTTTTCCAATACTTGCTTCAATGCTCGTGAAGTTTGAACAAAATCTGTAAGAGCGTTTTCGAGATATTCTGGGATAAAGTTTTTGTGGTTAAAAATACAGTAATAACTAGACAATGATTTAATAACGGCACCTCAATGCATGCTAATCAAATCCTTTTTTCTCGCAATCGGCTAAAGCTACCGCCATGGTCTTTTACACACGTTTTTAAATCGATTGAAATTACAATAAGGTAAAATTGCTTTTGCCTAAAGTGCTTTGTTTTCTAAAGACAACGGCCGAACATTAGTATGTCTGACCATAAAAACTTCACCCCAAGATATCTCAAAAACGCTCTCATAGGTTTTGCTCAAACTTCACAAACATTGAGGCAAGTATTGTAGGAACAAGTCTCCCCCTGAGCGATTGTCAAAAAAAACTATCCTTATCCATGCGGCTAGTTTCCAGATATCCCATAATTCTTTAACTAATACCTCAATAATATTGCGACGCTGTATTAAATACCGCGACTAAAATACAATAGGTATTCAGCTAAACATGTGAAGCAAAGGAATCAAGTGACTGTTGGGAATGTCTGGATCATCCGACCTAACATTAAATTTATGAGTCTTTGAATAATAACTCTCAAAAATTGTCAGATATTTAATCCTTAGGGAATAATTTTTCTTCATAAGGATAACTGTAGCTGGCAGCAATAAGTTTTATAGTTCTTGTATTTTAGATTAACTCATATTCATTTTTGTTTGTTCGATCTAAGAGAAAACGAGTCGCATGGTTCTAAAATCGATCGAGGCAAAATTTAAGCTGAAATCCTTAGAATTTTTTTTTTTGGTTCGATTAAAAGATCACATTCTAATTAATATTTCTATATTCTTTACACAGCCTGTGGGCCAGAGTGTCAGCTACTATGTTTGAAGATGCACAATTATTATCGAGCACTTCATGACTCGCCGCCCATGAAATGTGACCCGGAGCTGGCCAAATCGGCGCAAAAATGGACCGATCAACAAGCTGCAGATGGCAAAATGTATCACTCGCCATGGACGGACAAATTTACTGAGAGTATTTCGTGGAAGGGCTGGGGGTGGGAGGGAATGGGTGAAATGAAGGGAGCAATACCAGGAGCTGTGAGAAGCTGGTATTCAGAGATCAAGAACGACTACAATTACCAAACGGGCAAGGGAAATGGCAAAGTAATAGGACACTTTCAAGCGGTCGTTTGGAAAGGAGAAACAAGGCTGGGATGTGGACTCAATATTAAACCTACAGATGGAACTTACGTCACAGCTCACTACGCACCAGCATCTCACGCGAGCATGGACAAGGAAAAGCAGGCACCAGATAATATCAAGCCAAGAAAACAGCCAGGTTTCTGTTCACTATGTTACTGTACTTTTATCTTCGTTTAAAAGCACTCATTTCATGATGCAAATTTTATTCTGTGTTTTCAGTGCTTTTGTTTCTTTCAAAACGTGAGTGCTCGCTTGGTATAGTCAGTGTCTAAATTCTGTCACGTCACGCCAATATAACGGGATTTGCACTGGCTGCCTTTGAGGCAGCGCATAGATTTTAAGATAATTTTAATTACTTTTTAGATTTTAAATAATATGGGTAATTCTTATCTGTCTTCTCTTATTTGTGTTGTGACACCTTCACGTTACAGTCTTTGCAGTTCTTGTGAGGGAACCTCACGCCACTTTACTCCAATGAAAAAGCCAAAGAGCAGTGGGATCGCGCTTTTATGTCGCTGGCCCAAAGTTGTGGAACAACCTAGACCACAGGTCATAAGAACGACCACAAGTCTATCATGTTTTAAAATTAGACTGAAAACATTTTTATTTTTTTGTATGTACTTATAAATAATTTTTTTTAATGGACAAAACTTCTTCATTTTTAGACTATTTACAGATTCAAAAATATGAAATATTAAAATATATACCCTGTATGTTGTCTACGAAAGAGAATTGTTGTAAAATACTATAAAGACTACTAATAATAATAATAAAAAGCATAATAATAAAAAAAAATAATTAAATAATAATAATAATAGTAATAATAACAAAATAATAATAATACTTTATTAAACTCTTCTCAAATTGAAAATTAAGTACAAATTTAGTATAACTATAGTTTAAAAAAAGACTTCTTGGTGGTCTGGTGGTTTTCAACAGAGCAAATGTAAACAACTGTCTATAAACTAAAAAAAAAGAAAATTTCTATGTTCATCGCAATGATAAATATAATAATTATTAAATTTTACTATTTACAGATTCAAGAATATGAAATATTAAAATATATACCCTATGTACATTCCTCTTGTGTACGAAAGAGAATTATCGTAAAATGACTATCTAAAGACTACTAATAAAACAATTATAAAAAGCATCAAAAAGTTAATAAAAAAAACTATTTAAAAATAATAATTCAAACTGATAAAAAGTTACTACTTAAATTCTGGCTTGCGCACTTTCCGATGTAAAGTCAATGTCAGATATATTGGCTGCTTTTCTCTTGCTCCTGGTTCCTCTGAGACACAGCAAGGCTGATCGTAGGATGGCAAAATAGTAATAATAATAATAATAATAATAATAAATTATTATAATTATTATTATTATTATCTTTTTTTAGAATTATTATCGTTTTTTAGAACTCAGTTCTGTGGAGCGCTATTGAGCATTCATAGGGAAATTGCCTTATAGAAGTCTACGAAGTTTTTTTCACTGAAGCACTGATAACATAATAAGGACAAAATAAAGGAGGTGTCTTCGTTGAGGATTTCATAAAGTTTGGTATCGTTAACTGAATTGGAATTCGTTAATAAGAGTTGCTCTCTATAGAGGTGTCCGAGAGAAAAGTTAGTGATCTTAGCCACTGTACCTTTTGCGTTAAGTTATTCTATATTAATCAGCCATTATTATTTTATTATTTTCATAGCACCAGGATGTGCAATAGCGTCAGACCAACGTGTTGATTGCTTTGGTGAAAGTGGCACTGAAGACGAAAAAGTTCCATTCATCACGCCCGAGCTCTGTCTCCAAAAAGGCTGTTGCTATGATGACATGTATATGGCAGAACCTAATACTTGGTTTTACAAACCTCCCGGACGAACATGGTGCTTCAAAAAGGAAGGAGGAGGTAAAGTCGATATCAGTGAAGGGGAGCAACAGTCACTGTTGGGGACACCAGAAAAAGCACATTTAGAAAATGTATTCAGCTGGGCCCTTTTTAGAATCGTTTTGCGATTGAGAATTGTGTTTTTTTTTCCGTCAATGTTGCAGCCAATTTGAAACAAAACATTTTCAACTTCACTCACGGCGGAATCGATCATATAACCTGGTTATTAGACCGGTGCTCTACTGATGATCTATAAGAGACTCTTGGCAGCTAAGGCTGTTTAACTATTCATGTTACACACATCCTGCATACCGGCAGATTGGTGGCCTACTTGCTTCGTGTTAAGGGAATGTTTCAAAGCATTAGGTTCATTTGTTCTGCAGCTAGGGCTGCAGAATAACGCGCTGGCCTTGTTAAAAAAGGTTATGCTCTGTTTCCTTTACATGTGCAATGCCTACTAAAACTGAATGGGGCCTTGAAAATATAGTTGCATGCAGTCAACATCATGTAGCTAGCTCAAATCTGTCAACTTTAGGTCCATCCCAGCCACCTGGAGGTCAAGGAAAGCCGCCCGAAGGTCAAGGAAAACCGCCCGGAGGTCAAGGAAAGCCGCCCGGAGGTCAAGGAAAACCGCCCGGAGGTCAAGGAAAGCCACCCGGAGGTCAAGGAAAGCCGCCCGGAGGTCAGGGAAAGCCGCCTGGAGGTCAAACACCGTCAGGTGAGTTTAATGAAATGACTAAAATTGGAATTTAAGAGCAGAAAAATGCCATGCGTCTTAATACTACTTGCGAGCAAAACAAGGCGACCGTCTGGCAACGAACCAATAGGCAGATCTAGCAAAGGCAGCAGAACGATAATGACGACCGCAAGCGCAGATCTACAAATCCGAATTGATATTAATGGCACAGCCGCAACTTGAACACCGGAAGTCGCGTTTAGCCCCCACCACTTTCGCGTTCACATTTGTCTTATACATCAAAATTTGCCTGACATCAGTGTGGAATACCTGTTGCTGCATCAAAGATTTTTGAGGAGTTTACAGTTAAAACCGCATGAGGTGGTGTGATGGCTGGGTGTTAATAGATAGATTTGCCAGAATAACCAAGCCCAGGAGCCCAGGAGCTCCTGTCAAGCCCAAACAATTGACCACATTTCATGTACTTGTATCACTCTTTTTAGGTAACGGGGGAAGATGCTTTGGAAATTCCTGCTTCGTATTTTCTGAAAAAGGCAAAACGTGGTCCGAAAACCAAAAAAGCTGCAAAGAAAAGGGAGGTGATCTGGTTTCCATGGAAACACCTGAAAAATGGGAATACATCAATAAACAGATTCAACAAATGACACTTCCCGGTGGAGTAAATGAATGGCACATAGGTTTGAAAAAAGAGGGGAACTGGAAATGGGTCAGTGGAAAACCGCTGACCATTTCAAAGTGGCAGAACGGAGAGCCATCTGGAGACGGAGAAGTCGCTGTCATATCCAAAGATTATCCGCCTGGAAGTCAAGGGCTTTTTAACGATCTTGATGGACGTTATCCAAAAGCTTATATCTGCGAAAATCCCAAAGGTAAGGCTCCAGGTATGACAAATGAGAGGTGGACAGAACTAGCAGCAACTATGATAAAATTCCCATGAAAAAGGCAAAAAAAATAACTATGATAAAATTCTATGATAAAATGAAAAAAAAAGTGCCTTATTGATTCTTTATCACAAGTTTGGATAGATTTTTCGTTGAGGGTTTTCCTCAATTGCGAGACCCTTCGTCGTCCATTTAAATTATATCCATTTTAAAGATTTTTTACATTAACTGTATTTATGGTCTTATGACGTACAGCCCCCACAAAGGAGATAATTGTTCCTACCCAGATGATCGTCATTTGTCGGTACAATATGACGATTTTCTATGACGATTAAACCTACAACAAGATCGCCTGAAGCTGTGGTCGGTTATGCTCATAAGCATATTTACTCCACGAATTCATCTTGAGTAGTGATCATTCATCTCTCCTGCTCCCTGTTCACTTACACTGTGATGAAGCTTACTTTACAAATACATCATCAGTCACTCAGAATCAGATTTTAAAAGTCATCCTACTCTACATCAATGTCACAATTGTTTTAAGATTAGGGTATAGTTTGTGTATTATGTTGCCTTTGGGTGTTGTGTAAATATATTTTATCACAGGAGGAGGAAGTCAGACTAGTGGCCAGCAACCCACCACTGCCCCAGGAGGACAGCCAATAAACCCATCGGGTACCCCAGGGCAGCAGCCAGGAGGTGGGCGTTTTAATGACACGCTTTAGTCATAATCTAGCTAGCCCGTGCCAGGCCTTCAGGTAACAGGGGATCGGTTAAAATTAAACTATCTGGAACAAGCTAATCATATGTTGAGTTAGTTCAGTAAAAACTAAGATGCAACAAGACTTTTAACTGAGAGTCCAAAATGTATTATAAAAAGGACAGTAAAAGGTATTTGGTAAAATGAATCAAAATCTTAGCTTTATTAGCTTTTATAATGGCCACATTGTAGATGTTTTTTGGCGAAAAAAGTTTGATTGACGGAAGAGGTCTATTTGGCGGTAACGTTTTCAAAAAATAGGGCTAGATATTTATTCAATAAATGATATTGCCATTCGATGCCTCAGACGTCCTTGAACAAAAGGTTCTTAATTGCATTTCTGCTCACAGGAACATGTAGCATTCAGTACAAAATATTTTCACGTTAATTTTGACCTTTTTCTTGGTCACAGGTGGAGGAAGCCAGCAACCTGCTCCTGCCCAAGGAGGCGCCACAGGACAACCAGGGCAGCAAGGAGGTAGTCATGTTTTTTTTGGATAAAGTTGTTGATCAAATTTCCGAAAAACTCAAATATTTCTTGCACTTTTTGAAGAAAAAGAGGAGACAAACATTTTTGAAATTTTTGGCAATCAATAAATTTCAGGTAAACCAGTACTGGCTCATACAGGTTCATAATCTGTTGTACATGTGACGCTGTCTTCACTTTCCTTCCTTTCATTTTTTTTTTTTTTTGCCGATCGAATAGAATCTGTACCGTAATTACTTACTAGGGAGGGTAAGAGGTCACTACGGCAACAGCAACGAAAATGTCAAAAAAGCAGTAGGTTTAGATTAGCAAAACAACAACTCAGCACGTGCACCACGCTTTTTGTATATTTCTTTGCCGTCAATGCACGACTACGACGTGAATTGCCAAATTTCAGGTTTCATGGACAACGTGAACATACTACGACAAATTTGTTTTTTCTCTCCCTAAACTTGAATTTCTTTCTTAAGAATCAAACTGCAGGAAAGTTTGCTTACATTGGACAAAGTGAGCGAGTTGGGATAATCGCACTGAAGTTTCACTCAGTTTAAGCAACGTTTTCGCCGCCATAGCCGTCGTGGTATCTTTATCTCTCTGCTTCTCTACACAACACCGGGATTTTCCATATCCCATCATGCTCTTGGGTCTCAGCCCCAGACTTCTACGTCCTACATACACGCAAGTTGACATATAGCAGTTAACCACTTTCCACCATTCTGAGGAGGGTTATATATTTTCCTGTAAGAATCAATTAACGGTAACAATTTTAGCTTTCAAACTCTTAGCCATTAAATACGTTTTAATAAAATATCTGAACACGCGTTTAATCTGCAGGGATGACTCCATTTGAACAGAATTGCTTAAAAGCTCATAATGATTATCGCGCTAAACATGGGGTTCCTCCTCTGAAATGGAGCAAACCGCTGGCACAAGCTGCCCAGAAATATGCTAATCACCTGAAACAGACAGGTGAGTGACTGATTTCTTTACAGGACGAAGACCAACGTAAATACTTTATTTATTTATAAACGGTAAAATCTTCAGTATTACATTAAAAACAAAAGATAAAGTAGTAACTGTTATATAGATTATACGGAGTACTGTGGATGCTAAATAAATCTTGCAAGTACAAGGGGAAAAGCCCTTTAAGTGTGTATGTTTTAAACATTAACATGGCCTTTAGTTTCTTTCGACGAGTCAAAAGATCGTCCCAGTGGAGCCTATTTAGGAGGATGCTTGCACTCGTAACGAATGACTCGAACAACCCTATTTTGGAGTTTTTGCAGCTTATTACTCAAGGTAACGCTGAGTCCATCCCAGACGGAGCTACAGTAGCTAAATGGCGCCTGAGGCTAAAGACATCTTCTCAGTATACTCTTGCCGTTCATATTCTTTCATCATGAAAAGTGCTCGCCGATTAGAAAACCCAGAGATTTGCATGCAGTTTGCCATAAACATGACTCTAAATCTCTTTAATGCTGGGTGGTCGCTAACGGAAGGTTCTCTTAGTGCAGTCTTTATGGGGAGGAGGGTTGCGTGACGCCATGTAGCAAGACTACCGTGGTACATCACTATAATTTAAATTGTATTATTATCCTGCAAAAGAAGATAATCAGAATAATAGCTAAAGTTTCGTGAGATTTTCAAACACTTATGTTCTTTTCAAAGAACAGGAGATTTTAAAATTCTCTGACATATATTAACACCAATTAGGTAAATTTATCTATCTTTTTAAAAGGTGTCCTTTCTAATTATTTTCGGGGTAAGTTTACTCTTGCAAGCCAAATTCAAGAAATTCAAATCTTTGTTACATTATTATTTCCTTGTCAAGCTAATTTTCGGAAATAGACCTTGTCACGGTTTTCGACGCTATCTTGATGAGTAGGCATGTCGAATAATTTCCGTAGAACGGCTGTTCTGAAAAAAATATGATTTGTAAACTAAAGCTTCAGTCCTAAGGATTCTCCTGAAACAATTTGAGGGCGTTACCTGCACTAGAAGACCTAGAACCACTTTTTAAAATTTTCTATACATTTTTCTGTAAGAAAGTCCCGGGAAAATTACAGACAAATATATGGAAAATCTAAAGCAAGCCTCTGGAGAAATTAAAGCACAAGTACCGCTCCAAATTTTTTTACGACAATCCTTTGCTTTGTAGCTTTAGTTTACAATTGATATTTTTTTCAGAACAGCCGTTTTACGGAAATTATTCGACATTATATCCTCACTCAAACACTGTAATTTCCCACACGTTTGCCTACTCGTCAAGATGGCGTCGAAAACCGTGACAAGGTCTATTCTCAATTCGGTTTCAGGTCCTAAGTTTTTCAACTCGCTAAGCCGTTGGAAAAGACGTAAAAAGTTCGTTCTCTCTTACTCACATTATACTCTTTGTTGAGCTACATACTTTTCCTTCCTTTAATTTTATGGTAATCCATTTTTCATTAATTAAGTATCCTTAATTCTCAAGGTGTACTCTATATTCGCAGGGAGCCTATAGCTCATAAGTCCCGGCCTTCTATATAGGCTTCCTTGCCATTACCATTTCGAAGATTTGGAAAACAGAATACTTTTTGTTTTGTAAATTATACAGGTACAGTATAATGGTTAATGGCAAAACGAATGAATGAAGGAATGAGTGAATAGGGTATAAGATACAAATTTACCAAGTTTATGAGGTAAAACAAATGCTTTTTAAAATCGCTTTTTCATTTTTATTACCAGCCTGATACAGTAGAATAGAATAGAAACCTTATTTCACACAGAATTCAAACATTTGAGCAATGATTTACATTAAAGCAGTGTAATCTAAATTAAAAACTTGAATATACTAAAACAATACAGTATATAAAATATTAAATAACAATGTCTAAAACTACATTATACTTCTAAAATATAAGTGACATGTCATGTAATCTCATAAGGAAATGATTTACTCCAAAAATTCTTTACGAAATTAATAATAGAATGAGAACGTTTGATGGTTTGAGAACGTTTGAACTGAATAAGAAAATGATCTCAAACCAGATCGAGATGAAATGCTTGGCCTGATATGAATGTCGTTGGGTCTCAGAGTATTAGGGTTATGAATTTGTTAAAAAGATAAAAATAGGATCATTGGGATAAGAAGAGCAATAGCCATTTGGACACTTAAAAACAGTCAAACATTTGTGAAAATGCCAATAAACGGTCAAAGGAAGCCATCCGAGATCTTGAAATAAATTCACTGTGTGTTCTTACCTAATCTTCTTCAAACGTATAAAGCGGACAACGCGCTTTTGCAGTCAGACTTGATTTGTCAGCGTTTGACCAGATAATGTTACAATCATACAGAGGCTGAATAAGCGCATTATGCAAGGTTTTACAGGTTTCTCTAAAAAGTTCACTTTAATTCTTTCTGTCAGCAAGTTGATGATCGGATGCACAATACAACGAGAATTATCCTAGAAAATGCTTTTGAACAAAAGAAAAAGAAACCCGGGTTAGATTTAACCCTAGGTTAAGCGCTAATCGGCCTTCGAACAACTGGGCCTTGATCTTTCCAAGAAGACCAAGTCCCTTTTGAAGCAAGACAGTCTATGTGGCTGTGCGACCAATCCATTAATAAGGGCCGGATCAAAAGTTAATCCAAGATACTTCATAGTATCTGTGACTTCAAGTGATTGACCAGACAGCAATAACTAAGACTTATGGAGGGTAACAAGCTTCAATTCTGCCTCGAACAGAAAAAATATAACTTTAGACCTAGTACAGTTTATAATTAATTCATGATTAGCAGAGAACCAATTATCGAGCTTACAAAGATCTTCTTGACGAGCAGAATGAAGAGAATGACTATCCATTACCAACATAAAAAGGAGCAGTGTCATCAGCGTAAAGAACCAATTTACATCGATGGACACTAAGGGAAAGATCATTAACAAATAAAATAAATAGAAGCAGTCCTAGAACAAAACCCTCGAGGAACGCCCAGAGAAAGATCTAAACGGTCAGATAAAGTACTATTAACCAAACAACCTGTGATCTATTCTGTAAATAGTTAGCAAGCAGTCCAAAGCGGGCCATCTGATACCAACCTTTGCAAGCTTTGTTTTAAGTTTAGGGTGGTTAATCAAATCGAAAGCTTTGCTGAGGTCTAAAACTACAGCACCAGTTACATTGCCTTTGTTAATATTCCTCAATATATAGTCACTAACATCCATAAGAGCAGGGGAATGACCTGCTCTGAATTCAGATTGTTATGGTGAGAGTAAGTTGTCAATAGTAAGATGACTCGGGCTTCCCTTTCAAAAATCTTCATTACCACAGGAAGCACAGAAATGTATCTAAAATTGTTAGGATCAGACAGGGATCCCGATTTATTTAGAGGAGTCGCTGTAACACATTTTCACTAATTAGGAATTTCACAGCACTGCAAAGAGCGGTGTTGAAGACATAACTCAAAGAGGATTCAAGAACATCTGCACCAACTCTAAGGAAAAGAGTGTGGATATCTTCAAGTCCAGAGGACTTACTTAAACGCAATGAAGACAACTCTTACGTACAAATTTTGTAGATATATCGTTAAAAATAAAATCAGGAGCGTCCGAGACATCATCTGGTATATCAGAAACGTCCACCTGCAGAAACGTCGTAACTCTTGTCTCAAACGTGTTCCAACAGAAGAAAAAACGCGTTGAAACCATTAGATATTCCAATGTTGTCAGTTATGTGGGAGCAGTCGATATCCAAATTATGCAGAGTAACATTCTTCTTATTTGGTAGAAGCCTCCTAAATATAAAACAAAATTTTGAAGATTATAATAATCTGATCTTCGCCAATTCAATTAAGCGAGTCAGATTTTGTTCCTGTGGCTCCTATAATAGTTCCAACTGTCCAGATCTTTAGATTTAACAGCTTTTCGTTTGATCAATTTTTCTCGAATACATTAGCTCTAAAGCTACTCTGTAAATTTCGAGCATAAATTAAGTATATGTATGTATGTATGCATGTATGTATGTATCAAAGCTTATCAAAACTTGAGATTTCATTCGTTGTCTGATTTCATCAGACATCCAAGATGGTTGATTTAGAAGCCGAGTGTTAGGAAAGCTGAATTAACAAGTACCTATTTGCTTCGACGTTACTTAAATCCGGGTTTAAAAAGACTGAGAAGATTTACAACATTAGTTACGTTGTTTTGAAGGTTCTCTGGTGTTCCTATTTTTAGATGATACGTCCATACCACATGACAATAACCGCGGTGAAGTTGGCGAAAATCTCGCGTGGTTTTCCATGTCAATACCAACGAAACCTTGCCAAGGTCCAAAAACATCCAGTTGTACGCAGTGCCAAGAAATGGTCAAGGACTGGTATGACGAGATAGCCAACTATGATTTCAATACTGGAAAAAGTAAAGGAGGAGTGATACTTCATTTTACTCAAGTGGTTTGGAAAGAGAGCACAGAGCTTGGAATGGCAGTTGCCATGAGCGAGAAAAATTTCTTTACGGTTGCGCGTTATAAACCGAGGGGAAATTTCGGATATGCTAAGGATTTTATAAGGAATGTGCCTCCACTTATAAGTAAGTTTTCATATCGTATAATAAGTGAATCGTAGTGGACCGTTCGTTTTAGCCGATTTAGGCAGACTTAGAAAGGAACTGCCATTATATACTAATGCTTTTCTCGAGACATTTATGTATAAACCTTTACTTACTTATTACACTGTAAGGCCCGCTTCAAAGAAACGGCGTCGCATTTCATATGTGCCAAATTGATCTAGATATTGAGGAAAATCTATATTGTTCTCGCATATTTGAATTAGATCCACCCATGTGAAATGCGAAGTTTGCCCAGGCCTAATATTTCCAACGCCTTAAGGTACAATAATCAGTTACTGATAACGTCATTGGTTTTCCGTTCGTTCAATGTAACGAACGTTTTTAGATTCACTATCAGTTCAACAGCATGCAAGAAGCTTCAATAAAACCTAGATTTTTCAAGGATAAGTTGATTGTCAGTTCAACAACGTACAAGAATCTTCAATATCGAGGCCAGCAAACGCCATGTTTTGCCTTCTATTACTTGGCTTCAATTTGCCATTCTTTGTTTTACAAAGCCGTTGAACAACTTTTTCTCGCAGAAAAAAAACGACGCTTGGCCAGGCAGACGATTTCCCGCCCAAAAAGGCGTATGTACTTGAAAGGATATTCTAGTAAACTGGTTTACAAGTAACGGGCGTACGGTTGACAATGTCCACCGCATTTATCACTTTGATCGGTTACAAGATTTTCATACTAAGGAAAACAAAACTCTGGTGATAAATAATGACGCGAGATTAGCTGAGATTTTATATCCTGCCGCTTTTGGGCACTCACTACAAAAAATTGTGATGTGCTCCTCTTCTGATACGTTGTGATACTTAACTCTCACAGCCGCTTATTAAGCAAGAAAGCTGAGGGATCAACTCAAGTATTAAAATTATGTTTGACGTCAAAATGTAGCGTTCTTGAAACGTTTTTCGTCGCAATTTAACATACAGTTTCAACAGTAAGAACTAGGCGAAATTATAACTAAAAACATGGCAAGAACAGCAAGAACACAACTCGAACGGCGACATCTGCTATTTGGAGGATATTTGCAGAGCTGAACAACCCTAAACGTGCACTCTCGAAGGTGAATTTAACAGCGATGGAGGTAAGCATGTTTTAGCTTTGTTTTTAAACTAGGAATTATTTTGAATGAATAATAAAGCAATTATTGAATTCGGCTTTCGTATCATATGAAGAATTATTGAGATCTCGGAGGGTGTTATCCGTCGAGGCCGTACACCCTCCTCGATCTCCATAATTCTTCATAAGATGCTCAGCCTCATTCATTAATTGTTAAATAATAAGGCAACTTTAGTAAATACAGTTCGTACGCCTTGTCGTAGTAAGAGATTACTTAATTATTATTGGTGTTGGATACATAGGTGCAAGAAGAAGAAGTCAGGCTTATGGCCAGCAATCGATGTATGCTTCAGGAAAAACAGAGGAAAAAACAGGAAAAGCGGGGCAGCTAGATGATGGACATTTCAACATTTCCATATTTAGCCTTTGAATATTTCAAATCACGTGTATTTCGAATTCTCGGAAACCAGGACGTTTCTTCTTAAAGCATCATAAAGTAGTTGCTACTAATAAAGGTCTTTATTTGAAAATTAACGCCAGACGTACGTTATTGATAGTCTAATAAAGTATACATAAGATACGAAACAAATTAACTCATTAAAAATGACCCCTTTTGACAAAAGATAACTCTGGGTAGTATAATGTATTAAGGCTGGGTTTTGGTCCAGATAGCTTGTCTTAAATAACAATATGACTTATCAAAAAACCCCGTGTTTACAGAAAGCTTTCAAGGCCATGTAGACAAAAGTTACAAAACTGGTTTATTGAGATCATGTTACATCGCGCCTATGCCCAGCTGTCATCGACGACAGAAGCCTTTAAAGAAGAATGTACCAAGTTACGCTCTATCTTCTGCCGACTTGATTATCCAATTGCCCTCATAAGCTCCACCATTAATATTTTTATCCAAAATATTACAACTAATAAGCCAGGAATGAAAACCGATAATGGCAACACGATCAGATAGACCTTCCCTTCAAAGATCAGATACCCACCGGTACTATAGCCGCTTAATGCAGTTGGTAGACAATTGCTTGATTGTAAGACTGTAAGTAAGATTGCTGTCACTTTACAGCCTATTTTGTGAGCAAAAAATTGGAGCAAGACCTTAAGCCGCAAGAATTAAGCCCAGTATTGTAATTCAGCATTGCGTTGTTTATATCTTCTTAATGAGGGTCAATTAAGGCAAGTTTCGTATTCCCCGACGGCTCTTGGACGAGCACGATTGCGAGGCTAATGTGGGTCAACTTCTTTGCAAAAACAAAAACAAACATAGGTAATTTGCCGCTGGGTCGCTGGAAAACCATAGTAATCTTAAATATAGTAAGATTTCAAAGCTTAAAATTTACTAGTAAGCCAAAGGGATATCTGTTGGGAACAACAAAATTGGGGGAAAAGCTGATCGTACTTAAAAGGAGAAAGTTAAAAAGCGACGAAGCCAAAAGAAGCAGTAAACTTTTTGAGCTTGAAAAGGGTAAAGTTTGTTAAAATGACACTATTTTATTCCCTTTAATTATCTTACTTCATAGCATTCTTTTTTTATCTTGTGTATATCTATAAAACGGAGTTTAAACTGCACAGTATATCGTCTGTATAAAATTCTGTGTTCGAATTCTCGTCGCGGAGTTCTTGTGCGTATGTTTTCTCTGTGACTGAATATTTTGATAATAATGTAAGCTAAATGTAAGCTTATGTATAAATAAACTTATACTATTTCAGTAATCTTCGTTCAAACCGATTTCATTTTCTTACAGTACAAGGTATTTATGCAGAACGTCTGCTCCGTCCGCAGGGGCGGATCCAGGATTTTTTTTAGGACGGGGTGCACTCGTCTCTTGCTCTACTTCAACACCAATAAACCCCACTTCTTTTTTTTTTTTCGCAGAATACCAGTTGTATTAGAAAACCGCAGGTCATCTCAGGGAGGGGTGCGCAGCCCCTGCACCCTCCCCCTAGATCCGCCCCTGGTCCGGGTATATATATTTTTTCAAATACAGAAGATTTTGCATTCGCTCCGTTAGAAAGAATGTCAAGTAAAATAAAGGTTTCAGTTCAACTTGCAGGCTTTCGACAAGTAGGTACACTCCAATGGAAGGTATGGCTTAAAGAAGTTTTATCCATCACTGAAAATAACATTAAAATGGCTTCAGGGTATTACCTTGTGTAAGGATTTTGAAACCATGTTCGCATTTTTATTGAACTCACTCACTGGCCACTATTCCGGTCAAATTCTGGTTAGGCTCGTTGTTTTTCTTCGCGATGACGAGCTGATTTTCCTTTTGCTGTTTGAAATAATGATTTCTCAAGCCTGTATATTAATTTTGAGATCTCCAAAATCTTTCAACGTTTCAAATTGCCCTTTTTTTCGGCAACTAAGCCTCAGTTTGTTCATATTTGTTTGTCTTCTTGGTGAGAAATAACCCGCATTAGCCTCACTTTCGCGCAAAGACAAGCACTCGTCCCAGGCCACCCGGGAATAAGAAAACGCAATATTCAATAGCCAAAACAAAAAAACACATAAGACAAATAAAACTACAGCAATAACTATAGTTAATGATTTGACTTAAGGTTATCTATTTTTCCTAATTTTCATACTTCATTATTAGATATTAATAGCAATGTTGTAGTGCTTTCAAGACAAAGATCCATTTACAGAAGAGGGGTTTGACCTTTACAATTTTTTTATATATAAAACGTCTTCCTTGGTGATGACAAAAATGCTTACAAAGAATCATAATTCCTTACAATGTAACATGGGTAGGCTATTTCAGTCGGACAAGCGAATATTTCGCTCTTGGGAAATTTTGGTGTATTTCCTTTTTTGCGATTGCAAACCAAGTTTCTTTCTGAACGTCATTCAAGTCACAAGTCCCAGTCCAAGCCCAAGTCACAACAAGTCCCCGACACAGGCTCCCAATGTCCACATCCCAGTTTTATACACAGCGCTTAGAATTCCCCTTATTCCAAAATGTATATGCAAAACGTTTTGGAGATCGGAGTGTTATTAATTTTGTCGTAATCAATCAAGAGGAAAGTTGGAGTAACTAGCTTTTGATGATCTCCAAACTCTAGGCATGCCGAGGAGGGACCGAACGTCCTCGTGGATATCGACTGTTACCTCCACCACTACTCAGGCGGATTTTAAAATCAAACGTAAACCAATCATTTCTCTCATTTGTGTGAACTTAGCAGGTATTTTGGTTTTGTGTTACGAGCCGGAACGATCTTTCTTTTTCTTTTCTTTGTTGCTGGTCTTTGTTGGTCCCCAAGGATGGTGAATTAACGAATTGCAACAGCACTGATACTCAAACTGCTCTACTTTCAACAGCTTATCTTGCACCTTAGCACCACTAGATATATGACTGTATATTATACATTACTGCGTTCTTAAAAAAATATATAGATGGCAGGTGTTGCAAACAAAACATCTTATTTGACCATTTCCTAAATCTCCCAATAAATTTCCCCGCGAAATCTAATTTTTCAATCTCACTTCCTCGCCCTCCCACGCGCTATAGAAATAGAAATTATTATTTGCTATTAAAATCAACATCAATTCCTACACTAAAAAAAGGAGTAAACATTCCTGACAATGATAAGCTCGAGGCTGACGATACTACAAATACATATTAAAATTTATTCTTTTGCTTTCTGCTGTAAAATTCGTATAAGGTTGCTTAACTTCAGTCTTCAGACATGAGTGATTTGTCAATTTTACACCTTGGGCTTTGCGGTTGGGGATGACCGGCACACTGGATTCATTTACTTATTCCAGAACTCGTTACATTTTATTTAGTGCTGAAAAGTGGAATTTGAAAGTTTCCTCATCTAAACGTATTCAAATTTCTTGCGCCAGACAGTTCTCATAAATATCTCACTGAATATCTCTTATTCCGTCTACGAAACAACAACACTTAGTAATAGCTGAGTGAAGTTGACACATGTCCTCTCAAAACCTCCCAACCGCGCATCTGATTTGCATTTGCAGGGATAATGTTTGTGAACGCATCCGACCACTGAGATAGAAGAAGACAAAAATAATAATAGATCATAATGCATCATCCAGTATAGTATTGTTTGTGTGAATTCTTACAAGGCATGCTACCGCAGTGATTGGCCAAATTGGTCACGTCGTGGTCCGACAATATTCTCTATTTTTGCTAAAGACAGAATCTCATTAATTCAAAAGCTGTCAAAATATTGTTCCACTCGGGAACAGAGAGCGACAGACGGTTTGGAAAAGCAACGTAAAAAAATACTGAACAACAACAACACAATCGTAGTCCTCTCTACGCTGCCCTATAAAAATTGATTGTGAGAAGCAATGACAAATACCTCTTCTTGGAGCTATGCTGAGAACGGATTCGGTAAGTTGGCCGCTAAGGTTGGTATTTCATGGATTCGGTTTACTCTTCATTCAAACAATAAAATCGATTTGTAAGGTAGGTACTCTACATAATATTAAACATGGATTTCATTTTTCATCGAAGTAGCGCGTTTTATCGTGTTGAAAATTTCTGTGTCATAACAGACTACGCAATGTGTTAAAAACAAATTTTTCCCCTGATTTCGCGGCCGTCATTCAGATAAAATTCCGAGAGTTGAACTTTATAATAGATGACACAATTGCAAAAGGTTTTTCGAGCATTCCGTTTATTTTTCTAATTATTGAGAAACAACAGTTCAAACAACAAATGTCTTGTTTTTAAAGTATGTTCCGGTTTAATTCTCTTCCGTTGACTTAATATGTGGTTGAAACTCCAATATAATTCACAGCAAGAAATGGTTTTCGGCTTTTCTCGCTGAATACGTGCTCCGTTATTTAAATCCGAAGTAACTGGATTTTTGGCAAAGCCCACTGAAACAACACTTTAATTTTCAAAGTTTCTCGATAAATTTTATTTCGTTTCATAGCACTAATATATGAGATGCTGAACCGAAGAAAGTTTCTCTATCTGTTAAAAATTTAGCTAAAATGTATTTTAAAATATTGAAGTAATAGAGGTGCTAATGGGGGAGACTTTTTACTTTGCCGTCTAAATTTGAACGAATTTCACATCTTCATTTTTAATTCGCAATACTGCAGCATATATGTATTTAAAACTACAAGAATACTGAATCAAAAATCCCAGTGTGGTTTTATTTCGATTTTTACCAGAAAATATGTAATGACTTTGGATGATTTGCTATACCAGTCCACAGGTAGAATACTTTAATGAGTAGTTCAATAGCAAGCTCATAAAATTATCAAATATTAATTCAGTCAGACTCAGGAAATTATGTGCATTGTTTAAGGCCCTCGTTGCTGGCACGAGCGCTACAAGATCGCCAAAGGAAATTTGCAGTCGCCGATTAATATCGAGACAGCACAGGCAAAGGAAGGAAACAGTGTTGGGCCAGTACAGTTCAAGTATATAAGCATCCGCGATAGTACAATTACAAACGATGGAAGACAACTGCGAATCACTTTAACAAGAAATGAATCAGGTATGAAAAAAGCATATTATATGTTTGATTAACCAACAAAAACACTGATCAACCCTTGATTTGCTTGTTCGTGACTAACATGACCTAGTTTTGAGCTTTTAAGGATCTAGAGAAAGATTGAAACAATAACACTCTAGTGTGTCGTTTATGCGGATTTCGACCAATCTAACACTCAATGTCCTTAGGTACTATAATATTGATTTTCTGTCACAATTACTTATTTTCGAATCCCCATAATACGCTCTGTTTAATTTACTCTCCTAAATTTTGTAAAACTATTTCTTAATGCCCCTGGAAGAACACCATTTGAAAACAACAACTTATTCAGAACTTGGGCGAAAAATGGAGTGTATTAATTATGTGCGGGGAGATTGGAAAATAATCAATTATGTGAGTTTGAATGCCATACTAAAATGTATCAAAAACTGCCACCAATATAAGCCGGAAATGATAATTTGGTTGCCATCCTAGCGGACGTCAAATTCTTGTATTTACAGTAGGGCACTGATATAAGGTTCCCATCCAATTAAGTGCCAAGATTGCGCTGTAAACGTTTCCGTTTTAACACGAGCATTTGAAAGCAAAACTGCATTTGAAAACAATAACTTAAGCAAAATTTGAGGGAACAGAGTGCATTATGGGGGATCGGATTCGAAAATAGTCAACTATGTGGGTTTAGATGCAACACTAAAAATGTATCAATACCTGCGACCAATATGAGCCGGAAATGATAATTTGTTCGCCAATGTAGCGGACGTCAGATTCTCATATTTATATTAGGGCATTAAAGATAGACGGTTCTCTTCCAAATAAGTCCCAAGATTGCTCTGGGAAAGTTTCCGTTTCAACACGGTCAGTTTAAATAATAAATAGTACTAAACATTCCGATACACACCGCACAACGGTTGGATTCGAGAGAGATTGACCCCCGAGTGCCAAAGTAAAATTGAATGAAAGTAAATGAGAAGAATTAAAATGGAGGAAAAATCATTTAAATCTTTTTATATTATTATTTGCGCACAGAATTATGTAGACGTCTTTTCCATGATCAAGAACATCAATATATATGTATATATATAGATATTGTGTAATCATTACTAATATCGGCCATTCGTAAGCTGGGTTTTCGGACTCTTTATTTGCGTTAAGGGATTCGTTGTATTAGAGCGGTTTTCACTTGACTGTCGAAAGGGATTGGTTTTGGTTTTGGTTTTACGACAGTCAAGTGAAAACCGCTCTAAAACCTTGGTATTAGATCAGTCATACTACTACATGAGAAATGTCTGCAATTTGATTGGCTTAGAGCAGTGGTATTTCAGCTCAATTTGAAATACCTACATGTGAAAACCTTTGTTGGTAGTAGTATAAACAAATAAAAGCATGATTTGTACGTGATTTTTGGCATAAATACCACTGGTGACATTTCAAAATTGTCTAAAATTTCACTCGCATAGCGGCTCGTGAAATTACGTATAACGATTTGGAAATATCACTCGTGGTATTTATGCCAAATATCACTACAAATCATGCTATTTCCTATACTTATATTGCATAATCTGATCACTAGAAGCAAAATTAGGTTTGCCGTATGCCTTACTTGGCCTCGAGTGGGGGCTCCAGCGCGAAGTGCGAAACACTCGCGAGAGGCGGGAAAAGGGACAACAAAACAAAACAAAAAAACAAAAAGAGGGAGAGATACAGTGTGTTGTGCTCGCCGCCCCGAATACCCGCATAATGTCTTTGTACAATAACCTTCAGTTTACAATTTTTATTACAGCCCTGTGAAATCTACATTTTTAAGGGTATCGCCTTCAAATGAACACAGCTTGAAACATGCAAAGATGCAGAACAATAATCAATGTAGAATCTATATTTCTTGTTTCTTGTCAGTTGTAACAGGTGGCCCACTAACCGACCGATACCAGCTTGCAGTAATCCGATTTCACTGGGGAAATGATAACTGTTCAGGCTCTGAACACTCGGTTGATGGCCGCAATTATCCATTAGAGGTATAAATCACAATCGTGCATCATGATCAACTAACGGGAATTTTATATTTTTAAGAAATGAAAGCGACTAACAGGATCATGATCATGTTACTAAAAAAAGAATGAAATAAAAGGGTGAAGAAAATTTCAATTAAGAGGCATCTATTATAGATTCTTATGATTGGACGATTTTAAAATGGTGGCATACGGGAAATTTTACTCGGGCCCGAAAAAAATTCACATCTTTGTTTTCTTTATACTTCGTAGAAGAAGGATATTTGTTGCAAGTTAGACATTCTTCGAAAGACGAAAACACACAAAAAAACTAAACTCAACATTACGCATTGCGCGCACTTAAGTAATGAGAAACATAAAGTCAGTGCAGCAAATCCGAAAGTAAAATCGTATGCCGCTAACCACAAACAGGTTCAGCTTATTCATTGGAATGCAGATGTGTATAAGAACATTGGAGAAGCAATCACAGGAGAAAATGGGATATGCATAATAGGACTCTTATATCAGGTAAACCATGGCAAGTATAACTAAATGGTCCATAGTTATTGTAAGACCAACACAAGGGCAACACAAACAACAGAGTTGTGCCTCATTTAGGGTTCAGTGGTTAATACCCGGAGAAAAAGGTTTGGATGCCCTTTCATTTTCTTTTACGTTCCCTTGGAAGTGATACTGCGGGAGGATTAAGAAGACACGATCAATAGCTTTTAAAATGGCATTGCCCAAATATGTGATCAGTTGAACTGAGAAGAGGCCTTAAAACACAACCAGACCTCTTACTAATGTTTCAAAGACCTTTAACTTCACCAGTGCTCATGCAACTGAACTACCCTGGCGGCAGGGTTTATTAGAACCATTGCTCCATATATTTTTTTTTTCTATGACTAACAGACTGAGATCGAAAAGTTTCAAAAGGGTTGCAGATTGTATCCAACAAATAGCCATCATAAACCATCATTGAACTAATGATTCACGTGTCGTTAGGTAACAGATGAGGACAATGAAGGCTTAGCACCAGTTATTAAATTACTTTCTAGGGATGAGAACAAGGTAAGGCCTAATTCACGAAAGACGTTGTTAAGCCAGATTGATTGTTTGATAAATATATAGCGATTTGTTTAATCGAATGAGCAAATAAATAAATAAACAAATAAATTAATAAATTAATAGCCGGAAAAAAAAAAAAAAGATTTAGTGACTGCGCGGGTGGGGAGCACAGTGGTTTTTCGTCTGCTATCGTTCTTGATCGAACAGGAAATGATAATTTTTGAGGTGAGGGCAAAACCGAAGAACGCTGAGAACAACTACGGTGCTCTTACTTACTGAGAGTATTTGGAATGTTTTATCGTTGTTTGGACTGGCAATGACTTAGCGAGTGAGACAGTTATTACAATATTATGTCATTAGAACAACAGCTTAAGTGATCTTTACTTTTAGGGGTGCTTTTCCTTGGAGGTAAAATCTGCCATAGACCCAAATAAAATCATTGCAGGTTAGTTAATGTTATTATTTTGTTCTAGTTATTTACCACTTTGTAAAATAACATTTGTACAGTGGCGTTCAATACTACTAAAATGTTTCAACTGAGCTGAGAGGCATTCAGTAGTTTTTCAGGTGTTAAGTGGATGCCTCGATGACTTAAGGAAAACTGAGCAACAGCATTTTGTTTTTGTTTCTTTGACTTCCCGGTGTTACAATCGTTATTTTTGATGGAATGCTCGTACCATGCCCCATTGAAAGAGTTATTTTGACAACGTCTCTGTCTACCAATCTATTTGGGTTTTTCACAAATGGATGGCTTATGGGATCTCTTACTATAATGAGACTCAAATCACTGAAGTACAAACAAAGAGAGCTTATGTTAAGTCTTTGTATGGTTCAATGCATCCATACCCTGATATTTATTTTCCAGATATGAACTCTTACTGGACATACCAGGGCTCTCTTACTACACCTCCGCTAAGTGAAAATGTCACGTGGTTAATATCGCAAAATATCATGGGCCTTTCTGAGAAACAGGTTAGTATGGTGAGGTTGTGGAAACATGCCCTACAGGGAAACCAAGGCAGTTTGCTGATTTTACAGTTGATATTGACGGTTAGTTACACGATCAACTTGTTCTACCATGGACAAAGTATACACAAGGTGTCCTTTTTTGAAGGTCAAAATAGCTATTTAAGAACGGCAAGCATCAAATTCTCTTTCAAAATCTTCAATTTGTGCTATTCACAGATCAATGCGTTCCGCAGTATTCGAAACAGCGTTGGAGAATCTATGGCAGACCACTGTAGACCAGCTTGCCCGCTCAACGATCGACCGGTGTTATCCTGTGCGTGTGTTGTAAAGAGCACCAGTATGGAAAATAATAATGAAGTTGATAGCGGTGTAGAAGATAAAGAGGATCTTTCTGAAGAGATTGGTGCAAGCGAAGAAAATGAAAATCTTGAAGAGATCAATGGTTACAACGACGGTGCTGTTGATAACGTTGATGCCGATGAAGGTGCAGAGAAAGGCGGAAAAGATGAAAATACAAATCAACAAATAAATATTGACGACAATGCAGACACGGCCATGAATGATCAAGATGCAAATTTCCATGGCAACCAGGTGATAAGTGATGTTGAGGATGACACCGAAAGGGTTTTGTATGATGAAAATGCTAACCGCCATGCGAGCGATGAAAAGTCTGGTACAGTCATCTTAGATGATGGACTGTTGGAATTGATGAACAAACTCGCCGAATGATTAGTCCGCGCCAACGACAGAAAATTGTAGTTAAGAGGAAGATTGGTTAAGATTAGTACAAGTCTGATGCATTAGCATATTGGACAAATAACCATGAAACAATGACAATAAGTCTTTAATGTTGACCATCCTTTGTGTTGTGATGTCCTTTGCTAAGAGTCAGATACTCTCAACATTTCTAGTGCGATGTGTATGATCAGACAAAATTGATTATTGATAGAATTTAAAAAAAAAATAGAAAAAATATGGTACTTAAACTTCGAAAAAGCTTTCTCTTGACGTTTGCCTGCAGCCAAAATAGAACTGAGAAGGGGAAAAAGGTTAGAGATAACACTTAAGTAAGAACGAGGCTTGAACAATTATTGTAAGAAATCAACTCCTTCCGCCAATCGACTTCACAGCAACAGTTATTGTAAGTTAAAAAAATAGGACCAGCATAATAAACGTTTCAAATTTGTAAAAAGTTTGTCAAGGATAACGTTCTTCTAAGCTGACGTTAGAGCGAACCAACCAGCGTCACCAGCATAGCTTCCGGTTTTCGGTCGTTCTTTGCTTCAGAGTAAAGACAAACTTAAGTACCACGATTTTTTTTTTTTTTAACAAAAGTTAAGACAACCAGAAGTCAGAGCACTCTCTTATTCTCCACAGTTCAACTGCAATTTTCTAAGCGAAACACGCAACATCATCTCCCGGCGGGTCTACCATTGAGGTCTGACAGACAAGCGAAAATAAAAGTTCCTCGTTTGTTTTGGGAAAACAGTGAAATACTTTAAAACATGGTTCGTACAAATTCAGACAAACAAATTTCAAGGACTTTTGAAGAATTTTCAAGGATAAATTGCAGTTTTAAAGGAATAAGGTTTATTTAATAAATCGGCATTCTATAACTCCCTTTGATCACCCTATTGGCTAAAACACGGCACGGAGTTATTTACGATTTTTACTTCTTTGACCTTCGTTGATCACATTGTTTTATGCGACTTTCCGCAACAAGACTTTGCGAAATGACTGGGTACGACTTGCAATTGCATCTGAGGTACAGAAATAGCATTTGAAATAAAGAAACAGAAATAAAGTGTTGTTCGTACACAAAAATGTTCTTGAGTTACCCATGAGGTTTACAGGTTCTTACACCGAGGGCGAGCCCAATTTTCCTCGCCAAAATTAATTTACAGAAAATGGTGTCTGGTGTAAACAATTTTGTGAATTTTAAGGACTTTTCAAGATCTAATAAAGAAACAAGTACTTTTCAAGGACCTAAACGCATTCAAGGACTTTTCAAGACGACCACTAAAATTGAAGACCTTTTCAAGAGTGTACGAACCATGTTAACAACAAATTAAGACCATCTTCGACGTTGAAAAATATATATACTTAGTTCTGAGAATATGGGAAATAAAACAAAATACATGAATTATTTATACTTGGGCGTCAATATGATCACTTTGGTTTTTTCCGTAAGCCTCTCTGCCTTGAGTGAATTGAATTCTCATATATTAATGTTATATTTCGTCACTGCTATTATTTAAGCGCTCCGGCATGCAAAAAGTAACTGAGAGATGAGAAACTGCCGAACCCAATAACATTCAGATCAAAGCATTTATTTGTTTTCAAAGTAGCGTTTCTCAAGGTGAAGGGCTAAGCAAAATACTTTTGCGTCTTTATTTATATTTTTACAATTGCAGATGCGGCAGCCCTTGTACAACAAGGATATTTTTTAATTATCATAATGGTAATAAATAAAAAGTTCAATCATGTTATTAGCTTTAAATACGATTTGATGAAATCACTGATGAAAATGATAAAATCCCATTGCAATAAATAAAAGTCCTCGACAATTACATGTAAATTAATCTGTCGACAAGAAACAGACCGACTACTTGGTTCTAAGAGGGTCTCAATGTGGTGGAGATAAACGGTAAACACACCTCTAAAAAGGTGTTCAAATTAATAACCATTGTTACAAAACATACAAGGTCAGACAGTCTCAAAGGACGAATTCCCTGGATGAAAAAAAAAAAAGGGAAGAAAGGAAGGAAGGATTGGATAGGCTCCATCGGTCCAGAAATCTAGCAAAATAAAGTCCTGACAGGAGATCTCAGCAATCTCCAAACTGTAGCTAGGAAATCTTTTACGACTAAAGCTTTTCTTGTTTTTGCGCCTAACGACAAAATTATTTGACCGTGTTACAACTAACGGTTAACCCTATCGAGACTCCCTTCTAATGCTAGTCCTCCCTTTGTTAAAAAATAGCATTAAAACTACGATGTACTGCCAAAAAAAACGCAAAAAGTTCGTGCATATCACAGCTCCGTAACCTTTGCAGAGAAACAGCATTTTCGTAATTATTCGGGCAAATAGTGTGAGTTACTAAAATCACAGGCACACCTATGTTGAAAGGCTCAGTTGTCCACGTTTCCTAATCAAAAAATAGGTTCATGCAGAATCCGTCAGACTTAACCCCCTCGTTATCTAAAACCCGACATTATATAAGAGTAACTAATAGCAAAAAATAGAGGGGGATATTCTGTTTCGTACATCAGTCAACCGCATTAATACGGACGTTTTCATTAAGTTAATTACAAGTAATCTACATTTTACAAAGGCATTTTGGACTAAAACAAAAACTAAAAAAACCTTCTAATAAATATTGATCAACAGCTTTAGTTGTATATGTCAACCACTGAAACAAAAAAAGGAGGTTCAACCGTTTCAGCCTGTAGCTGGTATGCTATGAACAACACGTGACACAATAAGTATTATTTGCTTCAACAAAGCAATAGCATCATATCTTGCCCATCAACCCTTTCGTATCTTTCTGATCAATGAAGCAATTAACGTTCCTAGGGCATTAGCTTTCTCAGTCAATGATTCCAAACCGCAGTTATTTGGCCGTTCTTCCACTGTGGCTTCCACACTTGCGATGACATCACCACAGTGCTCTACCACCTCAATCACCATAGATACCATCGTACTGACACTCCATGTCGTGTTGTCAACAACTGTCGCGTTGGCTTTCTCGCAAGACTCAACCAGCTTTTCCAAAGAATCTAAAGAGGCCTGGATTGCTGACACAACTTGAGCGGTTCCTCTTTGAACACTCGAAACGATAACTTTCACGTCACATGTTAAGAACCTAGCGTTGTTTTGTAACATCAACAGCCAGTTCGTTCGTTCATCTGGTAATTTTTCAATTGTCAAACCTTCTTTCAAACAGAATTCAAGCCTTTTTTTAAAGCTGCAAACTCTTGACAGTCCTTCTTTGCATACTTCAGAGCATTTTGTCTCGACAGAGTGAGTTTGATGTTGTTCCAGAAAATGAAAGCCTGAACATGAATCAATGACGTCACCCAACTTTCTATTCTGACTAAAAATGAAGCTGGGAATTCTGGTCTTACTAGTGCAAGATCTCTCGTCTTCAAGATGAAGATTGTCCTCGCTAAAAGATCTCCAGCTTATGCCTCGAGGAGATGAACCAGTGATGTAGAATTTACTGGAAGTTTCCTCTTCACTTTTCAGCAAGCTGGGACTGCCCCGTTTACGAAGTTTGTCTAGAGGTCGCCTCCTTTTCAATTCCGTTGCAGAGGAAGGAAGATCGAAGCATTGGTCCCCGCGACCGTAACTCTGGGCATAATCTTCCAATGTATCACTTAACGGTTCGCCGAAGTCAAAATGATCGTCATTTAAACCAACAATGGTTTTCGGAGGTGAAGTTTCCGGCAATGGAGGTGGGGAACTGTCAGGGGTAAGCGACGGGGTCGATAGAGGCAACAAATTTTCATTAACATCCTCGTTGAAATCAACTGACTGTTTGTGAGATAGAAACTTAAAGACGCCTTTCTTGGAGGATTGTATAGGTCGTTGTGGTCTGGTCATTAACTCAAAGCTTCTCCTCATTCTACTAGAGCCAGGTTGTTCACTAATCTCATGTTCGGTTAAAACGTCTTCGGAGGTAACCAAGGTAGAAACCACATATGGTGGATGAAACGTCACGGGCTTTTTAGACGTACTCATGGAATCCGATTCCACAAAAGAGTTCAAGAAGAGTTCATCATTACATTTACTAGATTTAACTTCGCCTCCCGGGTCTGACTCCAAAACCTCCCCCAAAACTTTAAAGGATGTTTTTACCTGTGATTGGGACTGCACGGGACATTCATCATTATTGTTTGAATCCTTAAAGAAGGTTTCATTGTGAAATGGAGATGGCAAAAATGACAGGCCAGCCCTCGTATGCAGTTGATTTAAACCTTGCTCAGGTTCATTTATGGTTCTAGCCACGGTGGCATTACCTTCAGGTTTGATCACATGCTTTGCATTCAACGAAGCGTCGATACCTTTATCTGCGGTAATAGTATCGCATCTGATCATTCTGCTTTTACTTTTTGTTGACTGCAAGTAAAATGGTTTGGGGGGAACAGCAGGCTTTTGTTTTAGTGAAGCTGCTGAGTAGGTTTTGGCAGATATGTTGTCTTGGTAAGTGCCGCAACTTGAAAATGCTGACTGGCTTGCATAAAATGTTCGTTTTGAAGCAAAAAATCCGCGAGCCTCAACATTTTGAGCTTTAATTTTGTTGTCTTCCGTAAAATTTACCCGCAGTCCTTTGTTGTGAGCGATTTTATGATCATCAGTCAAGGACAGAAACCTTACTTCGTCGTGATCGCAGTCTAAATCGTCTGTAACGTTTTGGTTGGTTAATTGCTTGGGTAGTGATGGTGGGGGAGAGGCAATTTTTATATCTGAAATGGTAGTAACACTTTCAGCCAAAGGAGGAGGTGGGACAATCAGGTCTTCAAGCTCCGTATCCAATTCATCCTCATATAATACTGCAGTATCAGTAGGAGGAGGCGAGACAACTTGAATATCATCTTCTTGAAGTTCCGGAGTAGGCGTTGGAGGCGAGGGTATGATCCAGGCAGATGGAGAACATGGGCTCCCTGTGTCCTCCCAAACAGGGTCACTTTTATCAGAGAAAGTGTTTAAAGATCGGAATTCTAAGACATTTTGTTGGAATGATCGGTCAAATGAAGGCCTGGATCCAGCACAAGCATCATTAAAGGAACTTGATTCAAGCAGCATGTTTGGCTCTTCGCTAACGACAGCTTCTGACGTTTTGGCAGTGCTTTCCATTTCGATTAAATTCAGGTAATCATCAGAGTATAGAACCGCTTTATCACCTGAAAGTGAGGCCGAAGATTTCGCTATCATAATCTCCTGATCGTCCGAGCTTGAATGAGACTCCAGCGAGACGTCACGACGTCTATCATTTAATGAAATCAACGAAACAGGTGTAACATCACTCTCCTCATCTTGCTGTTCGCAAACGTCTTTCTTTTCCTTGCCAGAAAGCAGAAATTTATTACATTTTATTTCGCTGTCTTTCACCGTCAAATCAGGAGTTATATCATAAGAGACCTCAGAAATTTCTGAGGAAGTGGTAGACAATTCTTCCAAATCTTGCTCAAACTGGCCGGCGTCTATGACGCCATTTGTAGACGTGACGGTGTCTAAATTATCTTTTGAGTGGAATCTTATTAGACTCACCGGCACACGATCTTGTTTCCATTCCAGATAATTCAAATCATCCATATCATATTCAAGTTGATCTTCCTCAGCAATACAAAGAATGCCCTCTTTGGTACCGGAATACCTAAGGCGCCTACTGGGCTGGAAGAACTCTGGAAACTCTGAGAATAGAGATTCTTCTCCTTCCGAAACATCAGACGCCGTTTCTGAGTCACTACTTTCAACAAATTCTGATAAAACCACATGGCTTAGTTCACTCTCCCTAAGACTGTTAAGATCCTGGTGTTTATTGGATGCATCGCTTTCAAAACTTTTACAATCTACCAGTTTGGAATCTTTAGGCTCAACGTTGTCTGAATCAGGAGTATGACAATAATCCTCCGAAGTTGCCTGTTCATCAAATCTGCCGAAAGCAATTTCATTTTCCGTATAATCCATTTGTTCTATTGTCTTGCTGTCGAATTTCCTTTCGACGCTACCCAGATCGCTTAAAGTAGTTGAAACTCTGTCACATTGAGGATCTGCGGTAGAGTTTAGATACACTTGGTTATCTGCAACTGCTTGAAAATTCCCATTGCATTTGATTGAGACAGACTTTCCTTCATTTGTGTGGCTACTATGACTACCTGGCAGACCACTGTCACTAAATCCCAGGTTCTCCAACTCCTTTTCAACATATTGATATTCACTGGAATCACCTTCAGGAGACAGGAGAATTGGTGTTCTCGTCACTTTGTCAACCCCATCTGTTTCATCAAAACCACTAACCGTGTGAGTACTGTGCTGCTCGGAATTTACAGACAAAATTAATCCACTGCTACTACCTTCAGTTGACGACCAGTTAGTTGTTACTGACCTTAAGCTCTCTGTATCGCTGACACTTACTTCATCTTCGCTTTCATCAAAAACAGTTACTTCTGCGTTTTTATTTTCCTCGTTGTCACCTGTGGGTACTACCTCTGAAATGAAATCAACGTCTTTAAAGTCGTCTCCCTCTGCTGTTTTGATAGACTTACTACCCGATCTTTCTTTATCAGAAATTTCCAAGGATGCTCGGTGTCGCTTTCGTGACTCGTTTAACTCTTCTGTGTCCCACCAGGTTTCGTCACCGTTACAAATATCACTTTGTGTATAATTCCTGACACTGCCCATGTTCTCCACACTTGTCTTTAAAACAGATGATGCCTTTTCAAGAAAACTGTAATCATCCTGCGTCATGACAGAATCAGGGGAATCATCATCACCATCACCTGCATCATCTTTAGTTTGGAGGTTGGGCGACCGTGAGGTTTTCTTGACCACGGATTCCTGCTCCAGTTTCTTCTGCTCGACTTCTCCTGTGACTAAGTGGTCGTCACCAGGCTCCTCTGAAATCGCCGTTTCATGGTATCGAGGGGGAGCCTTCGACAGGTCGATAAATAAGTCCTTGTGACCTTTTAAGGGTTTAGTGGTTTCTACTTGTCTTTTGTTCTTTGAAGTTAACGTTCTAAAGCGCGAAGGGTATGACCAAACGTCTGGGACCACATGATGTCTTGAGTAAAATACTGGCGCTGTAAGACAAATAAATAAATTCAAATCACTTCAAGCAAAAACATGAAATTCAACGGCAAACAAAACGAAGTATTACCCACCGTCATTTGCTGGAGGATCCCGCCTAAATGAAAACGGCCATTTCTCTTCGTTTTCTATAGGTAGTGGATTGTTGCTTGTGTTGTCGACATATAATTTGTAATAACCAGTAATGAGCGCAATTATGTCCATGCAGTCCAATGAGGAACAAATTAACTGAATTTCCTGTATGATACGAGAAAGCAAACCACCATTATTTTTCTCAAATGAAGAAGTGAACATTATATTCAACCCGTTGTAAGATTTGCAAAGTTTGACATTTTCATTTTAAAGAGGAATCACGCATTGCCTCAAAAGAGAGAGGAGAGAAAAATTTTACTGAAATCCCGAATACCGTTGTTCACAATTTGGTGCAACGGGGATCATATATCCAGTTAATATGAAGAGTAAACTGTAGATGAAGTGATTCAGACAGTATGTTAGCGTTCGATATAGGGACCATAACAGTTGAGCAATATCACGGAACGACAGTGAATACGGCTAATGAATTTTATTCAGTGTTCTCAAATCCCTCCTCCCTCGCTGTGAATCACAGATATCGACCAACAAGAATGAGATTGTCGTGTTTAAAAGTTGCAGTCATACTTAGTCGTGTAGTTGTAGTCTAATCTGAAGACCTGAGCCATACCGGCAAAGTACAAATTACAAACCTTCCCCTCTTGAAGCTGGATACGCAAAAGCCGCTTGTGATCTTCGTAAAGAGAAATCTTGAATCCTTTGATCTCGTAGAACTCCGCAAGTTGACACAGCTGCGAATGAGAATAAAATAGCAAAGCCCCTTGTCAACGCAAAGTTAATGGGCGGATACATGGTTGAATGAGCAAATTAGTAACAATGATTCACAAGAAAATAGAAAACAAAAAGGTCGACGTATAAGCCTATTAAGCTGGACAGAAAGCTATTAAAAACATAAAATATTAAATAGGCTGTGTATTGGAGCTGTCAATTGCATGGCCTACAAACATTTACCGTGAACCTACCGGCAAAGGATATAAAACTTATACGCTGGCTTTTTACTTGACAGGGGACAGTGAGATCTCCAGGAAAATGGAGAAGGGAGAGTGGTGGTGAATAGGGGCGGCGCAGTAGAGAGCACTCACGTGTCACCACTGTGGCCTAGGATTGTATATCGGAGGCGACGCTATATGTGGGTTGAGTTTCTTGTACTGTGCGCGTTCGTCCTTGTTCCAAAAAGCTAGGTACTCTGGTTCGACCCTCGCATTAAAAATCAGCATCCTCAAATTCCCATTCGATCAAGGAATGTGGCAAACGAAAACCACCACTTGAAATCAGTATTACCAACATCATTCTCATCATTAACATCAAAAGAAGAGATATAACTTACAACATTAACTTTTCCTCTGACAACTTGACTCACTCCATATTTCAGGTTGACTAGTACAGTGACATGCTGCCTCTTGTTCTGTAAAAATTATAATCATTGTCATTATCATTATTATTTTCGATATCTAATGAGTGAAAATCAGGAAGCTGACTAATTGTAACTTCTAAAACTGCCCTCGTGAGGTTCTGATGACTTCCTAGTACTGTGCTTCCAAACACTAAGTACTGAATGTAACGGAAACATGGTAAAAACCAGAACTATTGATTTACGCAAGACTATCGGGACCCCGGACTCGTCGGAACTGTTTTGAGAGCACAGTGTAATGAAGTGCCAATTTCTCAACGGCATATGCTAAAAGAAGAGTTTGTTTTACTGTTAAAGGATTCCCACACCTTTTATTCAAAGAACTCAAAAATTTCGTTCTCGTTTACAACTTACAAAATTAAGATAAGAATTTTTTAAAATAACAATACTAATAATAAATAATAAAAATATGTTGCACTCTCACAGATAAGACACACTATTTCCGGACTATCAAGAAACAAACCTTATTTAAACTTGGTCCATTGTTGCCGCTATCAACAAGCACAGCATCAAAGTATCTTCCACCGTAAGAAAATATCTCTGCGGCTAGGTTCAAGTAATGTATTTTACACTGTAATGAGCTCATATGTCTTTCTCCTGGGGAGGCTAAATTCTCGTTGTGTTTTATTTGCTGATCCAAAGCCTTACGGATTTCTTTATCCCTCATACTGTGGAGAAGATCAGACGAGACAAACTTGCACAATCCTCCGAACTCCTTCTCTATTTGTCGTACTGATATTTTCACCAGGCGTCCGACTGCAGCTTCGATGGCTTTTTGTTGGATCTGCAGAGCGGCAAGCTTGATGGCAAGGTCATACTTCAAGTCCACTCCATAAAATCCTTCCACCGACATGTTAGTAACCTTAAAAAGAAAATAACTATGTCACATTTTCTCGAGCAGTTTTCAAGATTTCGTTGAATTCACCAAGCATGTCTTCTTCTTTAAAGGTACATGTAGTCGTAGGCCAGTACTGTGTCAAACGCAAGCAAAGGACCGACTATACCATGGGCGTATCAGTGAACATATTGTTACCGAAATCCGATTTTGTTAACCTAATCCTAGATATAGTTATCTCTCAACAGCTTCTTTGCTATAAATTACAAACCCTCTGCAAAGCTTTAGTTACCTTGACAAAATTTGTGTAGCAAATATGTTTTCCACCCTGATACGTAGCATTTTTCACTTAAAGGTAAAATAAACCAAAACATTGAAATATTTTCTTTTGTCGCTTTACCTTCAACAAACACTAAAAAGAACCATCCTAAGTGGGATTTGGGTAAAGAGTTTTCTTCCCAAGCGTTCATAGAAAGGTAAAAGATCAAAATCCGAGCGTTTCTGAAGACTCTGAAATGGCCGCGTAATGGACTGGAGACTACGTGACGTCAGTGTTGGTCTTCAGGGCGGGAAAACGATCTGCACAAGCTTCTGCGCATCCCTTATCGCAGGCTCAAGGCGAGTTTCTCACGTTTGTCACTCTACGTTTGTCTGCGTTTGTGTCGTTCTGTGAGAGTTCTGATTGAGACCAATTATGGCTCTCGTTGAGACTGAATGAAATACACGAGGTACGAACGTTTGCTCCTTGTAAAGTCTTCTTTGATTCGTTTTTGTTGTTTTTTCGTCACATGAAAATTACTTTGGATTCAGAACAACCGATGTTAGAGTAAAAACGGATCATTTTGTGAGTCTAAGGTGGAATAAAACGTTTTGAACATTTCCAAAAAGGTTTGTATTTTTCTGATAATTGGGCTTTAGATTTGTGAGATGATTTTGTGTCCAGTGCTTCGCCTTCTTTCTCCGGGCTGAGTTAAAACCCTCTTGTGTTCTGTTATTAGTTGTTTCGGTTAGTTTTTTTACATGCCCAGATTTATTTACCTTTGCAGAAACAGCTTCATCCTTGTCATCAGTCAAAGAACCGTAATGCTAACGCATGCGAGTGAACAAATTTGTGCGCTTAAAACTTTCTCTGAACTATAGAAGACCAGCAAGCTTACTCGAGAAGAAAAGACTACTTCGATCATTTTTTTGTTGCTCAAGTAATAATAGTCAGATTTTTTTTTCCTTTTTTCATTTTTAATTACACAGTTTTGTTTTCCTTCTGGACGCAAATTTTCCTTTTCACTCGCTGTGAAGTAGCTGAGCACGACAACTGCAGGCAGTAAACATTGCCCGTAAACAATTGCTGGAGCTGGATTTGACAGAGGCAAGCAAAACAAACCTTTATGTGCAGTTTCCTGTATTTTCTAATAGTTCAGTTTGCTGAGTTTAATTTTTTCGAATGAAGACCCTCGCATGGACCAGTTATTAAAAATAGCTAAATGGTGAATCATTGCTTTGCTGCGAAGCTTGCAACTGATCTTTTGCTTTTAAGATCTTTAGGTATAGCTTGTTTTCGTACAGAAAATTCACTTCTTCATTGTCAGCAGGTATAAAAGCCTTAAGCCTTATGTTTTTTTACTAGCAATTTGATGTTTTGCAATTTTTAGTTCACTTAAGCTGAATTTTATGCATGATGGAATTGTTCTTTGCTTGTCGCATCTCTTTGCGAGCTAATAAAGTGGCGCCTATGGTCCTTAAAGTGACCTAAGTCGGTTATTAAATCATATACATAACCGCAAAGAAGTTTTTGCAATAATGTAATTTTAACTTTGTTCGAAGGAAATCTTACTTTATATAACTTACACGTAGGTTTTTGAATAGGTGTTATGCATGTTCAACTTGACAACACAAAGCAAAATTTATCTGCGCGAAACGATCAAGTTTAAAAAACTAATAGTCGTTTTAAAAACAATTTTGGGGTTTATTTTACTAGATAAAGATTAACTCTTTTTCTGCCCAAATATTAACGCCAAAACTTCTACATTGAGGATTTTGTTTATACTAGTGATCTGCGAAGCTTTAAGTGTCCGATCGAGCGTGGGTTTTAAAATATCAGCTCAAGCGCGACACAGTTCAAGTGACTTCAAACACATTGTGGGCAAGCGTGAATTTCTTTGGGCAAATCACTATCCAAAGATATTTTGTTTTTGCGTCCACAGTGGAGCTCCGGACCTTACATGTTTAAGAACTTCCTTATATGAACACATTTTTTAAATGCATCTTGAAAAAAATCGGACCTAGGCTCGTACATTTCCAGTACAACGCAAGGAAATTAATGTCATTAAAGTTCGTTTTACTATGATGTATTCTTCGAGAAAATTAATTGATGAGAAGGTTAGAACCACACCTTGCAACTTTTGAAGGCGGCAAATTGCTAGTTCTTTCCAGGTGTATGGCCACACAAACCACCATAATTTCTGCGCCAAGTCGACTCGAAAAACACTCTTTTAAATTTCCCTCTTTTTTTTCACTTGACTAACATTGACGTCACAAGCTGTTTTTGTCGACAATTTTTCCGACCACTCTACGAAGATAAGGGCCACAAAATAGCAATTTTTAATTGCGAATATCTCGGAGATGTTTGCTTCAATTGAGCCGAAACTTCACAGTATGTTTATTAGGTTCATATTAAACATATTTCACTAGAATCGATCTAAAATAAAAAATGTCGAAATTTTGGTTCATTTGACCCTTAATGGCTTCAACTATGTTAAGTTCTGGGAATATATTCTCACCGCACAAAATGGTCACTTAAATGTATTCACCTGTGCATAAAGATACTCAAAAGCATTAGGATCCTGTGAAAGCAACTCAAAATGGTCCTTGGGTACAAAGCTGATAAAAACGAGAAACACAAAACCTGGTTATTATAAAGCACAACTATTTACACAATATATCAAACACCAGAAGGAGTGTTACATCTGATCATAGTTAATTGAGTGGAATGGTTATGAAACCCGTCAGACTCCTTTGTTATATGTTTTTGTGGACCTGAAAGTGCACAACGTTCAAAAGAATTCCTATCATTTTGATTGTATTGACCAATAAAAACGTTGCATTAATTTATTCCGTAACAATTTGCCAACAGAAAACAAAGGATTGTGCACTTTCACGGTACTTCCAACATAAACTGCAGCACTGTTGTTTTTATCATTGATGTTTGCCGCTTTTCATAACCAGTCTCCTCTAATAACTATGATCTGATATCCAAACACTGGGAACTGATTTGACGAATCGAGACGCACTGGGATCGTATTTCCAAATTTAAACTTACAGTTACAGATTTTCCTGTTTGTTGTTATATTTTTTGTTGTTGCTTGTTTTTCCTTCGCGAATTACCTGGTTGTATGAATTTAAAATAGTGTGTATAGAACAGAATTGACTGTAACACAAATCACTCCGAAAAAGGCCAGGCAGCTCTACGCTCGACTGCCACTTAATTTGATTCCAACCCGTGGTACACTTTCGGCATGGCATACGCCGCAGTCCTTTTACGTTCACAAGAAAATACTCCAACACATGGTTACAGTAAAAATCCACAAATGATACAAAGAGACTGCAGTTGAGAATTCGAATTTAGCTCTATGTCGTCTAATTTTGGTGTCTGGTTAAAAAAAAAAAGAATTTTAGTTAAAGTGACCAATACGCCTTTTGTACATCCCCCATAATGCACCTTATTTGCCCCCACCACCCCCAAATTTTGCATAACCTTTGTTTTCCATTTCTCCCGGGTATTACAGCCGTCCCTAGAGAAACTGAAAACAATGCTTATGCAAAATTTGTGGGCAGGGCAAATACGGTGCATTATGGAAGATGTGCAAGTGGCGCATGAGCATAATAATCTGAAAAAATATATATATACGAATGAGGGAGATACTCACGCAATATTAAGTTTACACAGACAGTTGACGCTACTGCAGTTTCGATTGGTGAAAATCTGTTGGGAAAAAATGTTTGGCAATTAATGAATGAGGCTGAATAGGATATGAAGAATTACGCAGATCGAGGAGGGTGTTATCCACCGAGGCCGATAGCCGAGGTGGATAACACCCTCCCAGATCTGCTTAATTTCTTCATATCCTACAAAAGCCGAATTCATTAATTGCTTTATTATTCATTCAAAATAATTCCCAGTTTAAAAAAATAGCTAAAACATGCTTATTTGCATCGATGTTAAGTTCATCTTCGATAGTGTACGTTTAGGTTTGTCCAGCTCCGCAAATATTGTCCAATTAGCAGATGTCGCCCTTCGAGTTGTCTTCAGGCCGTTTTCGCCATGTTTTTAGCTGTTATTTTGCCTAGTTCCAGCAGTAGTTCTTACTCTTGAAACGAGTGAAATGTCCGCCGTTTTCACAACCAAAACAACTCCAACTCAACCTCGTCCCAAGGTCTTCTCGGTAACGGTGCCTTAACCTGTAGCGGGCTGCATTTTTCACGTCATTTCCTCGTTGAACACAAAATTCTTCCAAATTTGGTCATCAGTAAATGGTTATTGTGAATTATGCGTGTGCTTTTAGCCAATCAAAATTGGGGTAAATATTTTGAATGAATAATAAACAGTAAATAATGTACAGCCCGCGAGCCTGAACTAAACAAAAAATATTCCTTACTAACAAAAATTACCAAGTTTTACCAAGAAATAAACAAGGATCGACACTTCATGAGAAAATTTACCTCAGAAATCTTTTCGTGGTTTTGTATGTAGGAGATTTGTCCCTTTTTTGGGCCAGTCAGAACAAGACTGAAATGCTCCAATGACCTCAGATCAAGCTTTGAAGCAAATGAGCGAAAAATTTCCTGAGCATGTTAAAACAAATAGAAAGCCAAAGTCAGTCTATGAACAAATTACAACGCCTAACAACATGGCAGATGATCAAAGCATGCTCTGAAGCGGGTACGTTCTTTGTAATTGGCAATGATCACTTTTCTTAAGTAGGTCACGTAAGTAAGATACCATGACAAGTAGCATTAATTGTGCCGTTAACTTGGTTATTGGCAGTCTGTGTTTTTGTTTTTAAATCATCATCTGTTGAACCAGTTGGAAGAATATTATGTGACTCAAAATCGACCATTCTCCGCAAGGATGAGGCAAAACAAAAATATTTGATTTATTCGCAGCTTTTCTTATTGGTAGTAGCAAACAGCACCAGATTTTATACATATAACAATGCCCTTCTTAAGTCATATGTGTTAATATAATGAGTAACTGATCATCACGTAAAAGGTAAAGCAAGATTTACGGTTCACCTCGGCAGTTGTGTTGCAGTCGTACCGAAAAGAACGTGTCTGACCATTTTCCAGAAAAACTTTCAACACATTTGGAATAAGCGGCACTGAAGACTGTTGGAAACAAAAAAGCCTGACTGAGTCACTGTAATCAAGGAAACCTAGCAATACTAAAAGAAATTGGGCGTTAATAACGGATTTCAAAATAAATATTGCATAATTAAGTTAAAATGATTCACTAATTAATGTTTAAAAAGAGTCGGTAAATCAATTGGAAAATTGTCCTTATTTAGTCGGCCGAAAACCGGTACAGATCTGCTGCTCATAATTTTTTATCACATATATTTTAGTTTGCAAAAAAAAAATTTCATTTTCACAAAACGTACTTCATTTTAAAAATGCTACCAAATATCGGAAAAAGGAACAGAACACTCTACACGTACCGGGATTATGTGTCATGTCTTCATATCTATTCACTAATCAGTTTAGAAATACAAGCTGAAACTGTTTAAGTCACCACCTTTAAGGCCCTTAAACGGTTTGAAAGTGATTTGCTAATAGACTGGTCTCATCAATATTATACTGAGTACAACCTACTCTTCTGACAGGTTCCATTGGACCAATGACCTGTACTAACGCAGGTTCATCTGCAAAGCGCACAGAGACTGGAGTAGATCGCCGACGTTCTCTTGTCGTTCGACTCATTAGCGATGACTTCCGGTTATGCTAGAATAAAAGTCGAGAACCATTAGAAGATAAAACTTAAAATATTGGTTTTCAAACTCATCGAAAAACTCCATTTTCAAACAGTTTCTTTGTCTAATTATATTATTTAACTTTTCACTTGCAAAGTGAATGTCGGAGACTTGTTCTGAGATGGTTCTAATGTGGACGAAATCCTGTGGTGTGGCAATTCAAAAACGAAACCTATTTTGTAATGATTTTACAAGATACTATTTGCTTGTTGGATTTTGAATTTGTCTTCCTTTGGGGGTTAAAGGGTTTAATACCATCTCACAAACAGAAAAAAAGGAACACAACAAAACGGTATGTTTTCGTCTTGTTCATTATGTTGCCAGTTTTACTCTCCGCTAATTTTGCCTGATGACACTAAAGACTGACTGCCTTTAGTCCCATGGTGCATGAGACCTATCCTTTAAGAAATTGATCGCTGACATTATTTTTTTCCAGATTAAAAGACTGGACTCTAGGGCCTCTACAATTTGCCCTTTAATTTCGTGCGCATTGATATCTGAACCCATACGCATTTCGCTGCACTGCAAAAGAACGGACTCAGCTAAACTAAAAGTAGAAACATCCCTTGCCTTGTTTTTAGTATCTTGTACGTCGTCACTTGCTATCACCTCCAGTTCAATACTTCCAACGGAACTCCTGCACAAAAACAAACACTTTCGATGGTCCCGAATTTTGACCTCAGATCTTTTAAAAGGACAATAGAGATATTTACAATCAATTTTGGGGAAAACAGCAATTGTCAGATTCACTTTAACAACTTCTCAAAATAGGAAATGAGCAGACTAAAAACTGTACAGAAAAATTCTTATGAATGAAGATGTCACGAAACTTTTTTATTTCTGTACAAATAACATCAATATTAAAGGACAAGTAATGGGCAAAATTGCTCACGCCCTACAAGTTGATGTTTGACGTAAAAGAAATTCTAAATTCTCTATTGAGACGTAACGGGAAGGAGTCGGGGTGGGGGAGGGGAGGGGAGGGGAGGGGAGGGGAAGGGTGACTATCATTATTCTAAATCTAGTCTTTCAACCCATTTACTACACGTGGACTGTCATTATTTGAAGTTCCATAGCATTTCTGAATACTATTATTTACGTACTTTATTAGGCTGATGACATCGACTTGTGGAGAATCTCGTACATCCATTCCATTTACCTTTAGGATCTGATCATTAGCATACACCTTGTTGAACGACGGTCCATCTGTGAACAAAATACGACAAATAAATAATCGACACTAAGGCAAAGGAAAACGAGTGACTGCTTCAAAATAATGGGGTAGAAATTTGGCTAAAAAAGGTGCATATATGCATTTTTTCCAAAGTTTGGGTTCTTTTTAAAGAACCTTATTACGAAATTAAATACGAATCCTCGCCTTCGGCAAAAAGACATGTTCTAGCTTAAGTGTGAATAAGGTATGTTAACCACATGCTGAAGTTTCTTACCTGGTATTACAGAGCGTATCACTACTGGCTTTTCACTGCCCGCAACAAATCCAAAACCTGCAAAACATGATTCAATATAAACACCCTGCCCATCGAACAGTTGCATATTAAATGTTCACACTGAAAGAAAACTTGTTTACATTGCCTTTTGTTTATCAATATTGAATTAAATTGAAAATGTCCAAAACTGTGTTAATCCTCTTATGTTTGATGGTAAAATCATTTCATTAATTGCCAGAAGTATTAATAGTTACCAATATTCTTCATTTTAGCTCTGAGAATTCTCTACAAGCTAAGGATCTGGATAAGATTATGAACAACATCCATACCTATGGTTTCATCTCTGATAAGTTCAATTCTTCTTGCCTGAGTTGAAGTCTGTTAAAAAAAGGATAGTGTTAAAAGGCCCCGACCACACGTATTTGGATATTTTTAAATTTTTTCCTCTCCGTTTCAAAATGAATACGCGTCCATGCATAGCGTATTAGAATCGTTTTCGTCCATCCATACGAAAACGGTTGACAATGGAAATACGATAGCATCCCTTACAGAGCATGCGTTATGCTGGTAGTAAACTGATGTATTACATCCTCGTATTCGAAAACCTCCGTCATCGTCCGTCCACACGTAGACGAGTGACCAGGGTTTTCAAAAATCTTCACTCTGGAGGGCGTTTTTAATAATAAAAAAAACGGTGACCGTTTTCACCGAATATGTGTGGACGGTAGGCCAAACCGAAGGAAAAAAATGTCCTTTTTCAAACAAAAACGGATACGTGTGGACCAGGCCTAAAACAAATAGGAGCATGTATGTGTTGTAGTTCAACCAACTAGGTGTCCACATTCAAGTGGACTATTTGTCTACAATATTTTCAGAGACCCATAGAGCCTTTAATCTGGCAGACGATAACCGAGGAAAATAATCAAGGTAACAATTGAGGACTTTCAGACAAAATCATTTTCAAACATGAATACATGAGGCATGTTATTTAGCATAAATCGCTCATTTTGGATAAAAATCTGTCAGTTGCACCTGCAAGTAGATGTTGTGGGACTATCAATGATAGTAGGTGGTATAGACAACAAACTTATAATATATAAATTCTTAGCCAGGGCTAAAAGCCAAGCTCTCGTTGACATACGTATAATTTCCTCAAGCAAAAAAGAAAAAATAAAATCGTGTAATACTAAACGCTGATGGCAACGAGAACTGCAAAAAAAAGGTCTAATTAGCACACTTTTTGGTAAATTTCTTTGCATTTTCATTTCTGTACATTTCTTTGCAAGACTACAACGTTAAACTTCCTAGTTACACGTTTTATGGAGGAAATGTCATATGTGTTCCTGTTTGCCAGTTTTTGTGCACTGAATGTGACATTTGACATCGGCTTACATGTAGGGGTGGACGGACGTAGAGAATGACGGTCACGTGATTACAAATTTTCCCGCATCTATAGGATATCATTTTTTGTTACCCATGGTGCTCCTCTAAAATTACTATTACCTACTTTTCTTGAAATAATCAAGGTTTGATTTTGCATTTTCAAAAAAGAAAAATCCGGGTTTTTTAAAATTTTCATTAAACACTTATATAGAAACTTTACCAAGTACACTTGAAGTGTCCTCCGAACATATCATGATATAATAAAACGGTATACAGTTTACTGAATCAAGTGCTGATTGTTTACCATCTGGAGATGAGTTGCTTGATCAGCTTCTGACCTTGGGTCTTCACGGGTTGTCGTCCTTGTTACATGGCTTATATAAATAAATATGAAAGATATAATTCTTGAACGTTTGAGACACTGCAAAATTACCAATAAAAAGAATTCCCAACACGTTATCAAAAGTTAACATGGGGCTTTGCTAGCCTACGTGTAGCTGCACCCTCCCCCAGACAAAGGAAAAACAAAGGGAGGGTTAGGGTTAGGCTCCCTCACTCCATTTTTCCTCTGTAGGGGGGGGGAGGGGGGGGCTACACATATGGTAGGGCTTTGCAGGAATTCAGTAAGTGATCTCTTTGTGCAATGTCTACAGACAGCTAAAAGAGGAAAGCAATTAAAGTCACAGATAAAGTGTAAGCTTTCCACAGGCACCCCATGGCTGTCTGTGGTGTGAAGCAAATTTGAGAAAAACTGTGAAAGGTTAGTGAACCCAGGAGTCACTTCATTAAGTAGGTTGAGTATGATGACCTACTTTTGAGAAAAATTCTTAACAAATACAATAGGAAACCAATTGGTGCTTGCTCATCAAAAATTGTGGCATTATCAGCAAACCACAAGGAAACAGAGCTCATAACATTAGGAGTCTCCTCTATTGGGTGAGAATAGCTTGAAAGTCGTATGAGTAACCATCTTGGACAATGGTGGCTGGTATCCCCAGTTAGATCAGACTGTGTATATGAGATGAGAAGCCAGCCTGGTTAGACAGATTGGCCTGCTTACCATGATCTTGGTTGAGAAACTGAAATGTTCTTAAGCTGCATGCAAACGGTCTAAATTCTCATATAATTTTAAACAAAACAAAAATGCTAATGAAAAAATGTACTTATGAGCTGAGCTAGTCTGTTAAAGCAGACCAGCCTGCTTGGCTGGCTCACCTAACACCTCACCAGGCCCTTGATTCTTGGCAACTATAGGCAGCCAGTTATGATAATCTTAGGTTTCAAGTAACTGTCAGTCATATATCAAAGAATAAACTCTCATTAAATATTAAGAAAGGCTTGCAAGCAAATGGTCCATGAGCATGTCATTCCAAGCAGTTTGGAACACAAAATTGAAACAGTTTCTCTCGGTATAAGCTCCTTTTTCATATGAAATAAATAAAAAAGGAGATGTCTGAGCACAGACTAGCAGAGCTGAATTCACAATGTAATGGACGTAAACAAACTTAACTGTAAAACTATTTTACACAATCAGATTATACATCTGCAGGCCCTGGTTGTTCAAACGTCGGATAGCACTATCCACTGCATAAATCACTATCCACTGGATAATTATTTGGGAAACCAATTGCGTTATCCACTGGATGGAGATTTATCCATCAGATAGCGCTAATCCTCCTTTTGAACAACTGGGAGCCTGATAGACACCTTTCAAAACCAAGTGGTGTAACTGTAAAAAGGTTTTTTTTCTTTTTCAGTGTGTCTTAATCAATATGTATTTTAAGTCGCCAACATTTAATGTGGCATAAATGAATTAAAGCAATTGTCATTTTCTATGCATGTTTGAGCCTACTGACCCAGGGAAACAGAAAATACTTCCCCCATCTTTAACACAGTCAATGAGAAAACTTTCATCACTTTTCACAATGACTTAAACATGCTCAAAGGACATGATATCGTTGAATACTAGTTGCATGATACATTTATGCTCAAATGAGCATATTGGTAAAAGTGCAGCAGCTAAACCAGCTTTCATGATCATTTAATAGATGGCTGAAATATTAAAAGTCCGAATGCATTTTAAATCAGATGATGGCCACTTGCAAAGTGTGGCCAATTGCTGGCAAATACATTGAAAATTCATTCTCCTACTGAAAGATCCTCAATCAAACATCTTGAAAGTTATCATCAAAGCACTTAGTAGTCCACAATTAGCTCTGTTAGGTGCGCATTATTCATATGGAAAAAAAATTAATGATTAGAAATCGAAATGTAATTGGTTAAAGGAATGATCAACACCTTTAAGAAAGACATTATTTAAACAATAATGATCCTACACATTTCAAAATATTTTGAGACTAAAAAATTACAAGCTTTACGGTTGAGTGATTTAATATTATGCAACAGTTGAGCAAAGAATAAACGATCATCCATAAACTAATTTAGTTTAAATCCTATAATTTTTATATTTTTAAAATCTATCGACATGAAAAATCCAAATGCCAATTAGTGGCAAATTTACCCTGTATTTCATTTTTTGAGAAAAGATATAGCCGCTGCCCTGGGTCTAGTTACAAAATTTAAAACGTTTTTTACCGACTGGATTGTTTACATTTGTACACCTGTCTGCAGCCAATATCCAAATGGATAGCGGCGTTTCGCATGGATAGATTCAACTGAGAGAGCTAAGAACTTATTTATTTATATTCATCTTATACTCACTTAATGTAATATTTCCTGTTGTGGCTGTCTAAGGCCGCTTCCCAGCCATATGGAAGACCTAATTTACTGATCCAAACTTCAGGCGGAGGAAACCAGTGCGTTGATCTTGTACGATGGCTGTCAATCCAAAGCAGAACGCAAACATGTCGAAATCATACCGTCTATTAAATCAACATGGCTCCGAAACAGACCCGTGGATCACTAGATTGGTGCGATCAAGTGCTTATACTAACATAACCAGGTGCTTCGGTTTATGGCTGTCAACGCGACCGAATGCTTCGTCCAGCAAAATAGAAAATGAGGTTTGAACCTCACCGGGCATAGTCGTACGTAAAAACAAATTTCCGGGTAAATCTCTGAAAGCTAATTTTAGAGATCATGTAGTGGAGAAAACGATCGGCATTTCTGCCGCTGATGGCAGCTTGAATTGACTTGGTCTTTTATCTTTGATTTGAAAACAATGCAAAAATTGTTAGACGATTAATAACCTATAGAATGATGAAGACAGAAGAGAAATTTGCTATTTTTACCTTCGACGCTTTCTTTGTGGTGATGATAACTAACTATTAAAAAAACGAGGTTTGACTTACTTTACAAAGTAGATCCTTTCATCGCTCGTCGAGACCGCTTTCCATTCTGGAGACAGCTGTTCTTCGTATGACAGCAAAGACGGCAAAACTTTGCCACAAACGCTGGAATCATCATCAGAAGCCATTGCAATAGGTTGAATACAATAACCAACCATTCCAGGGACCCCCGCCGTTGAAGCAAAATACGAACATGGCAGCTTCGAAAGAAACTCACAAACTAAAGCGAAACAAAAGCCTATAGAAGGCTACAAAAGTGGTTGTCATTACACCGACTTAACGCAACAGTTTTGCAGATGGAAGGAAAACAATGGCATTTTTCTTCATGTGCATCGTTGTTCTTGACCTGTGTGTTTAGGATCCGTGTGTTCTGCACTGAAGCAGTAGTCAGAGCACCGCTGACCAACAAATGGTGCTTTCTCCGTAACACCTGCCGCGCGCAGTGTCGGATGGATATAACAAACGCGGCCATGACGGCGTCACTGAGCGTGGATATATTTCCTGAAATTGTCCTAAAACTTCTTGTAGAAATGACCCTTAAGGTAATTTCCTTAAAAACGATGTACTATCCAGACTTTTTTCAACCTTGGCACAAATACCAGCCATATATAGCACATTCAAAAACTGCAATAAAAAGATGGGGTCACCGTGCTTGCCTGTGTGATTGTAATTCTGAGTGTTTTTTCCTAGTTCCGCGCCAAATGTTCGAAACACAAACAACCGTCAAAGATTCTTAGTTATAGCAAAAATTACGAATCCTACTAAAACTTTATCTTAAGACTGTTGTTGTTTTTTTTTCTTGGCTATACATTTTTAAGTAAATAACTTCAGTAGACGTAGTCAAGTTATGGAAGGATTACCCTCAGATATGAGTAAGGCATTTGATTCTGTTAGCCCACCACTACTCATTAAAAAACTGGAATCATACAGCTTCTAAGGATCCCGGCCCTCAATCTTCTGCGCTCGAATTTCTCTCACAGAGAAAAAGAGGGTTGAAGCTGAGTTCTGTGACTCGTCAGAGGAGAAATACTGTACAATAAGAGGATGTCCTCAGGGGCCTCGTTTGCCGGGTCCCCTTTTGTGGAACTCATTTCAAAATTATCTTGCTTATATAACAGAAGGGGGAAATTTCTATGTATACAGACGATCATCAAACCTTTGCCTCGGGCTCGTCTGCTAGATCCTACCAGTATCGTTGAGGGCAAACTGCTGAGTGAAGGTAATAAGATCACTAAATGGTACAATGAAAACCTGCTACAACTGAATGATCATCAATCCAGTTACTGGTCTCTAGGACTGAGGCAAATAAATAAACATAAACCTGCTGATATAGATAGACTTAACATAGAGCAATTGAAATCTTTTATAGATAAAAGATATGTTGACCAAATTTTGGTTTCTCACCGTTCAATAATAATACATCTTTCGGTTAAACTAACAACTTGTCTGATTTGTTGACCTTCGATTTTTTCGAAAATCGTTGGCACATTTTACCCACTTAACGTGGAATGAGTGAGATGAGGATTTTGGGATGACTTTAACTCCAACGAAAACTAAAAGTCTAAAGTTATGGTAGTACAGTGTTTTAAACTGCAGGGTACGCCTTCAAACAATGAGTGAGGCCAACCAGTCATCTACAAAAGCAATTTATATCGCGTAAGTGAACTAACAATTATAATATTATTTGAATCACTCACTCTATGACTAAATCATATAATACATGTCAAATGTAATGCAGCGAAATTTCCTTCAAGTTATGAAATCGAAAGTTCTTCCAGACTTCACCTGTCAACTTGAAAGCAGTCGGTATTCAATATGAAATGAGCTATTATTTTTAAGAAGATTAACCAGAAACGCAATGTACACTCAGGTATGAGAAATGTCTTAACTTCTGAAACTTATATTTTTAAGATATATGTAGATATTTAGACAAATTCGTCAATTTCGGTGTCGCAAATGTTAAGATTCGTCAAAGGTCGAAAAAGACATTGAAATCAAATTAAATCACTGCATGACTTCGTTAAAAGCAAAACAAGCATATACAGTTATCTATTACTTAGTTAAGGGATAAACGGTTAGAGAAACTTTCAAGAGAAAAGGTCGTTATTTTTTCTTCTTAAAAATAGATTACATTGTCACTGTTCCTCTGCTTATATCACAAATAATCACCATAAACAGAAAAAAGAGGGTTTTATTACGGTTTACCAGTATTTCTTTTGGTGTTCACAGCTCACGTCTGTTTTGCTTTACTGGCATTTGTCCGTCGCAATAGAAAAGGACAAAATCCTGACTTAGCATCCGCTACCGTCAAATCGGCGATGAATCATGATATATTCTTTTAAGAGCATTTCAGTGTTTTCTTAAAGATTTTTCAAGTCCTGCTGGTCACCTTTTGTGATCTTATGATGCTATTGAAGAACCGCATCCGAGTGGTCGCATGCAACTCTGAAATATCCTGCGGCAAAGCAGGCCGTTCCAGTATTGACGTTACGCCTGTTGATCGCTTGCTTATACCATGTGAACCTTTTCCCGTAGCGAGGGGCCTTGAACAAAACAAAGGACTTTCTTCCAGTCTTTCGAACGTGCGACGCTGCACACAGATCCATGCAGGCCACAAATCAGTTTCTTTTTTTTTAGCAAAGTTTTGTTTTGTGCTATTTTTGTTCCCGCATTTAAGAAACACAGCATTGTTTCAAGAATCGCATGCTATGCTTGGCCTGTTTGGGTGTATTTTGCTTTCATTTTGTTGTGAAAAATCAATTTTCCCAATGAAATATCAAAACGGAATTTAGGACGGTTATTATGTGAAAAAAAAATTTATTCAGCCACGATTCAAATACTCCCTAACTTTGTTGGTTTTCTTAACTACATTGAACTGTTTTGGGAAAAAGTGGCGTTCCTTTTCTTTCAGGGCAGGGAAATGAGCAGAGTTTATATATATATATATTAATAATCACAGGCGTTCAGGCTTCGTGAGTAATCATCGATCGTTTATTGCGACAGTGCTGTTTCGTATGGTCCGAAATTGTAGGACCACACTCATCAGGCAACTTCAACGATTGACCGTTAAAATTGAAAGCTGGCAGTAAAATTTGGGTGGTTGTTATAGGGATGCGTTAAGTACTGTCGCAATAAACGATCGATGATTACTCCTGAAGCCTGAACTGCTGTGATCATTAATAGTCAAGAATGCTCTTCAATTAAATGAATTGAGCGCTCTACGAAATACGTAATGGGATAAGGAATATAGGAGGAGTTCGGTCTGGGTCGAACCACATAATAGACCATAATAAGTGGGTCTGCATGGATAGGTTGGCTCCAAGATTACAACGAAACAAGAGTTAACTGAATTTTCAACGGGTTTTGGCGGAGAATTTTATGGTGAGGTGGTTTGAAGAATCGTTTTTAGGTTTTTTGATCTCTCCCTTTTGAACCCCTAGCACCGCTATTCACTGAATAACCGCTGTTCCGTTTCAGCAGGCGTTCAACATAATTTGTTAAAATACATTCTTAAGCTTATCGCTCACGCCTGTCTAACATAGTGACCTATTTCCGAAATGTTGAGCTAAACTTTTTACACATTAAAAATGTTGGACAGAAATACTTTTCAGCCCAGTTTCAGGTTAACAGAAGTGCCCAGATTTTGAACGACAGTCAGTCAAAGTAAATTTTTATTGCCCAGGGCTCAAGTCATAAGTCCTTGAAGATATACTATCGTTTACTGAAAACTTGATATTCAATATAAAGGAGCTTAATTTATTTTAACTATTATCATTATTATTATTATTATAGCAGTTTACAAAATTTATGTTTAGAAAACTAACCATATAGGGTGCAAAGCGTAGCCTATGCTGCTCTACAGAAATTCACTCACCAAAAAGGTGATAACGAGTTAAATCCTCGCAGTGGAAAAATTAAGAAAAATCCTAAGGAATCTTAAGGCTAATGCAAACCTAAGGTTTGCACAATGAAAACGTAGGGCAAAGCGATCGTCTATCTAAGAATATATTATAATTAAAATATTTAAAAAATACTAACACTAATGGAAGCCTAAGATTTAAATAATAAAAATGAAATAAGGGAAACGCATAGCTAGTCCTGTCCCCCATCTATGTTACAACATTTCATAAATTACTAAATATTCTTCTTCTTCTTCTTCTTCTTCTTCTTCGTATTATTATTATTATTATTATCATTATTATTATCATCATCATTATTATCATATAATTATCATCATAATTGTGTCAATAATAAACTGCTTGAATCTGATTTAAGTTCTTATAAACAGGCCCTATTTGTTGGCTTGATTTTGCTCAATCGGGCTTGTAATTTCAAATCATATGACTCGCCCGATAACCCCTCATTGAATTGTTGGACACGAATTAAGTGGTTTTGATACTTAGCTCCGCAAGAAATTAAGAGATTCGGAAGTCGAACCTCTGAAATATGACAGTACAGAATGCTGTGATGTTGAGACTGAGCCAGTCCTCCAAGACTTTTTTAGAAGAATAGCATGTGGAAGATCTGATAAAGCACAAGATGCGAGATTGGATATCCATGCAAGTGGGTTCCTGGAGCAAAAGCGATCGGTACTCTTTGATGTTAGGGTCTGTCACAAAACTGCTGAATCGTTTAGAGACTTAAAGCCACAACAGTTCTATCAGATCATATGTATAGAGCATTTACAAAATTAGTCTTCACCACAACGGCGGAATGGGAAAGAAATGCTTGAGGAGGTTCCATAGTCGATTAGCAGAGCTGATTGCCATCAAGAAACAAATTCTGGATCATAACCAGAATTTCATTCGCACGACTAAGATCTGTCTTAGAGGCTGTAGGGCAAAAAGGAGAAATCAGCGTTATATTATGAACTCTGACAATGACATTAAAACTGTTAGGTGCCATTTACGAGACTGACCATTACTTACTAGCTTTTTGAATCAGAATCTCAGTTTTTTTTTTACTTTAAGATGTCTATTTAAGACCCGTGTTCCGTTTATTTATTCATTTTTGTCCCAGCAATGTATTTGTGGACCCCGCTAAAATGAGTCGGCTATGGGAAGGCTCGCAATGAAATTTTGCTAAATCGAGTCTACAGAAATTCGTCCTGCTCTGCAGTTTGTCAGTCCGGATCCATGCAAAGCCGAGCACGAACACATTTCGTTATAACTAGCCTTTTCAAATTGTCCGCGGTCCTCATTAGTTGTGTACTTTCTTTCAGTATGTGTTTTTAATTATTTGGTCTATTTTAGCCTCAAAGTTCTTATTATAATAATTAAAAAGGTGCTAACATAAATAATAAAACAATGAGAAGAAAAGAGCGTATCTTACTATGTTGTGTTGTCCTGTGAGCTAAAGCGAATGTAATAAGTCTCAGAAAAAAAAAATTTGCATTTTGAAATATTAAATGTCCCTTGAAGCATTTTATCCATAACGTTGTCTTAGCCATTTAAAAATTACTTTTTGTCGTCATCTTTCCATATCTTGTAGACTTTGTTTAGTTTACATATAGTTTGTTGTTTCTGAAAATATTTGTTACTGCTATCTTGTTTCACCTCACATTTGACTTTTGCATCCGTGGAGTAAAATATTGAGAAAAAATAAATAAATCTGGCTTATCCTATTTCTTATTTGTATTAAGTAATTCTTTGTAAATATGGTGTCATACATTGGACACCCGTGTTCTAAAACCGCTTAATCTTCCATGTTGGAATCCCACATCCTGCGAACTGATTCGCTGGCTTCCAAGAATAGATTTTATCTCACTTAACAATCACTTAAGAGGCGACGCAAAAATGTTCGTTTAAATTCTAAAATATTGGCGAAATTAGCGACTTGTTCACAAAATTATCTATTTATGATCGAACCTGAGGAGGAATTCGAGGAAAGCTTTGCTACTCGCAAACACTACGCTTCAAGGATGGTGACATGACATGTAAGGCCATATATCATGTACTTACTGTAAAACACTCGTAAACAACTCAAAACAATTAATAGGCGGCATCTTTTGACCTCAAGAAAGGTGAGTATGTCCTTGCACTTTAAAATCGTAGATTTTTTCCAACTCTTACTATGAATTGTTTTTGCTGCTATTTTCTTTACCTTTCGGAATTTTATGTAACATTTATCACTCTGCGCCGGAAAAAACCGATGGTTATCTTCTGGAAAGACACATGATATTCACCAACTTGTTAGTTAGTTAGAGAGCTCTGTTGAAAATAAAAAAAAACAGCGAAATGTGGCTGGAATCCTGGCTTTGCTTATAGAAGAGCAGAAAAAATTACAAAATTTCGGCGACAAATAAATCGATCTGCTTCATCATTTAAACAAAAAAAATATTTTAAAATAAAGCTATCCAGCTTTAATAGTTAGAAAACGTCAAATGACTTCTTCGTGATGGTAATTTACAGTCCAAAGTTAACTTTCGAGGAGTGTCTTTATAATGTGTAAAATTTTTGTAATAACCTTTGGTGATCTCAAGTTATCGAGGTCCTTTCACTAAGTTATTTTCCCATCCACATTTCAATTATAAATAAATAATGCCCAGAACATCACTTTTGTCTTGGGGTGTTGAAATCAGATGTCTATCGACGTCACATTTATAAATTAAACTAAATCAAATATCAGGATTGGGGTACATCTGTTAGTCTGCGAAGTTTTGTTTCATTTCTATGAGACATAAATAAATACTAGACGACTGAATTCGCCGGCCCGTTGTAAACACTATATCTAAACAGTTGTAATCGGCTCCTGGTTTTACTAAAACGCTAGCCTGAGTGATCTCAAAAAGGCCGCACAAAAACATTAACAAACACAGAGCATACAATCCATACTGAACTGATATCTTTAACAAGGTTCAGCGATGACCAATGAGCACTAAAAAAGCAGCTACTACACTAACCGGCATTATATCACTTAATAAAAGCAGCCAGTGGATATGGTCATCATACCTACACTAATCGACTTGCTAGGAATTGATAAGCGAAGATAACAAATTCAGCTTTATGTTTATCACTTATTTTTGGTAAGGCTGTTTGTGAGAATAGCAAAATGAATATTTGGAATTGTCTTAAAAGACCAAGGATATCGAAGATCCCTTGAAGAAATGTGAAAACGGCATAAGGGCAGTCTGTTTGAGCTTTTTTGCGACTTTTTCGTTGTGTTCTGTAGTTAAAGATATCGAACGTCCAGACGACTAGAGCGAATAAACCTCACTACATTGTCTCAAGCAATAAGGTGAAAGAAACTTTTGACACTGCTTCCGCTTTAACTGAGGAAATTCCGTTCTGTTTCTCTTGTTAGTGTAGTAAATGAATTAGAAACTGAAGATAACCTTCTTAATCTGAATATACTGCGAATGTGACAAGGCTAGTTAATTTGTAATCTCAAGTTAAATTTTCAGCTAACGCTATAAATTTTAAAAACTAAAGCTTGGATAGAATTCTTAGCTGACTTCTTGATAAGACGTCCCCTACGATAGTGAACATTTCGCCTAAATGTTAGTGCAGTTTGAGGTTGACATTTTGTTTTTTTGTCGAATGCTTAGTGAGTATTCTTTACAGAGTTTTTCTTGTCAACTTCAAAACTATTGGAAAAACCTATTTTTAAATTGCATTTTTGAAAATTCTTGCAAAGAGCAATTACAAAGCCTACGGCAGCTTCCAACAAAACATTTAACCTTTATGTTTGATTATTTGAAAAATTCACAGGACCAAAAGAGACATTACTAAATTTATGAATGCTTTCAAGTCACTAAGGAGACATGCACAAATCAACCTTCCCCCCACCCAAAAAAATAAAAGCCATTCTATTAAAAAAAAAAAAAAGAGAAGAAGGAAATCGATAAGCACTATTTCTACCAGTACAAATACCATTTGAAATTTTAAAAAATTGATAAACTCTAAAAAGCAAAAAAATTCGATCCCATTTTGTCCATTCAATGTTGGCTTATAAAAAGACAAATACCACAGATGGCAAGTAGAGCTAACTTAATTTCGGCTCATACACTATTCAATAATTCTGGGCAAATTTTGGATCTTACAGCTCCTATTTATTTTATATTTTAATGGCGGTATAAGTTTCAGGAAGCAAAAAAGAAAACCACACCCATTACAAACGTATTCATCAAATGAATGTATACTTTGGGTTTCTAGATTCCGGGTATAGCGTAGGCCTCGAAAGAAGATTTTAATAGTTTTCACTCTTTTCTGACAGGCGTGATCCAAAGTATTTCTCCTTTTAAGTTATTTATACTTTATATTTATATTTATGCATGGCCAAGACAGAATTGAGGGTAAAACGTTTTGTTTATGGAGACACAGCACGTGTGTGAAAAGTAATCCACAACAAAAAGCCACTCAAGTAATTTGATCTCTATAAACAAATTTTATCCTGTCCAATGTTTTTACCGGTATATAAGCCGGTAAAACATCTAGAAAAAAACAATAAATAATGAAAATATACATTAAGAGGAGAACACAGAGTTTTGACTAAGGAGTCATCATGGGGATAGCGATCAGGTCAGAAATCTATAGTAACAGCTTTAAGTTTTTGATTACATTGGATGTTAGTTTTTTAATCTTTTGCCTCACATGCAAAATACGCTGTAAGCGGTTCTCTTCTGGATGAATATCTTTGTGTATAGTCAGTCCGTAATGGCAAAAAAAACTATTTTAAAATTATTTTATGTGTGAAATGTTGTCTCTCCACCAGAAACCTATTTTGATGTACTAAACATTAAATGGATGGGATGTTATTTCAAGGAGTTTTCTTTTCGGTCGTGTGTTTAATTGCTGTCAACTCTTCAGCGTCAAGAGATGAAAGTTATAATGCGACGTCTTCGAAAGACACCACACCCACTGGTGAAAGCCCCAGGTAAATTGTTACTGTCGAACAACAAATAATTGTTGAACGAAGTTAAGTAAAATATGGTGATTTCTCATTGGTAAATAATTCAATTATTTGCTGATGCCGAAGGCAGAGAAAAATAATTGACCTGTGAGACATGAACAAACCCCGATATTTTTAGAACCGAATTTTAATTTACAATTGTTTACCGTACAGTTTTTGGTCGATAGTAATCTTTATAATCATAACTATTGTTATCACTAGTTATTTACTTTCACAGTGTATAAATGATATGCGGAGTGAATAAGTTATTCTCTTTAACTTCACCATAGCTTGTAAAATTTATAACAGAGAACAACGCGAAAATGAAAGGCGTCTAAAATGAAACAATGCATTCAGGGCTTTTTAAAATATCTCCCCGCATCGCTGAAGAGTGCAAGCAGCCCTTGGTGCTTATAAACGAAAGCAAAAACAATCTCACATTACTTTCTTTCCTTTTATTCTTAAGACACAGTCAGTTGGAGATAAGGATTTGAAAACATGTGTTTGACCAATTTTCAAAATTAGATTGGAAGGAAAAATTACCGCCCAGTAATCCACCGAAGCCCGCGCGGAGGTAGTGTCAACAGTTCATCAATATAATACTGGGTCAACCACGAACCGATGAGGAAATAAAATTGGCCTAAAACAGCAATTATTCTTGTGACATAGCTAGATGTTACTGACATTTAAAAAAAAAATGTTTATACTGAGTGAAGGAGAGCTGTTTCCTAGCCTTAAATCATTACGTTAATAGGCTGTATTCAGTATTCAGGGGCACACAACGAGAATATAGTTCAAAACCACTTAAACATAGCATTGATGAACGTATTTTAGTATTTTAACGGTAGATATAGGCATATTTTTATCTTCCAAAAATTTTTCATCTGTTCGGATTTCCTAGCTGAAAGTCTAGTGATCCGAAAATTATAGGGATCAAAACTTACCGTTTCGAGAATTTCAGCCAAAAAAAAGGCTCCCGAAAAATTCTAGGTGACCTTTTCAGGGTAAAAATCCGTTAAAAAAAAAAAATCCGTTTTTTATGTGTTCGAAAATCCTAGGAGAGGCAGGCAAGCAAGAAATTTTACAACAAATGTTCCGAAAATTCTAGATCTCAAATCGTCTTCCGAACAGATATTTTCGGAAAATTGGCGTTGGGTGCCCCTGAGTATTCATTTGCTATCGATCGCGAAAATGTCAACTTTGCGCTCTTTTTCCCCCAGTTTTTATTTCAAGGGAATAAACTGACCGCCCTTTAATTTTACTTATTTTAAACTCTTGTCATATATAATATTATCATTGCATATCCTTAGGTTCTCTCTCTCGACGCCACATCTCCACGCGCACACACAAGACAACCTCTGAGCAAAAATGATGAGAGATAATATTTGAGAACAAATTCTAATTGCAATGGAGCTATCATGAAATGTTTAGGCTAAGCGTTTTTCAGTCAGAAATTATAGATAAATAATGCATTTTTAATAGCTATTTGATAGCAATGCCATACGGTGCCATAACGTCATTATGGTGCGCTCCGAGCCTTGGTTATTAAAGTGGAATGGTTCGGAAACCCGTTAGACTCTTTTGTTGTATGTTTTTGTTAGCTTTTTTGGACCTGACCGTGCACAAAGTTCAATAGCATTCATATCATTTTGAACTTACTGACCAATAGAAACATCGCATTAATTTATTCAGTCACAACTTGAGAACAAAAAACAAAGGATTGTGCACGGTCAGGGAGCTTCCAACATAACCTACAGCACAGTTGTTTTCAACTTTGATGTTTGCCGGCTTTCCTAACCAGTTTCCTCTACTAACTATGTCTGAGTAGATGTTCAAGTTTATCGTTTTCTTTTCCTTGCAGTTCATCGCTGCTCGAAAGCGGAGGGAATGGCAACGACGCAGAACAAATACTGCCTATGATATTAAATCAAATCCAAAACAAGTCTGACAATAGATTAAGACCAAGAATAGGCCGTACGTACTTAGCAGTTCTAAATTTTTATATTCATTATAATCTCCTGCACCCTGCTGTCGATATTTTGCCAATTTATCAGTAATCAGACTTTTGTTTCCATGTGCGAGTTTTGATGCACAGAATAATATAGTCGAGAAAAAAAGCCTTAACTGGTTGGTATAAAGGAATAGAATAATACTGATAATTTAAATACAAAACTGACGTAAGTGATATCTTGCCTAGTCCTTATACGGCATCTCCCCGGGCCTTCTCGATCACGCATCGGCCGCATGCAATAATGGGACCTAGGGACTAGGCAAAGAGTATCAGGGAGTGGGGCGAGAGTAAGTATTTTACCATGGTACCAAACAATGTAATAAAATAATAGTTTACTATTTCATTTATAATTTATCAAATGGATCCACAGTGGCTGTCCAAAGTAAATCCCCTCATATTTTTTTTGCAATTGTAAACGTTTCCAAAAACGATTACGAAAGTTTTCCTAAGTTTTCCCAGAATAATAAGGGGACTTAACCATCGTGGGTACTTGCATTTCGTTGCCGTTAATTCAGTTCGACGATGACGTAAGACTTCTTTTGCCACAGAATAAAATTCTTTTGCAAATGCCTGTCAAATTCCCTCGCTATAACGAAGACCCCGTTATAAAGAACAACATTTGAAAGCCCGGCAGATTTACAGTAAAATATGTTGAAACGAACCAGCTGATCGGCTTTATTCCGGTTTTCTCAACACGCGACAGAAGATAAAACGCTTCATGGCATGAGATTAATGAAGTTAGGATGGCTTTTAGTGTGAAGAATTCTATGAAGAATTAAATTGAAGCAAATCTGAGACTTTTTCACGTAATTTGACTTCATTTTATAACAATGTGTAATAACAGTGAATTTTTCTTTCGTTATTATCTATTAAAAGGGGAACCTGTGACAGTATCAACGGACATGTTTTTCTTAGACCTTGGCTATATCAGCGAAGCTAGAATGGTAAGTTTATTTAAGGCCCGTTTACAAGGAGGGAGGGTTACCTTAGCACTCGCACATTGGAAGATATGCCACGTGTTTACAAGACTGACGGGGTTACCCTGGCGATAGGGTTACCCTACCTGAGTGCTAGGGTTAGGCCCGGGTCGCACTAGGGCGAAGTTTTTTAACTTCAAAATTTTGGGCGATAAAATTAATTGAGAAAAAAAAAAAAGGTTCCAAATTTTAACACGGGTCGCATAATACGAAATTTGCATTTTCCAAAACTCGAATGACTGACCTATATATCATTCCAAGTAGAGTTCTTGCATTACATACTTCAAAGAAGGCATCACGTAAGAATAACTGGCCGCCACTGATATAATTATTTTCTTCGGTCTTTTCTTAACTGAATTTCCTTTTTTTCGCAACAAAATGCCATAGCAGTTCTGGTAATAGTTATGGAGACTATCAACACGCCTTTGTGTAGTTGGCTGCAGCTTTCAGAACATGCAGAACGCTTGAATCGACGTCGATTACGAAACCACCGTCCATGGTCTTCGACTCTTATGCCACGGCTCATTGATGCAATGCTGCTAATAAAGTCGGTTTTAATTTATCGCATGACAGGATGCAAAGTTCGTGGCACATCAAAATAATTGTTAGCAGGACAGAGGACCGCGGACCTAAAAAATATCATTTGCCGTGGCAATTTTCAATTACACGACTGGGGTAATGACAGCTTAATGGTTAAATAAACAAATTGTCAACTTGGCCAAAATTTTAATTGTAGCCTTCGAGGCAGCAGTTCGGCTTCTTTGAACATTTGGCGGAATTTTGGCAATTGGCCAAAAATTGGATAGGATTTTCAATGTGGGGTCGCACTTATTTTTCATCATGCGTTGACAGATCAGGTGCTGAGATAAACAAAATTCGCTCTAGTGCGACCCACGCCTTACCTGCCTTGTAAATACTCTGCGAGGAATCGGATAGCTCGCCTACGCGGGACAACTTTGATCGTGAAGAGTGACCAGTAATCAGGAATTCTTTTTTAAACATCTGAACAACATTAGGCATTTTCTTTATACGATGATAGTATCTTTTGAGTGTCCTTTTTTCGTGAATTTAACGTGTTGAACATGGAGATCTTGAAGATTTCGTTCAAATCTTGAATGTTACAAAGAATGTGTGTTTTAGTCTTCTCGTCAGTGAAGCTTGTAAAGTTGACCCGGGTTATAAGGTAACTCTACTTGGGAAATTTTGCTTTTAAAAGAGGAGGCCCTAAGAGAAGTCATAGAATAAAACTTTATCTTCATGTTAAAGCTGAGAGTGCTTTAGTTCAAAGTCTAAGAAAAGCTGACAGGAGCGTTAACAAACAAGTAGTTTATGAGACTCAAGCTAACTCTGATTCAGCCTCAGATATTTTAAAAGCATGACCCATTTCTCGTGTGGAAGTTTGCGTGCCCTTCCTCTTTTGTTCCTTATTTGGGGTTCATGTTTTCTTTATTTCTAATGCTTTTGCTTTAAAAGGAGTTTCGAGCAAGTTTTTTCCTACGCATGTACTGGAAGGATGAGCGTCTTGCCTACAATAACACGGGATATAAAAAGAGACTTGCTCTGAATGCTAAAATGGTCCAGCATATGTGGATACCCGACATTTACTTCGTCAACGAAAAGTCTGGGATCAAACACGATCTTACCAAGGAAAATGAAATGGTTAGACTGTGGCCTGATGGACGTGTCTTTCACAGCATGAGGTAAGTCACAGGGCTTAGTCTTTTTGCCGTAAATGATGACAGCTTGTTGAAAAGACTTATTACATACTGACGTATTGGCAATAAACAAGTGGTATTGGGAATGGCACACTGTTCACAATCCTCTATTTTTCCTAAGATAGTGGAGATCGAGCGCTTACCACTACGGGCAGCAGTCTTGGTTTCAAATCTGCCGAGGGGGCAGGCGACTGGGTTTATAGCAGTGGGGAAGGAAGGCAAAAAAATTTCCTCGCTGGAGCTAGAGTCAGTCGTGATAGTGGTAGTGGTGGTGGTAGTGGTAGTGGTAGCGGTGGTGGTAGTAGGCTGATTCAGAAACAGAACGGGAACGTCAGTTGACGACTGGAAAGCGCGCGGAAAGGACTACACACGACTTCCGGTGCCCAATTTGCAACTCTGCTATTGGTCAAGCCATTTGTTTGATTTGCGCGCGCCGTCATCAAGTGACGTTCCCGTTCTGTTGCTAAATCAGCCTAGTACCTGGTAGCGGCAGTGGTAGACAGGAAGTGGTGGTGCATGGTGGTTGTGGTAGTTATGGTAATAGTGGCAGTGGTAGGGGCAGTAGTATTCGGGAAGTTTGGTAGGTAGTGGTGCTGTTAGCAGTAGAGGTGCTTTTAGTTGAACAAGGCTGTTTTCCAATGTGTAGGGTAAGGCAAAAATTATTTTGGGAGTGGGCGACGTGCGGGTACATTCCTTTGCAGGTAGACGTAGACAAAATTCCACTTTTCCTATTAAGCTTATGTGTATTATACGTATCAGAGTCTTTATTGAATACTTTAGGCTTTCATTTCAGATTGTCAATGACTGCTTCTTGTCCTATGCTTCTGCATAACTATCCACTTGACAAACAAGTTTGTAGGCTGGCATTTGAAAGCTGTAAGTCAAACTGTTTCACTATTTTTACAATGTCTAAATCAGGATACATTCTTTGGTAGCACCGGACGTTTGGAGGATTCTGGTTTGTGTGGTTTGTTAACTAGGTGGAGTAAAGCTGTAGATGAGAACATGAAAAATTAGAAAAGTTGAATGAAAATCGGCGTTCATTCATTCTCTAAAAGACGAACACAGCTAGTATAACGAAGGTTTGGAATTTCAGTCCACCTTATCTCCGCATGTATTGCAGTTTCTTTTGGAAACTCAAGCCCGGTTTACGTGGAGAAGGTAGAGGTGTCACGCCCTCCCAGCCTAGCAACTTTAGGGGGAGCGTGTATATGAGAAAAAAGTCGACTCCGTTGCCCGTGCTAACAGAGCTTGTGCAAGCTCTGATTGTCTAAAACAGCACTCACGCAAGCTCTGGTTGTCTCGCTTTGACCCCGCAAGATTGACCGGGCTGGGCAAGTCAAGTGTTCTTATGGAGAAAATTCCCCCCCCCCCACTACCATAACAAAAATGATGACCCGGCTAGAAAGCTCACCCTTCTAGTCAAGCAAACTTTTTATTTCTCAGTTAAGCAGTTCGCTACCTTTTGTAAAGAAATGTATGAAAAGTTGGCTCGCCCGCGGTGTAGCTTGGGTAGGCGGGCGATTCTTCTACCCCGGGACAATTGTTTTCCGTATAAACGAGAGGCCTAACCACTTTTTATAATTGTTTATTTTAAGTCAGTTACGAAGCTACTGAGCTGCTCTTTCGATGGAAGAAAGAAGAAGGAAACAAAGAGGTGATTATTTCAGACGAATTGCAGATTCCCCAGTTCATCCTCACTAATCATTGGACTGAGGCAACGTTTGAAAACTTTACATCAGGTACGTTTAATGGCCCGTTCCATTTTTGTGGATAAAAAAGGAGAATTGGTGAAGCAAATTAAGTTAATATGGCCGGTCATTTAAATAGGAGTTTATTCAAAATACTGAAACTGTTAATTAAAAGTGAATTCCGATCGCTTAGTTTCCAACTTTTTGGTGATTATTCCCACTGTCTCCCTCAATTTATTTAATGGCGTCCTGACATCGTTTCCCAGGCCTTTCTTAGTCCTCCCCATATAGGAAAGAAAAAGCCGTTTAAAAGAGAACGGTTTGCAAAATTTCTCATCGTAAATTGTTAATTAACGAGTTTTCGCAAGTTCCAGGCAGAAGTAGGGTGACTCGACTCCACGTGGGCTACCCTGGGCTAGCCACCCTTTCATACATTTCCTTACAAAACATGGCAAGTCGATTACACGACATACAAAAACTTGGCTCTGCTAGAAGGGTGACAAACCCTTCTCCCCCACCCTCCACAGTAGAATAACCCTCCCAGCTGGACCAATTTTTTCGAAAAAAAAAAAAAAAAACTTTGACTCGCCCGGCTGGGACAAGCATGTAGCATGCACCAGCGCTCTTGGCTCGGGCAACGGTTTCAACTTTTTTCTCATATAAACGCTCGTTTAAGTAGACTCGGCTTGGAGTCTGACCGTCTTTCACGGTACAACTTTTCTCCAGCGGCAGAGGTACTAGCTTGAGACGAATTTATGCATAGGCCTGATCATGATGAAGGAAACAAATAAGATATTTATTCAACTTGCCTACAGGTTCTTATTCGAGATTAATAGTGTGGTTCCAATTTGAGCGAAGCATTGGCTTTTTTCTTATTCAAACCTACATTCCTGCCTATCTAATTGTGATGCTGAGCTGGATTGCATTTTGGATTAATCACAACTCCACGCCAGGTTGGTCATAAATTAACGAATTGTAAAATAACTAAAAGGGCTGTTGTCCCTTTCATTAATCAATAGCAATTTTTAGGATTCCATAAAAAATTACAAAACATTTTGCAATCAAGCTTGAGGTAGCTATAGTCGTACGAAATCTCCTACGCGCTAGCCTTAGTCAAGAGAGGAGTATCATCAGGCGATCCTGGGGAAAAAAGGGAAAAGAGTGAGAAGGGCGAAACTTCTTCGTTCTCTCTTCCACACTCCCCTTCATTCTTTTAACGATCTCCTCTCCACCGCCCCCTAAGGAAGACCTGATACTAAGCCTGATACTGTGGGAATCTTTTTGGGCTCAGGCGAGCACACGTGTTCGGGGTGTGGACATTCACTGGTTGACTGGCGAAACTCTACAAACAACCAACGACGCCTTTCTCAGAGCAAGTCTTTCCGCACTAATGTAATATTAACGCATTAAAACACTTGATCTTGCCTGGAAAGACTAACAAACTACGATTTTAGAGTAATTTAACACCCGCTCGGGGATTTGTTTGCTTCTTTGCAGCGCGAATAGCTCTAGGGATTACCACAGTCCTCACCATGACAACACTGACCAATAGTGCACGGGAGTCACTTCCTAAAGTGTCCTATGTGAAGTCTGTTGAATGGTTTCTTATCATTTGCTTCATGTACGTGTTTGCCTCGCTGGTTGAGTACGCTTGTGTCTCGTTTGAGGTTAACAGAAGGCTAAAAAGAGGTATGGAGATTCCTCCGCTACAACCAGAGTCGGACGATGGGAAGGTAAAGGCTACAAAAGATTTAATAGACTACATTTTTCTTTGTGTAGTATCATATACATGCCAACTAAACAGAGATGACGTGTTTTTATCCGATATCCAGACCCCAGGAAAGGTTCAAGCGTAACCAAGCTTTGACGACTGACATTAAGACAACGGATGAAGCACTCTATTTTGAGTGCTAACCTTAATAATACAGCTTTTAAAATAGTTTAGTAACTTTCGAAAAAACATATATTTGTTAAAATTTGACTTGCCGGTATTTGCGATCCTATCTCCTAAGCGCCTTCTGGATGTCTAAGTGATATTGTAGAAGGAAAAACTGGTCGAACTGGTGTGTTAGAAAATTGTAATTAATCATCGTAAAAGCAAGAGAAAAAAAACAAACAAACAAACAAACAAAAAACAGACTAGCCTCCTCCACAGGCATTCCCTATTGTAACGTTAACACTGACCGTGATGAGGATCCCCTTTCTCTCCCCATTCTCCAATTCGTTCTCTAAAACAGGACAGTGAAGTCTGCGGAGAAGGTTAAAATGGAACGAGCGGTAAACGCAGTATTTAAATATATTCGGCATTTATTTCATAGGATTCCGAAAGGAAAGACCTGGTTGAAGACATGAAAGGAAACGTGGAGGCGAACGGACACGCGAAAATAAGACGGCGAATAAAGTTTGGTTTCTGTGGTAGGAGACCAGTGGAAAGAGAGCTTGTCCAATACCGCCCTTTCTCAGAGAAAGAGATCGAAGCTATGGAGTCTGCAATTGATTACTGGAGTCGCATTGGGTTTCCTGTTTCTTTCATTGTGTTCAACTTATTATATTGGGTAATGACCATCCGTAATAAGTTTTCGTGAGTTGGGCAGATGATGTGCCGGGTTCTTGTCGATCGCCTTTGGAGGAGTATCGTGTAGTTGTGAAGACCTTAGAAGCAGACAGACTGTCAAAAAAAATGAATAGACTTATCTAGGAAAGTAATAATTATCTCATTTGCTGACAATATGTGAAAGTGTTAGGGACTGTGCAATAATTATCAGGAGGGGGGGCTGAAAAACTAGAGTTATCTAGCAAACACTTAGACAGTACCCCCCGTCCAAAACAAGAAATATTAGTTCTAACCCCCCTCTGTTATGTTAAAAATAACGTCGTACCCCCCTCCCCTCCCACCAACCACCTAGCCTCTTCTCTGAAAACACTGGTAAACTCAAAAATGGACTGAGCTGCCATCACAGCTTCAATAATGACACACGTTATTATGTAACATCTAGAATCGAGAAGGATGTTGATCGCTTGATTGAAGATTTAGACAAAGCATTTGCTAAGTACCGGGGTGCTTACCACATTGGCTCAAAATCTGAAACTTCTGAAGCCAGAAAGAGAAAGGAGCAGAGAAAAAAATCAAAGAACAGGAGATTGAACGCTTCAAATAACAGACGAAAAAGAACTTGCATTACATTTAGATCCTTGGGAGGAGAACCTGTTGAACTTTGTTATGAGCCAGATATATATGGAATTCAGCAAATCGATTCAGTCGATGAAGAAACATTACTTTTATTCACTTGTCTACGAGATCTGTTTGATTCCCATTGTTTTATGCGGAAAGCTGAAAAACAAGTTCATGATTTTTGCTTTACATAGGATCAGCTCAATTAATTAGAAGACGGGTTAAAATTGATTTATATTCAAGACATTTAATGTCCTTGGAATTCCTCGCTGTTGAAGGAAATTAACGGATGAAAATTTTTTGACGAATAACTTTAAATAACACTACATTACGATCAAAAGGCAAACCCTCAGTGCTCAGCTTAGATAAATTCAACCTTGATCTTAGGAAGGTCAAAATATCTCTCTCTACCAAGGTTTCGTTACAGACTTTTTTTCACCAATTGTCAGTCATTTGGGGGAAGAATGCCGCTCGAGAACTTCGTCATAGAAAAGTCAGGTAAATCGAGTTTTTACTTTACACCCTTCTTGTAAAACCCCTCCTATGTATAAACGTTTTTATTTACCCAAGGTTTATGATATATCCAATTACGATACGAATTTTACACGTTATCTAGAAATAATGACTTCTTTGAGAAATAAACCTCTGTGCTAACATAAAATGGGTTTAAAAAATATTCTGTAAAATCATTTATGCCGATAATCTTTTCAGTTTTGTTTTCTGCTACTGTATAAGAGCAAAATAACGTAATAAAAGCTGAACATGAAGCCAACAGCTAAATTGGTTCATACCCTTTAACTATTACTAAAGCGAACACGGTCGGTGCATGTACGGTCTCGATTGTTTTTTTTTAAAACCAAGTGGAGTTATGTGTGGAGAGATTATCCTGTCTCAATTCATTACTGGCGGGCCCTATCCTACTTCTAAATCACAAAGGTCTTAACTCCTAAAACCCAACTCCTCTCGCGTTAAAATGCAGAGTTGAATATAAAGTGGTATACTAGCCAACAATTCTGGACGCTTAAGCTGTTTGTGACAAGTGGAGGCAGTACTGATAAGTCCGAGAACAATCGTTCACGGTGCAAAGTACCTTTAACAAAGTCACTCACTCAGAAACGGTAGAGCCGGCAGGTGTGGAATTGTCTGTTTTTTTGCGCGGGAATACAAACCGCTGATGACACCACAGCCTTTTCTTTTTATCGCATAAGTAAAATGCGCAGGAATCTCATTAAGATGAGGTCATGTGCTATTTTTTTTAAAAAAGAGGCTTAAATAGTTTGAGAGGTTTTATAGAAATTTTAGGTTGATTGATTGGTTGACTAAACACTAAAACTAACTCAGAAAAGTATAAATTGCTTGATTCACGTTGCGGAAGGAATAAGCGCTACCTAGCTTGTGACTTAAAATCACTGAGCCTTTACGTATTTATGTAAATTCTATACCATTCTGCTAGAATTCATTGTCCATTGCAGACAACAAGTTGTCCTAGGTTTTGGTTGACTTATTCTTAACTGGCAAATCGTGTATACTTACGAGTTTGAAGGCAAAGTTGCTCTTTCTTGCACTAAACGCAATTTTTCTACTTACCCTACTCTCCTTTCCTCTCCTCCACAAGTTAGTTATTGCTCTCCTTACATTTTTTATTTTCCCTCCAACATCACCACCACCACCACCACCACCACCACGTAATTGGTATTAATTTGATTCCCCGCAAGTTAATGAAATTCCACCGAAAAAAACGGATAATTTCATCCCTCCTATACTACTCTAAGAAAACTCGCCTACACCTTTATGTGTGTACCTCACTTTCTTTAAAGCTTGTGTTACGAGAGACGTAATTAGACGTTAACCCATTCCGTCCTTTTTAAAAACCGGGTGTGGTTTGTGATGCAATCAATTATTGTGGGCTAGTTAGCTTTCCTACGGGCACTGAAGTTTATCATGGGGGTCTTTTGATTTGGCCACGGCGAAGTGAAGACCTTGGTCAGTTCGCTGGAGACTCGAAAGTACCTCCTTTCCCCAACCGGTGAGGAACAAGCAGTGAAATACCAACCAGAGGTTAACTAAACGTTGCAATCTCCAATGAGCATATGCCTCCTTACGATATAAATGCAGCCGTAAGAGAAATTTCTCTTGAGGCAATCTGCTGTTGAGCAGGACAACACTTGGAGCCGACACTTGGCTAATGGAAGATTTTCAGCAAGACAGAAAAACGTGCAATTTGGCACAAATCAGTCTTTAGGATAGTTAGGTCGCCGGAACGGTAAGAAATAAATCACGAGCCACGTTCTCGCGAGGGCTAAGTTAGCTACCAAAAAGTACATCAAACGATCTTACAAATGTCTATCACCTCACGACCCCTTGGTCCTAAAAGTGCTATAAGACAAAATGTTCTGAACAGATCAAATTGTTCAGGAAAAGACAGGGTTGTCCAAACTGAGTGAGAGCGAAAATTGAGGAGTAATGTGACTATAGCGTGCACGACAACATCTACCAAAATCCTAAGGCAACGGCAAGCAAGATTAGCTAAGATTGATTGAGAGGAAAGTCCTTGCTTATAGTCTTGAAACGGAGCAGATGTAGAATTGCAGGGTAATTCATTTTTAGTTTTCGAACCACTCGTGGAAAAACAAAACAAAACATAACAAAAGACAAAAACAAAAAAAAAGATCAACTCCATGAATAACTACTGTACTCAGACGTCTTTCTCTTCTTGAAAGTCGACATCACATAACTTCCTTTGGTCCTCGTGGGCGTCACGGCCTTTCCCGTGTGAAACAAGGGAATGAGGAGCAAGGATAGCGCAGCTGTGAGAGCACTCGCCTCTAAGCAATGTGGCCTGGGTTCGAGTCGCAGGGTCGACGCCGTAGGTGGGTTGAGTTTGATGTTGGATCTCAGTCGCGTCTGCGGCGAGAGGGTTTTCATCGGTTTCTTCAGTTTTCAACTCTCCTCAAAAAGCTGACATTTTCAAACTCCAATTTGATCTGGAACTGAGTGTAGTTAGTTAGGGACACTCAGAGGACCATAGGTTAGTTATCTGTTTTTTTTATTATTGTCCAGTGTCATCCTCTCCGTTTGTCTGGTTTCATAGACGTCTGTAGGAAGGCTACAAGTCCTAAACACTTAACTGTATACTTTATTCTTTGAAGAATGACAACTGGAAATCTCTTCTTTATTTGTAATAAACATTATAATTATAAATGCCTTAAATCTTAAATTTATTTTGCAACTAAAAAATACTTTCCAAGCAATTAATGTTTATAAGATCTGCCATAAGGGACTGGTCAAAAAGTATAGGTGGGGGTGGGCCGGAGCAGAGAGGGGGTGGGTCATGAGGTTTTGAGCCTTGTGCAAGGGGTGGGTCGAGCAATTTTCAGCTACTCTTAGGGGGTGGGTCACCCTATTTTTTACTAACTACTAACGAGACAGTTGACTACACTTGTTATATAAAACACAGCCAGCTGGAATTATTGCTATAATACTCACAAACCTGCTGTGCGAGAAAATACAAAGGTTGACAGGCCGCACATCTATACGGGCGTGGAACCCTCTGTTAACTTTTTTTTTCGGCTCTAACGAGCATGTTCTTTAACAATTTTCCTTTTTTTTAAGGAAATGATTGGTGGTTCTTTAAAAATTTATTGAAGTTATAGTTAGTTTTGTAAAAGATTCCATTTTTTCATTCAAGCTTTCTTTATAGTAGACACTGAGTGCTGGTATTGGGTCACGAATGACAATATTTCTTTTTCCTCCTTGTTGTTTTGTTGTAGGAGTTTAGACTTCCTTTTGTGACTTTTATTTCTGATAGTAGGTTTTCTATCAAAGATAGGGGGCACACAACGAGAATATAGTTCAAAACCACTTAAACATAGCATTGTTAAACGTATCTTAGTATTTAAAGAGTAGATATAGGCGTACTTTTATCCCCAAAAAATTTTTCGTCTGTTCGGATCTCCTAGCCGAAAGTCTAGTGATACGAAAATTATAGGGATCAAAACTTACCTTTTCGAAAATTTCAGCCAGAAAAAACGTGACACAAGGTGAAATGTGTGCGCAAGAAGCTTTCCGTTTGTTTAAAATGTGTCTTTGCATCAAGGATAGATTTTTCCTTGAATCTTGTGCCTTTGTATACAACCGTGTCTAAAAACGCAGTCTCAGTGTCAAATGTTTTGGCCGTGAATTCAATAGTGATGTAAGCTTGCTTGTTCAATGAAGGCTTCGATGTCTGGTTTACTCATGTCCCATAGGGAAAAGATATCGTGTATGTGGCATTTCCAAACTGTTGTTCTAAAGACAGTTTTGCTTAGAATTGTTGTTTCAATATATGTCATGAAAATATTGGCAAAGGAATCAAAACTGCTGTCTTTGTGCCCATTGCAGTTCCATGGTCTTGTAAGTAGTGCTTTCCACTGAAGTGGAAGACATTTGATTTGAGGATTAATCTAAGCATTTCCGGCAAGTAATGTGTAGGAATGGGTTGTCTTTGTTGAAATTTTCATATGCTTTGTGACAGATAATTTCAATATACCCTCGTTTTGCTGCATATTTGTGTCAAGACTCATAACGTCCATTGAAACAAGAAATGTTCGGTTTTTGACATTCGTCTTTTCAGTGGAAGGTATAATTTCTGTGATTTTGATGTTGGTTGTAGCAGTGTATCAACAAATTTTGTCAAGTACAGAACAAGGTTTTATTGGATTATTAAGAGAAAACCGAACGTCCATGTTTTAACTAGGGGGTGGGTCATGCAATTTCCAACCTTGCTTTAGGGGTGGGTCAGTCATTTTTGTGCCGAAGGGAGGGGGCGGGTCATGTGTTTTTTATCAACCACATTTCCAAATGCTCCGGCCCACCCCCCCCTATACTTTTTGACCAGTCCCTAAACATCAATTTTACAGTAACATAATTATAAGTGTAGTACAATTGTAAAAGCACGTCTCCGCTTCACCCTGTGCTAGGTGTTATGTGTTGGGAGCTCCTTCTTGTCCTCCAAATGGAATTTGTTTTGCAAGGTGTTATTTTTCAAAGAAAATATGAATAGAAATACTAAAACGCATAGGCATTCGACAAAACACAAAAGATAGATTCTAGTTTTCAAGTATAAAGTCAAATACCATTTATTACCAACTGCAACGAATCTTGTGATATATACATGCACGTACAGTTGTTCTGTACAAGTAGATAATTATTTTGAATAAAATTCATCATCTCTTCTCTCCCTTTTTTGTTCCTGGCTTTGAAGGACTTGACCTAAATAAAGGAAGAAACTCGCAATTACCATCAGCAGATATCAACACCTCTGGGAGGGAGGGAGGGGCAGGGTATAGAACAATGGTGAAGGGGTTCTTTCAAGCAATATAAAGTTAGTAGGAAAGGTTTTAAAAATCACGCTGAAGTTGTTATAGTTGGCTTGTTAGCTTTAGCCCTGGGTTATTATTTTAAACACAGCACAAGGGTAGTAACAAAAACTAACTCTGGATTTTGTGCTAATAATTTTCCAACATTTAGGCCCAGGAATCATAAGATAAAAAAAACATTACGTAAAATTTTGTGTCAGCATCTTACTATTGGACTGATCAAAGCCACACAGCCTAAAACATGCTTGCACAGTGTCCATCAAGTTTCAGTGGCATAATTATTGTAATTGACGCCTTCTGGCAGGGAAATTATGCCAAATTTTCAAGTGGTCCCATTATGCAGCAGAAAGGTCTATTTTGTGGCAATGTATGCAGTTTCTCTAAATATTTCTAATAGGAAACTTAGTTTCAGAAGCCTGTATAAATGGATCAGTGCACACCTCTTCTTGCCATCAGGGTTGGCTGGCTGAAACACACTTGAAGCTGACATCAGGTTCTCTATGTATTGTCCAAGCACCTAATGATCGATAATATTAACCAAAATGCATCATATAGTTTGAATATTAGAATTTAAACAAGGTACAAATGATCATGTTAGCTCATCAGGTACAAGTTGTTACTGTAATGTACAGCCATTGCTGTGATTACACTCTGGGAAGTAGACCATCAATCTACACTTCATGTATGAGGCACATAATATATCATTCATAGCTGAATGCACAGTCAATTCTTGCCTTACAGATTCCTTGCTATTTTGGATACTCTGTTATGTAATATGGAGAGTAACAAGCCCTAACTTACAGATGTTTATGGGATCTGACTGTTATAGATTTATGAGCACTTGTCATATGCTCGCTGAGTTGTAATGGCATCTTAATATGACATTCAGACCCACTTAGAAATAAGTCATCCACCTTTCAATATGATCTTTTTGTTTGATTTAGCCATCTTCTTTTAAGTATGGAAATGAGACTTGATTTTTACTTGATAGTGACAGTTTCATGAGAAATTCTTCCATTTTTTCACTCAATGATGTCAGAGTTCTACTACAAAAATAACATAATATTTACTAAGGGGGAGTGGGGAATAATTTCAATTAAAGCAAAACCTTTTAAAACTCTCACTAACATATAACAATATTACACCTGATTGAAAAAGCTATCGCTTGTAAAGTATAGGTCATGAATGAAGACCAAATGGATTTATGGGTATAACTTTATCAGCACTGCAAATTCAAAGTTCAGTCCAGAAAAGTTAAAATTATTGAATCTTTTCACGATGATGGATTCCAAAAAAGATCAAATGGTTTTCCTGGCGATAAGCTCTCAACTTTACCTACGCAGGGCACATCAGAGATCTCTACAGTTGAAGAACGCAGCCATATCGCTAACGCTAATGCACACTAAAAGCTTTCTTGGAAGACACAAAAAGACAACAGCATACCTTAAACAAAGTACTCTAAAGATTTGCATCTGAATGAGCAGCTCGTCACAATACAAACCGTTTTTAAAGAACTTTAAATTTGCCGTGCTAATGATTGTATATCCATAAATTCTTGAAGCCTCATTGTTCATGGTTTATACCTTTAAGTGACAACATTTTTTCACAGTTGTATATCAGAGTTAGTAATGGGTCAAATACATAAATGTGCCCCCCCCATCCCTTCCCCCCACTCCACATTACAAAATCCAGTGATGGGACCATTAATCATGGAAAACCTATTTTGCAGCACTTTTGCATTACATGTACTGGGTTAATTATTTATCAGTTATTCCAACCTTGATCCCAGGGTTCTCTATTACCCGTCCCTACAGAACAAGAGAGAGAGAGAGAGGGGTAAGAGAGAGAACCTGGGAATGAGGAATTATTAATTGCGATAAAATATTATTCATCATACAGTATATGAAATATAGTCATCAATAAGTTTTGGGTTTTGACTCTTTTGTGAGTAGACATATGGAGCATCTCTGAAATAACCACCAGAAAGGGTGAACTCAAAACACTGAATCAGTACAAAATTTAACGAACTTGTCGGAATGTGTGATTTCAGTACCTGATTTTCTGATTTGAGTTTAAGATTTTCATCTTTAACAGCATCAACCCGCTGTGACAAATCTAAAAGAAAATTAATGTAATATTAATTTTGTTTATGACAAACGTGCTATGAAATAGACTTATCTTATCTATTTTATTGTAGGTTTAGGATAAACTTGTCTTTCAATTTCTGTTTCACTCCACTTATTTAATAGTTCTTCTTCTTCCTTTCTGTGTCTAGAGAGCCCAAGCATTATGAACTTCTTAGTTTTTTCCATGCTCCTTACTGGATTGTCATTTTTTTTATAGATTTAAATAATGTATTATTCTCACTTTGGCAAAATAAATAAATAGCAATTAGGGATAATAGCCAGGTACTGTAAATTCAACAAAAAATATCAGAGCAATAAATGACTGTTAATCAGTGTCTATGACAAGGTAAATGCAATTAAATATTAAATACTGTGATGGTTAGCAAAATAATTAAATCAATATTATTCTTTTTCCTTGCACAGTCCATGTCCTCACTTTTTTAAGGTCAATGGTGTATCTAGACAGATCATTGACTACAGCCTAAATAAATATTGCAGTGTGTTATTTACTATTACATTCTGTAAGAGTTAGCTTTGTATTTTACTACTCACCATCTAAAGTGTTTTGAAGTTCCAGTACTTGTGTGATGAGCCGGTTTTTCTCATCTGCCTCATCCTTTTCCTCATCTGTTACTTCACCTACATGTAGATGCATTATTTTGTAACAGTACATTTTATAACAACTAATATCATTTTTGTGACTAACACAACACCTTACAATAGTAAAATAGCTGCAAATAAGGCAGCGTCACATTTGCAAAAATGACATTTCTGAACAGTGAAAGTTTTAAAAAAAGTGTTTAGGTGGGGAAAACTGCTCAAATTTGTGGCAAAACTACAGTAAACATCAGTCACTTGCCTAACTTTCGGCCGCAATATTTGTGCCCCTCCGAGAATGAAGGGCACAAAAATAATCAGGTGTACCCATCCTAAGCCCTATAAAGTTCTGCACACATTTTGAGGAATAACTAAGCAGAGGAGAATCACACAGACCTGAGACCCTGCCTGAGACTTGGCAAGGTCGTATATTATTTTATTAATATTCTATAAACATGTCAAAACAGTAGCTTCAGGCATCCAATAGTTTTGATTTTAGTTTTTGATGGCGTGACATTGAACACCATCAAAAACCAGCTGGGCAGATATTCCACTCTAAAAATAATTTGGCAGCATATGCTGAATGAAACCCTTTGATGGTCTAGTAGCCAATACCTTTACCCTGAAGAGAAGAGGGGTACTTAAACAGTATTCCCAAGGCCTGATACAACAGTGTACAATGTATCTATAATAGACAATTATATCTTACTTTGGAGCACACTAATATCTCTTCCTGCATGACTATAACTCTGAAGGCTCGAATGATGACCACTTGTACCTAAAATACAACCACCAAGTATTGTTCAATTAGTTTTGCTCTTTGAAATAGCATGAGACTGGAGAGTTTATTGGGCTGTGTGGAAATTATACCGACATATTGAATTTGACTCTGGCCATCTTTGACACTAAAGTGGTTTGAATCTATATACCATAAATAAAAAAAGATTTCCCACCACTGTGGGAGGAGGAAATGGGTTGAATCCCATTCATAAGATACGGTATTCCGTTTTCAACTAGCATTAAGTGCTTAATATAAGAGCTTACGAGTCTTGCCTACTACATGCACTAACCTCCTGGCGTCTCTTCGTCAGATGACAGCGGAATGGAAACCATTTTGGCCTCTGTTTTGTTTTCTTGCTCACTACCCGACATTTCTCTTCACCGACTGTAAGGTGGAGGGTCGTTTTTGATTGAAAAAGGAAAGCCTTTGACGTAGTACTGGCTGTCTTCGTCGTTATATTTTCGTCGCGATTTTTGCTGATTTCTTTTTGTTTAAAACTTGCGCCTGTCAAACAGCTGATCAGCGGCTTGTGATCGTTACTAGTCTTTCTCGGATTCGCTAAAGATGGCGGAAGTCCAACCAGAAGAGTTTGTGTACAATGTTTCAGTTTTACTCGATGGTTATGGTTATACGGACGAAAAAGACAGATACAGGGCTAATGGAACATGCACTATGATCACTGGAAACGGAAAAAGAATTATTGTGGACACTGGAAGTCCGCGAGATAAGGAACGCCTTCTTGAAAAATTGGAGCAACACAAAGTTTCTCCTCAAGACGTCGACTTCGTTGTTTGCACTCACGGACATGTGGACCACGTGGGCAACCTTAATATTTTTCCAAAAGCTATGTGCATGGTGTCTCATGATATTTTAAATGAAGAGGATATTTACACCGACCTTCCCGAGAACTTTAAAGAAGGAATGCCATACTGCATTGATGGAGAAAACGTTCAGGTGATTTCCACTCCAGGCCACACCTCTCAGGACGTTAGTGTCATCGTTAGAGGCACGGAATATGGAACTGTTGTTATCTGCGGAGATTTATTTGAACATGAAGAGGATGATAAATTGTGGGAAGAATTTAGTGAATCTCCAGAAAAGCACAGAAAGAGTAGACAAAAAGTACTGGAAATTGCAGACTGGATAGTACCTGGACATGGTAAACTGTTTAGGGTAAAAAAACCTTAATCCGTCGAATACCTCTGAACAGAAGCCTCTCTAAGACAGGCACCCAGAGTTGCTCCCAGGTGTTCTTAAGCCATTTCCTTTAATTTCAGTACAAGCTGTGTGACTCCCTAGTGTATCCGTCTGTTCTTGATGTCCCCACTAACCCCTAAGTGTTGGTCAATTTATTTGCAAAGTTTGTTTCCCCATCATTTGTCATCAATGGTCTGACTGGGTGTAGCAAATCAGTCATTGTTGAATGTTGTATTTTCTACCTTGCTCTTCTTGCAAAAAACTTCTGCAGTGGCTAAAATACTTACACTTTCTGCTGGTTAGTGGGTGGTGAGGATGATAATATTTTGCAATATTGAGTAACCAAAGGTAAACACACACATTTCTCGAGTGTCTTTTATGAAAAGGCTTAGTTTCAAACTGTAATAATTATCCATTTTGACTAATCCGTATTCATTTGATAAATAAATGCCTTGATGTTTATTAAATTTTCCATGATTTGAGTGCGGCGTTTATAAGAGGGCGGCTTTTATTTAAAATTCAATTTATTTTTTACAAACAATAGTATGGTAACTTCAATTTGACTTCAAACTAAAAAACATTGTTATCTTGCAATGTAAGCAACTTTTCAAAGCTTGATTAAACTGAACTACTGTATACTGTTCTTGTGTTTTGATTATATTCCTTTGAGCTTCGAATATATTGATCCTAAAACATTGTTACAATCAAGGAAAATATTTTTTTTAGGCTTGCTCAAACTTGGTTATTACTGCATTTGCTTTTTGAGTCTATTATTGGAATATTTGCTGAAGCGTGACGCGGTGTTTATTCGAGGGTGGCATTTATCCGAAGGCGGCATTAAATCAGCAAATAAATATGATTATACTACTACATGAGAAATTTCTGCAATTTGATTGGCTTAGAGCAGTGGTATTTCAGCTTAATTTGAAATACTTAGTAGTATAAACAAATAATAGCATGATTTGTATGTGATATTTAGCATGAATACCACTCGTGATATTTCAAATTGTTCTCAAATTTCACTCGCCTAGCGGCTCGTGAAATTACGTATAACAATTTTGAAATATCACTCGTGGTATTTATGCCAAATATCACTACAAATCATGCTATTACCTATACTAATTCATCATAATACTAAATTACAATTCCAACTGAGTCCAGTGAAAAAAATACGCACTCAATAGCCTGCATTGCAGATGTATACTTTGGATGTGCAAACAGTTTTGCTCACGTAACCACTGAAAAAGGCAAGGAGTTGGGGTGGGTCAAAGTCAACCTTGTTCCCAGGGTTCTCTCTTACCCATTCAACAGGTAGGAGAGAGAACCTGGGAACGAGGTTGAGGCAAAGTTGGGACTTGACAGTGGAAGGGGAACGGAGTGGGGGAAAGAGAAGAGAAAATGCTTGCCTACAAACACTGTGAAAATGAGAATCACTCTCTAATATTTATTGGTGATGATGGTTACTGCTCTAACTTCTGGAAAATGACATGCAGGTCATTAAATTGTCAAATGCTCCCTGCTGAAAAAGTTTGAAAAATTAATATAGTAAATCTCATGGCTGGTGTTGTAAATGTAACATTTCTTGCACGTTTTTATGAATTGCTTTGTGGAGCTATTAAATTTGGGCCCTACAAAGATTTCAATGTCTCTTGCTATCTCCTAATTGTCGGTACCTGAAATGCTATTTTTGCTGGGATAGTTTTTTAATGAAGGAAACCCTCCTTGCTTCGTTAAAAAATATCACATTGTTGATGATGACTTCTCATAAAGCATTTCTTATCAGAATTTAGGAGGAAAAAAATCAGAAACATAAATAGACTGTTAGCAGATTTTTTCCAAGAGATCATAGAAATATGCTTTTGCTGGCCTCTTCAGCTCATAGTACAAACCACATTCATCAAACTTAAGAGTTCTCAACAGCAAAATGGAAAGTTACACAGCTTCTGTATGTCATTAAGATAAGTCTCAAACAAAAGAGATCTATCATCTCATAATGAATTGGCAGCTATCAATCTATTAGTGCCATTCTGCACCAATCAGAGACTCCATTTACCAGCCTACTGAGTGTCCCTAATATTAAGCAATGATATCCCCCTGCTTCTCCCTACCCCACCTTCTTCCTCAGCACTAATGCCTCCAAAGGGTTTCAAACTTTCCCCAATAATTCTCAGCAATAAAATCACGGATGACAACTACGGCATTTCAAACATGAAGCAGCTTTCCCTGCCCAAAAAATATGTAGGCCACACCTAATATTCTACCTACATTTTCCATGGTCTATACTGGTTAACGTTCAAAACTTTGCGGTGGAACCACTGTCCTACTTGAGTGTGTTGAATATTTTGATCAGTGTCATTTCTATGGTCAGTGAAGTATGGCCATGGAAAATTGTCAGTTAGTTAAATGTATACATAATTGTTCAGGACTGTTAGTTTTAGGTTGTGGTCTCTGAGGGTATTAATTTTAAGCTTCTTTAAAATACCATATGACCATCAATTGCCAAACTTCATTTTGAAAGAGACTGCCTCTTTCAGACATCACCATGATACTCTCTAGTAAGAGACACCCTCCGCTTTTGAGTGTTTTGCCTTCAGTCAAAGGAATGAACTCTGTACCACTGATCCTCCTATGTGAGCATTTGAGGATCGTACACATTGAGAGGAAGTACCTTTTGGAGTTGTGCTGACAGAATCATCACCTTAAGAAATCTGCACTTTTTTTATTGGAAGTAAGTGTTAAAGACGTTTAATTATGACATTTAACAGGATAAAACTTATCCATGATGTGTCTTCACCAATAGGGGTATTTTTTTGCAAAATGCTAACAGTACCAGACACTTAAAGACTCTGAAGTTTGGGGGTCAGGATTAGGAAACTGAGAATTTTTAAAAGCAGCATTTTATATATTGCTGATCAGTGTTTCCTCTTTAATACTTATTGCAAGAATTTGTATAAGCTTGGCCTCGAAAGGGGTAGAGGAGGTATATAACTAACTTTTTCTTCCACAATGATTTCGCCTGACAACAGATCCAAGGGTCCAGTCCATGGTTCAGGCAGTCTCCAAACTCCAGCTTGATCTGCACCGTCAATTACAATAGACAATAATATTACAAGACGACCATGTGTATTTAAGGTATCTCTTGGTGAAACTATCGACCGTCACTTGGTCAACATATTGATCGACAGTTGGTCGAGAGTTGGTCGACACTCCATTGACATGTTGGTCAACACCTTTTGACCTGCATTAGCCACTATCAGTCACCACTCGCTTGATAACTTGGTCGATGACCTGCCAACACATCAATCATTATGTAGCAGTCAACAGTCGGGGGCATATAAGTGGACTATCAACTGTCACACATATCGGCCAACAGTATCAGTCGAGAGTCAGTCAATACATCAGCCGACACTCTGTCGTTATTTGGCCAACAAATCGGTTGATATGTTGGTCGATATGTCAGTATGACAGGATATGATATGTCGGTCGATATGTCAATATGACATGATATGTCAATCAATACTTTGTTAGTCTGGATCAATAGATTGTTCTAAGCAACCGACCTCGGTTTCAACAAACTGTCATCGGATCAAAAGCCGTCCTCAGTTCGACTTACATACTCGGTTAACTGTACTCAGTTTGTTCAGTTTGTAGGGAACCGTCCTTGCGTCAAAGCCTGTCCTCGGTTTGACTTACGTACTTGGTGTAACCATGCTCGGTGTGAGCAACTGACGTCGGGTGAAAGACCGACCTCAGTTTGCAGGATGTACTGACCAATGATCAACTGAGTATTGACATAATGACCAAGAGTTGCCCGACTGAAAGTTGATTGTCAGCCGATGTACCGACTGACTGTAGGGCGATATGTAGAAAACACCCAGTCAACTGAGTATCGATCGAGGGTCAGTAGCTCATCGACAAACTAGTGATCGACTATCGCCCAACATGCCTGTTGGTTGACAGAGGCCAATTTCAGCCGATGTTCCACCGACATTGACCGATATAGCGACCAAGTGTTGACCAAATACTGACCGACTCTCGTTCGATACTTTTGATAGATATGTCGACCGAGAATCGGTCGACAGATGCCTTAAATACACATGATACCTTTCGCTTTTATGAGTGGGTGATCAGCAAGCCAATTGTCTGCCAGACAAAACCAAAGACTTCAGCCACACTTCGCTTATTTATTCATACTATATTTAACTTCACAGCGTCTCATACCCACACAATCGAAGATCTACCCACCGAGACCACAGAACAATTATTTCACCACCAAGAGCAATTGACGGTAAGAGAAACAAAGGCATCCGTGAATTCTACATAACTGACAAATAAAAGCATTCTCGAAACTACTACTAGATATAGTGAGTCTATAATCTAGGGCGTGTGTGAACGATTACACAGCTAAATCTTGCTTTCCTCGACGACGTTTCTCACAATTCAGTTTGGTAAGAGTTCTCACAAGTGAACATCTCATCTTTCTTCAAGACATCTACAAACACGTACAGTAATCATTTGGAGCAGTTGAGGTAAACAGTCTAGACGTACTCACTCGAGTTGTTCAGCGTTCACATAGATGTTTAACACCCAGAGCGACCGTTCACCATATTAGATGCGGCAGTATAAGGCAGTTTCACTCCATGTTCCATAAGAAAGTTAGTAAAATCAGCACAAGGCTTGCAGCAAGCGGCGAAAGGTGAAAAGATCGCGTAGAGTACAGCCGCTAATATACCAAGAGGCCAGCCTAGGCAGAGGAGAATTATTAGCCAGATGAACGACCACAACCATCCACAATTTGCAGCCATTTTGTGAAATGAAGAGGATCTCAGCGAAATCTGCTGTTGGTTGGTAAAGTAACTCTTCGTAAAATGTGTGATGGTATGATCCACCCAGAATGAAAGAAGGCTGGGCTTCTGATTTTACTCATGTCAAGTTGACAAAGCTTGTAATTGGTCAGTCAGAACATCAGCTGATGTCACGAAATCTTAACGCCTTGTAGTCACGAAAACATAAAATACGCACTATTCTCTTGAAAAATAGTAAAACCCGCAGGAGCCCTGGTAAAACTTTGTGCAATGAAGCTCACGTTTCTCCATCGTACCTGGATGGACCTTTGTACTTCTTTTTGGAGTGTGCAAAGAATGCGGGCGAATCATGCGCTAAGGTAGTCGCGCTTTCATGTTTTTTCTCCTAGTACCCTCGCGTGCCCCGTTCATGAGTAGGCGGTTCCTGATCGCGCGAAAAACGTACAAAGGAGCTGGGTTTGGACAGGGTGTGATTGAGTTAAAGTCGTCTTTAGTATCCGTATATTCTTATAACCCGTCACTTTTCATCCACGATAAGTTGGGTCGTGAGTAAAGGCGCGACAAACTACCCCTGAACTAGCGTACATCCTATCGATTGGCAGCCGCCAATCGGGAAATGAGCCTTTGCTCCTCTCTCACTCTCGAGATTTAAAAATGGCGCTCAAAACGAAAGAAAGAAAGAAAGAAAGAAAGAAAGAAAGAAAGAAAGAAAAGAAAAAAAGAGAAAAAGGATATAAGAGATGAAAACGCATAACCAGAGGGCTAATGGCCCAATCGGCTATAGAACCAACCTCGTCCCCAAGACGCTTTTCCCTAGCTTTAGAGGTGGGAACAAAGCCAGGGAAAAGCACCCTTGGGACGAGGTTGCTATAGATTCCCCGGACGGGGTGGTATGGTAGTCTAGACAAGTATTAGGGGCTCTCAGACGGGTTTTGGGAGCAGATGGGAAGCGTGAGACACTCAGAGAGAAAAACAATGTTTAATATATATATTTTTGCCCAAAGCAAAGGAAGAGGTCAGTAAGCCGGAAGCATCTTTTTGCATGGACTGAAGCTGGTCAGTAACGAACTTTTAGTTTTATTTTCATTTTTCTTTTAGCCCCTGAAGAAGCTTTGTTTTCAAACCGAAATATTGGGCAATTTGTTTCAATATATATTTTTTGTTTTATTCTTTTGTTTACTACTTCATCGCCTTGCCGTAAGGATCAGTTTGCCGTTTCACATTTTTCTAAAAGTTTAATTGTACAACTGGGAGATGCGGCACCACTCATTGGTTTATTTGTTGCTGTGGACTTGCTGATATTTTCTATGTAATAAAAGAACCCAGCTTCTTTCAGAAATTCATCTTCAGGGCTTCCAACCTTTCTTTTCCTCGAAAGACGCCTGGGCGGGAATTTATTTGAATATCAAAATAAACGTCATGAAATCAATATTTGCATTTAATGGTCATATTGTTGTATTCTTTGAACTTGGATAAAATTAGCATATCTGTTCATAACTATTCTAAGACTTGCTGTACACAATTATTAAGTGTTTTACGTACTGAATACAACAGTCGCACGCGCGCCGACAATGACAGACATAACAGCATAGCAATACAAAACAATGGAGGTTTATGGTTAAAAAACTTTCGATCTCTCTTTTTATCTCATGCTGCCATATGTTAATTTGTGTTTAAAGACTTGAAAGATCAATGTATACTTTAAGCTGTCGTCAACATAGTCTTTGCTCTTAATAACGCGACATTCTTTGACTTCCTTCAGGCCATACCAGTCTTTCAAAACCCAGACAGAAAAGAGTAAATTGGACAGAGAAAAAACGTTTGACATTTAGATTTTGAAAAAAATTAGGATGAAATTACTAGTGAAGGGACAAAAAAGGAATAGACTTTGCTAATTAATGATAAGGTCAACAATGCGTGTCAATGAAGTCAATATTTCCAACTATTTCAACCCTATATTGCCTTTCAATATAAAGACAGTATCGTTAACTACATTGTAGTATCAAGTCAGTAAAAATCCATTGTTGTTCAAAGTGTATATCTCAAATAGACGTTCCATTAGTAGTCAGCATTGGCCATTATTGCTGGCACAAATACTTCGTAATTGATTTCGCCTTTTGAGCTTACATGCCCCGTAGTTAGCAAGTCAAACTCCTCGTCCGTGAGCTTCTCTCCCAGGGAAGTAAGAACATGCCGTAACATACTAGAAGAAATAGAACCGCCTCCTTCTCGGTCAAAATGCTTAAAACAATCCACGACTTGCTCGGGGGTGGCCTTGCTTGTCACACTTGCCATGTGCTGAGCGACAGAGTTGTAGATGGGCAAAAATTCCTCGAAAGAGACGGTTGCCTTGCCCACATCGCGTTCTACTTTGTGGACTTCACTCTGTGTTGGGTTTAAGCCCGCCGCTCTAAGAACTTGTCCGAGTTGGTTGACTTCTATCTTGTCCCCTCCCGTTGTATCGTAGAGTTGAAATATCTCTTTAAGGATTCCTTCATCGGGCTTTTTGCTCATTTTGCTGCCGTCCGTGCCTACAAGAAGGCTATGACACTACTAAAGGTACCAGCACTAACAGATAGGAATGCACTGAAACCTTGTTGCGTTAAGTATTATCTCCCACGTGACCAAGTTCACTCATAAACTGATGTCACTAAATTTAGCAACAGCATATCGCCTTTCATTGGATTGTTGTCGTGACAGACAGCAGATCGTCGCATGTCATGGTCAATTTATTTTTTGTGGTGATATCGTTTATGTGGGATTATGATAGGTAGCTCACGGTTATTGGATTAACGAATACCATATGGTATGAATACAATTTAACAGTTCGGCCACTCCTATCCTGTGTGGCATCACGTCAGTAAAGGTGAATGAGAGGGAAATGGGGAGAAGGGAAGAAGCTACCCTCCTTTTTCTCTGTGGGGTTTTTCTCTCCCCCACCCCCTCCCCTCTTTGCGCCTGTCACACAGGCTAAGCCACCCACTATTATACTGAAACGCACACTTATCAAAAACACCTACATGCGTATAGTATAGGAGCCTCCTCCTCCTCCTCCGCCGCCGGGTATCAAATTAGATACATGTGGTGTAATGTGGCAGCTGGATTAGGTTTGACCAGTTGACTACTGCTATTATATACCGACCATGTCACATCAATTGATCATAACATGAAATGAGACCATTTCGAAACTTTGTATTAGATTTCATTTTCTTCCTTCCAGATCTTTTGGTGCTTGGATTTCAATTTTGGACCTTTCAGTCTGATAAGGCAAGCGGCTTGAAAAGGAAGGGGTTAGTTAATGGGGTGTAATTTTCTGCTTTTCTTAATGCAAGATTTATATCTTTTCAGGCCCACCTTAATCGGGTCGTTTTACAAATGTGCGGTAAAACATATTCAGAACATATGATGTGGACAAACCTAGTAGATTAAAGCCGTTTCTTTGATGCATGTCGTAATTAGTTCTCGCTGACTACATGAGTGCAATCCACACCCCCATATCAATACCACCGCCCTCTCCCTCATGATTCAGTCCCTGTCCTTATCCTCTCTGGGCGGGGGAGGGGGGGGTAAACTACACGTGCCAAATATCAGAGCTCAAAAGACCATATGCCCCCCGGGGTGGGTACTTTATCTGAGTGATATCAACGTAACTGGCTGTCGATGAAGTATGATCAATGTAACACATAATAGCTTATTCGATAAAGGTTGCTTTGTGCATTCGGAATTGGTAATTAGGCATTGAGCATTTAGGCATACTGAACAGTGCAATGATTTGCCTGAGTGACCGCCAAACAATAGCTTCCTAGTGCCCAATTTCCAATGCTCAAAGCAGCCTTTATTGAATCGGCTATATAGGATATGAGCAAATTAATAACCTTTTCAAGTGATCACTTTTATCACAACATATTTATTTAATCTGAAATTCAAAACTTACACCCTTAACATTTTGTCATAAAATTTTCAATGACACTCAAAATAGCTAACTTTATAAATACTATATACTGTCAGCATTTACAACTCTAAAAATCCGTTCAATATGACGAACCATGTATTGCAAGAGGAAAGCAATTTTATCTACTTGCAGTGTTACTGTGCTACTAGCTTTAAAATTAAATATACACACAATTACCATAGAATTCGCTTGGCTTTAAGGAATTCCATGAGAGAATAAGGTATTCATAGATAATTAAACATAATGTTTATATCTTAAAATAAATTTAAGGTGCTTAGACTTAAGTTTAAGGCGATGATTTTTCATAACTGGAAATTTTTCATAAATAACTCTACCCTACAGCAATTATCTATTAATTCTTTACTTCTTACTTATTGTTATATTTCCCGAAGGAAAGCAGATTTGACTTTCCAGAGCACGGCTTTAACAGGTTAAGATGTTGTACGGAGGTAGGTAAAATCTGTTCTCAGGTGAAACCAGTATTTCCTTAGTCTCTTAGGGTCAGATAACAGAGGAAATTCTAAACCCAAATTAGGTTGAATAATTGGTTTAATCTGCTAATGCATTACAACAAAGACACCTAAAAAGCAACGAAGTTTACGCTTAGGCGAGAAAAATGGCTACTATAGTATCGGTCGCTCATGCATGGTTGTTGTTGTTACTAATGCCGTGTACATCACGATTTATTCCCAAATCTTTCTTTAAGCCCTTTAGGCTTTACGTTGTTCGTAATTTACAGTAATACTTTTAAAAACTAAACTAAACAGCAGGAAAGAATGATGACTTTCGTACCACTCCCAATTAAGACCTAGTAGTGCCCTTTTTGTACTCTGTTCATACTTCCCCTCTATAAATTGGTCCCCAGCTCACGGAGAATCTCAGACAAAGAAGGTCCAATATCAGTATTGCTGTCAGGGAAAGCAACAACATTTCTTGTGCCTTCGTCTTTCAGCTCAGCCAACAGGCAAACTTGAAGGTCAAAATTGAGGAAATCGATAAGGCGCGATGTCTGTGTTTCGAGAAATCGAGGTCTGTACCTTCCTACAGAGTGTAATGAAGCTGTTTCTGAATGGATTGGCGATTCTGAAACCGATTCTTCATCGGATGACATGTCACTCTCAGGCACCACTTCCGGTAGTAAATGCGCCTGAAGTTCTGAATCAAGGGGTCCTTGATAAGAAGCAGTGTACGCTTTTCCGTCTTCATCGTTTACAGCAACTGTCCAGTGCTCGTTAGAATAAGCATATGACTTGTAGGCGCTGTAAAAGTCTCTAACCATCACTTCTTGAAAAACACATTCCTCGCTGTCTGCATCCTATAGGGAAAAGAGAAAAATTCTTAAAATTTTAGACGGTTTAAAACAGTTTGATAAAGAAGTTAGAACTTGGTTAAACTTTAATTCTTCCTCGGTTTAGGAGTGGAGATAAGCTTTGGAATTTTAGCCATTGAAATGAAAACTTTTTAGCAGAACGTTTGTATGGTGCTGGTCATTACTTTGCATTCCACAAAATTAGATTTGGAATTTTTGAGAATTTATTCTATTTTTCCTCGGAGACCCAGGGGCAGCACTACTGGGTACCTGCGCCTGCAAATAATTCAAGCCAACAAACAACCTTTTATAAACACTCACCGTTGCTCGAAGAGTTCCAGAATCATCGATCGTGAGGAAAAACTCGGTTTCTACTCCTGCGATTTTAACTAGGCCGGCACCCACGGAACAAATTTCTACAATTGCTGTAAGGGATAAAAGGAGATCATGGACTTTTAATTAGAGAAAAAACACTAAATCTCTATTGATGTGAAATTATTCAACAGTTGACTTGCCGTTGAAACCTCGCGGAAAAAAACCCGGCTGCCACAGACTTTTCATGCGCGGTTGCAGACACTGAAGCGTCGTGCCGCACGCGAGAAAAAAGCGTCTGGTACCCAAGGCAGAGTAACATCTTCTGGAACAAGTCCAGTCCAGTCGTGTCTTCCCTGTTTGGCTAATGTTACATAACGTTTGCTCTGAACGCGGTTTTTGATTGGCTCATTCGTGCGTTTGCGTTTTTTATTGGCCAAAGTACTTCTTTGCACAGTGCACCTGAAAATCGCGTGGTGAGGATTAAGTTCCCACACTGATTAATGGAATTCTCCTTACTTCTTGTATTTGCTTATTTTAAAAATCACGTTTTTAGTTCAAAAATTGTTTATTGATCATTGCTTACTGATCAAAACTCAGTACCGGTGTACATGCTAGTAAATGATCAGCATTGTCGAATCATTTCCCCAGTACAGTAATTGTCACCGTTAGGCTAATCAAATATGGCTTTATAGCTTCTTTTTAATATTGCGAGGCTGCGGAGTTAAAGGAAAGCTTGTTTTTTTTTTATAGGGGGGTCTGAATTTTGAAAAAGTTCATCAAAGCTATTCTTGTCGTAAAGAGTAAAAAATAATAAAATGTAAGCCGGCGAACTTACCGTAAGGGGAATCCTTCTGCTTTGTTCCGCCGACACTTCCATCGGGTTGAATTGTCAGATAATATCCGCTGCGAAAGAGTAGCCTTCGTCTTCTCCCGCACCGACGACCCATAAGAAACTCACAACAGTCCTGTGTTGCATTCATGCTGAGTTTGCCCTGTTTTTCTTTCCACTCTACTTGAGACAAAGGACGCCGGGAGCGCTTGTTCCATTTTCTCTTTAGTAGGTCTTCCCAGTCAGTGTTTGAAAATGGCTGCGTTTTGGTCCTGAACAGGGCGTTGATTCTTCCTCCGGGAATTCCAACAAAAGGATGTCTGCAATTTTGAGTCGTTACATCGCAAACTGTGTTCTCATAAATACTGGTCATTTTGTAAGGCTGTTAAAAAAAGAGAAAACTACACTGTTAATTTCCTATGGCCATAGAATTGTGTCAGAGTCAAGCATAAAATTTTGTGGCATAGTTAGCTGATACCCATTCAAACGTGCGTTCGTAACTAGATTCAAGAGCAATTAATTTTTTTAACAGACCTAATCCGAGATGCTTTTAACTTCGAATTCATGGTTAGTTTACAAATTACTCACCCGTCACCAATAAAACTGTAATCTCTAAACCGGGATCTGTTGCCCCTTTTTAACAAAGTCAGCTATCTCTCATATCTGGCATAAACGTTGTTAACGTTGCTTATATAAAGAAATGACGATATTGGACGTATTGTAAACAGCATCATAAAACACCCGGGGAACCTACATGTGATTAATTGAACCTAGACAGGCTAAAGCAAGATTGCGCCGAGTTTCCGTAAGAAAAGTCCACCGGCGCGTGATCTACATGCTTGCTGCCAATATGTTGTTTATCGAACATCGGATGATTTTCATGCATCTAATAGATTGCTGACTGAGCTCAATATGTTATTAATTATTAATATTATTATTGTTTATTCCGTTTTTGTCCGCTGATGAGGAACCATAGAAACATATCGGCCACTGGAGAGACCCGTTCAGTAAAAGTAACAGTCTTCTCCACCTTCCTCCTTTTGCTTGTTCATCGCCTTCCTCCATTTTTGCTTGTTTTGCTTTGTGATGTTTGTATTTTTCGATGTGTTGGTGTGTGCAAACAGGAATCATAATCAGGGGCCGATTAGCTCCCAGGTAAAATAAATACTGTTAAATTTCCGGAGCATAATGTTCCAGGTGTTTGACCGTTATGGCTATATAAACATTCCATATAGGATATTTAACGCAAGATGTTCCGATACCAAATAATCCGGAAATTCTTTGGCTCATTCGAAAAGCTGTTACGTCAATGACCTCGACTAAACCAGGGAAAAAGAACATTGTACAAAAATTATCGTTAAAAATGAAAGATAGCTAGAAGTCCTGCTGTAGAAGTTTGTAAAAAATGTCAATAACTTAAAATTAAATCGACATCATTACTGCCGTTAAGGAATGTACATCGGTGCACTAAATGTGAAACAAAATTCCACCAGTCTTAGTAGTTTCGGCATGCGTTCAATATTCGAATATTCAAAATTCGACCACTGGACTTTTACGCACTACCACTGGGCGAACCGGCGCTGTTACCACATGTATTTGCTTGTTTTGTCGCTAGATTAAAAGGTTAAGAATGATAGAAATAATTTCTAAAATTAGTAAGTATAAAAAGTTTAATATTATTTATCATGGAAAGTGAGAGAAACACGCCTTAAGGTTTGATGATACTGTAGAGTATCAAACTAAGTTGAACTAAATAATCTATAGCAGTTGCATCAGTCGGTACTTCGAAAAAGCGCTGCTCAGGCTCATATTGTTTTCTTGTTTTAATGTCGATTTGATATCTTTGTAGGTGCAGGGAAATAGAATCAACACGGCTTAACGCCAATTGACTCTGTGTTATTTTTTGTCATATTAAGTAAATCCAGATTAAGTAACACGACAACTTACGTGCATTCGCCAATGTGTCTATGACAAAACGATTTTTTTCTGCTTAATATATGGAGCGGTCAAAGTCATCCAGCCCGGCTTCACAAAGACTTGTAATGAATAATGGCCACTATTTGCTGAATTATACAGAAACTGATAGTCTGAAAATATCTACTGCTGACTAAAAATAGATAGCTAACAATATGATTGTATTAACACCGTTCAGTAATATTATTTTTTTTACAAAGAATGTTACAAAAAATCATCCAACATATCGGCCACTCGTAGTTAGTTGTTGTAGCGCCAACGTGAAAACGATCCACGCGGAAACGATTTTGACATGACAATGGCAATGCAAATAACGACCAACAGTCAGCATTAAAGTGCACCCTTGACTTATATATGCCGGATCATCATAAGATTTATTCGCTTATTTCTGCAGGGTCGATCGAGCGCCATTCGTTTTGAGGAGACAACGTAAAATCGCCCGTGATAAGGACGCCTATGGATACCAAGATGTTTACAACAAACTGTCGGCCAATAGGTTTACAAAATAACCAATAGACAAAGGTCTTATCTTTGAACATTTGCCGTTATGTGAGGTTAATGTTATTACACGAGATGTCACCTGTTTCATCCAACTTCTGATTTTGCTGAAGTCGTAGACGAAAAAATACGCGTGCTTTGTCTCCTGATCTCTGCTAAAATTCGTGGCGCGAACGGGCGGAACGCTTTAAAACAGGAAGAATAGTTCGAGCTGTAAACCCACAAACCTGTTAGCAGCAACAGTAATCCAATATATATTTCTCTTTTAGCAGATTTTCCGCTTCAATCAGTTCAGATCTCCCCAATGATTTGTCAGACTGGATTTTATCTACACGATCGACCAATCAACTAATATGTAATCCTGTTCAAACATCAGAGTACACGGGAATGAAAACCTAAAACATAGATGCTGAATCATTGATTAGGAAGAGTCCTTGAATTTCGCTGCAATATGAACTGAATTCATCATTTCCACTTGTGTAACTTTTAATGCTTACGTCACTTTCCTGCGGGGGCCAAATTGTCTACAACCCACTCCATCGGAAAAACGACCAAGTTGGCCTTCAACCTTTTATGCATTCCATCCTCTGGTGATGCATGACGCAAGAGTAAACTATGGATGTGTTACGGCACGATTCAATTTCGTTTCAAACGGCAGCTGATTTTTCCGAAAATTTCAGGAAAGGATAAGGAAGATTTTGTGACGAAACACGCATTAATTGGAGGTCGTGCTCGATTACTTATCACACCAAGATTTGAGTGGAACAACTTTAAAATGATTAAACAACTTCAAAGTGAAGCTTGGGGAGGAAAAAAAAGGAATGAATATTCACCATTTAAGAGAAAATTCATGATTCAAACTCAAAACCCGCCAAACAAACACAAATCAACACTATTTTTTTAATCAAATTATTCGAATACCACGGGCTTTTTCATAAGGTAACCCTACAATTATGTGAGATTATGATAAGTTTACTGAACCGTCCAACACGCACACAGTCTTCTTTCTTAACCGTCCATTTTGTGAGCAAAATTCCCATACAGTACGGGTCGATGTTTAACGGTATTTTCACTAAAAACAAATTCCAAGACGACACATTTTCTTGAAGGTCAAAGACTTGTATTTGCCGGTGCATGCACACGTGGCCCGAGTTTATTTAAATTTATCATCATGATTATCAATTTCGCACGCAACAACAATCGATAACAATATTGGTAACCAAAGAGTTATGCTTTGTTGGAGAGGATTGAGTTCGGATGTGGTGTACAGATTATTTATTTATTTATTTATTTATTGGTCTTTATTGGTACAACTGTCAGTCTTAAGCCTTAAGAGCGACTGTCTGTAAATATCGACCAAAATCGTCTTTTTGTGGCACAAGTTCAAAATTCGAATTTCGCTCATTTTTGGCTCATCGATAACCCTTGATGAGTAATGAAACATGCTGTAGTTAGTTTTCCCAAATAACGTATTCTTTTGTTAAAATTCGAGAAAACTCATTTTGCCCGTTCGGAGCTCAAAGCCCACTTCCGGTAAAACGAAATTTTACACAAATTTCATTGACTCGTACGTCAAAGTACTAAGATTTGGCAGCCTTTGAAGAACAGGAATAGTTTTTATGACCTTTTCTTTCTCATAAGACGATAAATTTGTGAAAGCTGTAATAAGTTTGTGGCCAAAAAGGTATTGTGAAAAATAGGCCCTATTGACAATTTCACCGGTTCAAAATTATAGGGTTAAAATAATGTAAATTTTTACAACGCGCTATAACTTAGAATTTCGCACATTGACTTTTTACGGTTTAACTAGGCCCCAATATATCAGAAAATCGAAGCAAATCTCTGGGCAAACGATTTTAAGTACCCCGCAAGACGCCCAGTTCAACCCTAATTTTGCGAAAAATCGCGACATTCCAGTGTTTAAAAATAGCGTGACACGGCCCGTCACGCCAGCGGTGTTAACGACAGAAACACTTTCAACATTCTATTCAACGCTGATCACATGCCAAATTCCAGCATACAATCTATATTACATCTTTCAATACACTTATCTTATTTAGAAGAGTCATTTTGTTTGGATACGATATATAGTGTAGAATTGCCCAAAAGTCGGCTTTTTTGAGCGACGTCGGCAAGACGTCGACGACCGAGCCCAACGAAAACAAACTTTGGGCAAGTACAGTGGTGTGTTTCATTAATTTAAGCATCCGTCAAAAGGCATAAATACGTTAAATTTAAGACGGGGATAACCAATATTAACTAATTTGAACAATGTTTTTTTCTTGCGAGTTTTCTTGCGAGTTTTTATAAATGTACGCTTGGATGTATTACTATCACGCTTATAAAGGTACATTGTAACGAAAGTTTCAGAAAACGTTTTACCTCGTTTCGATCGACGATGAAACGCCATCATCAAAAACAAATCACCAAAATCTTTCCTCTACAGCAAAACGGAAAATAGAGAAAAAAGTGGCGTTTTACTAATGCTAAAGCAGGAACAGTTGCAGCGTGATCATGAGCTATTAAAAATGGCAAATGCTCCTAAATGGACATCTATAGATCCCTTGCATCGCCATTGGAAAAAAACTCTCTGGCCCACTATGAACTAGCCTATTCCAGGCGTAGTGGACAGTGGATAGTGGATAGAGGAAAGTGGCGCGAAATGGGGAAAGGAGGAAAACAAACGTGGAAAAGAGTAAGAGGGAGAGAGTAGGAGAACCTTTCGCCCTCAATCCCTAACCCCGCCCCTTCGCCATTTTTTCTAGCCCACTTTTCTTTGCGATTTCCCAACTATCTGAAGGCCTGTTACAGGTTACCTACGTCCTTTATTTACAAATTTTTATGGTATATAACGTATTTATTCGATTAACCGCCCTGGGCGCTTATTAAATTTTTGGACCTTGAGAGTGGGCGCTTAATCGAGGTGGGTGCTTATTCGAGGCTGGGTGCTTATTAAATTTCGCCATTCTCAGCAAGTGTAGTGTGTTTATTTTGCAACAAAACAATAAATGGTAATAACAAAAAGCGGAGATGTAACAAAGCAAGGTTTCTGTAAAATGCTCTGAAGAAAACTCCGTCTTTGGGAGGGTCTCTTATTATCTCTTACAGTGGGACCCGGTTAATACGGACACCAAGGGGACATGCCATAGTGTCCGTATTATCCGGGTGTCCGTATTAAGCGGGCTCTCAGAGAAAACGTCAGGAACACATGTTTTATCGATATAAAGACCAAAGCAGACAGTTTTACGAGAAAATGTTTAATTTCTTAACTGTAACAGTAAAAAGTTGATCCTAAAGAAACCTCAAGATCATTTAACATAGTCTTAGAGTAAAATCTTTTAAGTATTGTAGTATTGTTATTGAAACAGGCACGACAGTGGATTCATTTGAAAAAGACTGCGACTTTACTTTAAGAGCAATGACTGCAACAAAAAGCCAAGGAAGTGAAACGTGTGTAACAGGAGGCAGAAAACTTTATTGAAGGACTATACGTAGTACAATAGTCAAACACCGGATCAAGAAAGACATACTGTTCAAAATCAAATATGTCACGCTACTTGGTTACGGTTATTTTTAGTAAAGAAAAAAAAATT